GATGCAGGGTAAGAGGTATGAGGTAGGAGGGTATGAGGGGAGTCTTCGAATTATGTGACAATCAACCCAAAAACAAAGTCGAAAAGAGAAGTGAATTCGAAGACTGGAGAATACAACCAAATAGCTACAGTATTTATACCCAAATCCAGTCTGAGTCATATCTACAACTAATGAGTCATAGGGCTATGTACCGCATGGAGCACTGGTCATGGGTTGTAGTAGAACCTTCCGGAGCATATGTCGCGCAGCCTCGAATTGATAGAGATAACCCCTGGAACCCCTAGCCCGGACCGTCTGATGCCGTGATCCGTGATAAGATAAGTCGTGCCAAGATAAGATAAGATCGCTGATGATAAGATGAAAAAGAGTCGAATTATGACAGCACAGAAGAGTTGTTACCTACTGGCCGCGACCGCTGTATGGGCGCTTCGCGAGCAGTCTGTACAAACGTCTTCAGCGCTTCCTGCAACTGAGTCTGTAGCTCTTTTTGGTGTAGAAGAAATGAGTCCTTCAAGTTGGAAATCGAGTTTTCCAACTCCTCAACCTTAGCATGGTTGGGTGGACTAGTCTCATAGTTGAAACGAACCTTAGGAGGTCGCGCGATTATGGGAATTTCGTCTTTGTTACTCAACGTCGACGCCATTTCTTCCGCCATTGTCATTAATTCTTTCAACTGGATGGGGTCGTCCTGCCAATTGACTCCAGTCGCGGGGACATTCGCGTTTGCTATCCCGGCGCGAGTTTGGTAGCGCTTGTTGAATACTTGACTCGTAGCCAAAGCATTTCGCAAGACGGTGCTGAACTCAGAGTCCAAAGTACGCATGTAGCGTTCACACGCGACTTTGTTGGTAATAATGGCAGGAGGGACTGACAGTCGCTTGTAGTGACTATACATTTGAAGGCCGAAACGCTTCAAATCTCCCTCATCCGTTATTTTGATTCCACGGTTCTCGCGACAGAGTCTATCTAGATCTGCCATGGTCCCCGTTTTTCGCTTGGATACCTCGGGGTATCCCTTTAAGATTTCGGCCTCAAACTCCGCAACAGTTTTCGTGTCGTCGGAATAGGTATCGAGACCTTCCCATACGTCCATCACTTGCCGCGACGGCAAATAACGAATGTCCATGCTTTTCGCTTGTTTGACATCTGTGATGCCCCCATCCTCTACGATCTGCGCGCAGTGACGCAAATATGCCTCAATCGACAGGGGATCCTTTTCATCAAGTATAGGTCTACTTCTGTCCCAAGGTTGAGGGATTTTGAACCCAGTCTTTGGAGCCATAGTTGTCGCGACTGAAGTCACAGGGGAAGTAGGGATGTTGTTAGAATTCGCGTTTGTAGCGATGACGCTACTAGACAATTCTGAGAGAGTTTGTGAGCTAGTCTGAGATCGACTGATTGTCGACAAACTCGAAGTAGCTGTGTCTAAAGCTGGAAGCTTCGACGTCGAATTCACTCTTTGTTTTCCTTTTGCCTTGGAAGGCAAGGGTGGTAGATACAAAGATGTTTTATGTCTTGCAGACCTTCGTGGTTTTTCGAAAGGTCCTGAAGTTGAAGCGTTTCCTTCAGTCTCAATCTCCGCTTGGTCCTCGAGAGGTCGCGCAGGAGCTTGGGATCGAAATAAACTGCTTCGCGGGATAAACCCTTGGTCTCTATCCGACATTGCGGTAAAGAATCCGGTTTATTGATGAAACTTTAGAAGCCCCTCGCGGTGGGCTCCAGATGAAATGCTGAGGGCGTGCTCACAGGTGAATCTACTATGAAAGTAAACCCAAATATAAACACGTTCACACTCCTCGTAATCAGCTTCTCAGTGTGTGAAAGATGCGAGGGCTTCGGGGTGGACAGAGCACCAGTATCACAACTCTCAATAGACGCAGATCAATAGTCGCGGAAGACGAAGTCGACGACAAGAATTTATATATAGTCAACAATGGTGTCTCAACCAATATCTTCTATACGAATCACAACCAACACTAATCCAATCACAACCAACAATATAACAAGTCAGAGCTTAGTACGAAGTATTAAGATCCCTTGTAGCGACAGCGTCCAGATGGTGATGCAAAGCCCAAATACCAAGTCGACGCACTGCCAACTGACACAACCAAAAGTACTGAGTCGACGCACTGCCAACTAGCAGCCAATATCCAATGTCCAAAACCCGAGCACAACAAGTCGACGCACTGCCAACTGACCAAAACAACCCGAGCACAACTAGTCGACGCACTGCCAAGCTAGAGGTGTGGAACGATCTCAACAAAGCCCGGAGGCGACGACACTAAATGCCGCGACTAAACCAGATGCGGCGAATCCGACTTTCTGATGTCTCAACTCAAACTCAAATCACAGTAGCTACAAGTGCTTGGGGAGCAACTCATCGCGACCGGGCAGGGGTAGCAGAACTTCTTAGGGTGGAATCACGCGGCACGCAAATTGTACAAAACAATCTGAAATGAGAGTGATTCACAGTCCGGGGGAAAGCTTTTTAATACAAAGAAACGACGTGCTACTTATACTGTCTACGACAATGCTTAGTAAAGTCCTGTACAACTGCATAGTAGCTACGCTATCTAAGATCGGTTGCCTTTTAGGGTAATTGAAAAGTTGAACGATCAGACAGGTCCTGAGTGATCAGGACCCCGCCCCATAGTCCATATGATACTTTTGATGTGGGTCAACCCACCGCGTCATACTTTTAGAATACGACGTGTTGGATTGGCCAACGGGTATGTCTTGGCATGTGAGACCAACATGGGCGCCCCAAGAAGCCGTATGGCCCTAGGCACGCCGGTCGTTCCTCACATGGTTCGGTTCACGGACCTAGCTGTGTTGATTCTAGTGTGTTTGGATATGGGCGCGACTCGCCGTGACACTTGGAAGTGTCACCGCGACGCGTCCACAATGTCCCGTGATCGAATGGATCCTGACATGTGACAAGTTGTCGTCGTGGCATGATCTGAGGAAACGTCCAACTGAAAACCGGGAGTTGCCGCGACAAGATGGTTTTAAATCTCGTAACGCCAAGTCCTGTCCAGTAGTAGTTGTATTATTGAGAACGTCGCACATTGCTCAGCCCTTCAGCCCAAGTTCCCATCTGCAGAGAATGACCCTCTTTGAGAAGTCGACGCAACAACAGATCCCTTTTTGGGGAATGGTCGCGGTCCAAGCGTTCGTCACTAATGGCCCTGAGCCTGGTATAGACTCATAAGACCAGTTCCACAGTAGTGGTCTGACTGCCTTGCTATCGTCGACACTATCCACAGTCGTCGACTGGGCAGTAGACCCTTAAGTCCTACTGAGCGCAACACTGTCATCCGCGACACAATACACCGAGTGGTTCGAGAGTAAACTCTGTAAAAGCGCAAAAATACGCCCTTACAGAGCTGGTGCAGAGCGCGTCTGGTAGCCAGCCTATCACCGGGGTGGTTGGAACCTATGAGAGCAGAAATGAGCCAAATGGAGACAAAGGGGGTATGGAAGCTGGTGGACTTGCCAACGGGGGAGCGGGTGATCAATGGAATGTGGGTATTCGACAGAAAGATAGACGGGGATGGAAACAAAATCAAGAGAAAGGCAAGATATGTGGCAAGAGGCGACCAGATGGTGGAAGGCCGGGACTTTGGAACGAGATGGGCAATGGTGGCAAGGATGGAATCCGTCCAAATGGTCTTTGCGGTGGCGGCTGTCAGAAAATTGCACGTCAGACAGTGGGACTTCTCCGGTGCTTACCTCAACGGAACAATGGACCAGCCGGTTTGTATGAAACAGCCGTGTGGGTTCGAGGAGAAGGGGGGAGAAGACAAGGTGTGCCTTCTCCTCAGACTGATATATGGGTTGGTCCAGGCAGGTCACATTTGGTACAAAACACTGGCAGAAGGGTACAAGAGACTACGGTACCACGAAAACGCGGCGGATCCATGCGTCAGGACAAGGGTCGACGGGGACCAATATACTTTGACAAGCACGCATACTGATGATGTTATTGGAGTATCATCAACCGACGCCGAGGCCAGACGCGTAGTGGATGAGTTTGCGAAATTGTGGGATCTGAAGGAGGTCAATGTGAACCTACTCCTTGGACTTACGGTGGAGAAACTTGAGGACGGATCAATATCAATCTATCAACATCAATACTTCGAGAAAGTCCTCGACCATTTTGGATTTGCTGATGTCCCTCCGCTGTCAACCCCACTTCCACCTGGATACCAAGTCTGCACGTTGCCGACACCGTTACCCAAATCAGACACAAGATTCATGGAAGACAAACCATTCAGACAGATATTGGGATCGATCATCTGGGGAGCACGGGAACGAGACTGGACTTGTCATACGCGTGCTGTGTCCTGGGGCATGTGCAATCAAATCCTGGCCCCAAACACTGGAAACTCCTCATCGGGGTTCTCTGGTACATCCGAGGAACACTCGACTACGGACTTCTACACAGACCAAACGCCACTGGAAACGGTTTGGGGTTGAAGCCGCTTGGCTACGTCAATTTGGACTGGGCCGGTTGCATTGATACTCGGCGATCAACGTCCGGATATATCTTCTTCATGGGTGGTGCTCCGGTTGCATGGTCATCGAAATGACAGGCTGTGGTGGCTCTATCGTCTACCGAAGCGGAATACATTGCACTCGCACGCGCTTCACAGCAATCAATGTGGATGAAGAACTGGTTGGCCAAAGTCGAGCTATGGTGCAAACGATCAATACACCACCACTTTTGTACAGCGTGAGACCTCACTCAGATTTTCATAGTTTTCTTATCTACTTGAGGAAAAGACTTAGTTTTGGATGCTAAAGACATCCCTCAGACCGATTATTGATTGCTCAAAAACTGACCGAGTTAGAATTTTCGCCAGACTGCCGATTCCGGCCACCTTCCTATTTGGGACAATGACGTATGTATACACGTGACTATGCATCGAACTGAGCTGCCAGAGTCTCGGGGATGCGTCTGTGAGACTTGTACTGGTGGGAGGAGAACTCTTTGACCCTCAGTTGTGCATCCTTGGCCCCGAGACCCAATCCATAGGCCTCCAGCCATCGAAACGTTTGATGCTCCCATTTTCAGGTGTCGTGCTGGTGGATCCATCTCCGAGCGAATCTTCGTCTTCATCGTCTGTGTCGTCGAGGTCGATGAATTCGGGTACGCAGTCGACGTCAAAGACCGATCCGTGGTTGACCGTCCCATCCCATAGACATTCGCCTCGCTCAGTTGCTTCGGCCAATCTCTCCTCGTGCTCGCGCCGCTGTTGATCCAGGGACTCCTGTCTCCGCCTGCCCTTCTGTTCCCGGGCATGCTGGATGCTCTTCTTTTTTTTTTTTTTTTGAGTCATGTTTATTATTCCCCGTGGTCGCGTACGATATGTTAGGGATAGATTGTGCTCGTAGTAAATTAGCGCCCAGTAATGTTGTCCTCCGTCCATTAGGTAATGTACTTGGTCATGGCCATCGGGTCCGAAGGGCGCCCGTAGCAGGGGTATGTGGTTCTAGCGGCTGCCTGTGTGTGGTCGGCGTCGCGTTCTGTGACTGTTCTTGTCTCTCGGAGATCTTGTTGTCTCCGTGTCCTGTCCGACCTCTCCCAGAATCCGTGTGAATCGTTTCGTTCTCGAGATGTATCGCATTAGGTGTGGTAACGTTTTGGGGGATCCGAGGAGTTTCGTGATATCCCGCGTGTTGGGGCCTCCGTCTTTGTTCATCAGGCGTCGTGCTGCCTCGTGTGCCGGGCAGGCAAGTAGGTAGTGCGCGACCGTCTCGTTCTCTAGTCGGCACGCCTGGCATCTCGGGGATTCGATCTTGCCTATCCGGTGTAGGTGGCTTGCGAGCGGGACGTGACCTGTGCAGAGTTGGGTGAGTATCGAAGCTTGTCGCCTCGGTATGTTCTTGGTGAGTTTCTGAAATATGTTAGTAGGTGCGTTTGGTAGTAGCTTCCCTAGTCGACTGTATCTCGCTGAGCTCTTCCACTCCTCGCTTGCCCTGGCTTTTAGCTCCGTGTTGTGCGCTTGGACGTTCGCTGATTTGCTGAAGGGTAAGGTGCCTCGCAGGGACTTGTGTAGTATCGGGTCCGTCCGGTGTAAACTTGTTATCTGCGGCGTTGCGGCTACCTTAGCCTCCTCGTCGGCCCTTTCGTTTCCTGGGATATTCATGTGTCCTGGGGACCATCGGATTGTTACGCCGACGGTCGGTTTTTTCTGTCGTAGCTGAGTAATGGCGTTGTCGAGTGCGTCCCAAATGTAATGGGAGGGGTTCGGTGTGCGGCTCTTTGCGGCGTCGATGGCGGAAGTGTTGTCGGCGTATATCGAAACGTTCCCCTGTATTCCCCTTTGTCTGGCGATTAATCCTACAGCCAGGTTCAACCCTATTCCTTCGGCTTTGTAGACGGTGTGTTGCTCGGCCGTGCCCAGATATTTTCGTGCGGTGGCCTTGATGGATCCATTGTGGTATAAGACTGCTGCGGCTCCTACGTGGCCGTCAATCCCTGAGCCATCGGTGTAAGCCCTCCACTTAGCCGGATCTGCGCGCTCTTGCTCTATAGCCGCTTCCTTCGAGGTTCGTGGGGCGATCTCTAATTGTGGTGTCCAATTTGCTGGGTGTCGGATTGGTTTGATAGCTTCCATCTGGTGAGGGTGTAGGTCGAACTCGTGCATGAGTTCGTGTAGGGGGGTACGTTGCCTCTTCACATAGCGGGCTGCTGCGTTGTGAATGGCGCTGCGCAGCGGGTGTACCTTGCTGAGTGTGGCTAGTTGTGCCGCGGCTCAGTGTAGCGTCTTTTTCACCTGTAGATGGATGGGCAATAGGCCCGCGTGTATGTCAAGTGTGTCTGTGGGCGTGGTATTCATCCCGCCTGTAATGAGAATAGTGGCGCGCCTTTGTATTGTTCTGAGCTTCGGGAGGATTCCCGCCGTGGGTGTGATACCTCCTTTAGGTTTCTGCCGTGTTGTGGTGAGGAAGATGTCTGCCGCGTATAGCATTCTTGGTATGCACGTTGCTAGGTATAGGCGGCGCATCTCGGACGGTCCTACCCCGTGTGATGGTCTTGCTAGCCTTGAGACTTGGTTTAGCCAGGTGTGTCCTTTGGCAATGGCGGCTGCCGCTTGTTCTTTCCACCGTAGCTCTCGGTCGATCCAGACTCCCAGTAGCTTGACTGCCGGCGCCGAGGTGATCTTGTGCGTTCCTAGCTTCATGTCGGGTCTTGGTTCCGGCATTGTCTTGTGTGGTTGGAAGGGTTTCTTCACTCGGCGTCTGGACAAGTCCACTAACTGATACTTTGCCGGTCCGAAGGTGGTGTTGTGATTTCGTGCCCATTCTGATAGGCCGCCCGGTCGTTCTATCATATCTTTGATCTTTTGGTGTGTTTCTTTGAAGTCTTTCCCTGTTGCGATGAGCGTCTCGTCGTCTACGAAGGTAACGTCGTGTTCTCCTCGCTTCCTATCCGGGATCTTTGCCAGTCCTGAGTTGTATATGAGCCATAGTAAGCCTGAGTGCGGATCACCTTGGTCGAGGCCGTTCTCGACGTTAATCGGTTCGGATGTGTACCCGTCGAACGTGATGATTGCTTTTCTGCCGGCGTATCGACGGTGAATCCAATCAGTGTGTTGTTTCGGTATCCCCGCCATGCGTAGTTCGTGAGTGAGTACCTAGGTCCAAATCTACACTCGGAAACGCGCCTTTGACGTCTGTGCATAGAATGCTAGCCACTTGTCCTCTGCGCCACGCGTCCTTAGCTATCTTTGTGACCAAGTGTAGTGCGTCGGTAGTTGCTCGACCTGGTCTCGCTCCGAATTGTGATTGAGGGAGGATTCCCACTAGTTCGGCCTCGGTGGTGACTTGTAGATTTCGTGCCGCGTTTTCGATAGACATGTGTCCTTTAGCCAATACGATGGGCCGGTAGCTGTTTGGCGTCTCGTAGCTTGCCCTCCCTGGTTTCCTGAGTACGACCGTGTGGATCCTGTTCCAGTCGCATGGGTAGTAGTCCAATTTATCGCCTGCCCTGAATACTCTTCCTAGCCTTGGTACAAGCTGTGACGCGTTGTATATGTATATGCAGTTGGGCATGGTGCCTGGCTGCCGAGCCTTGTAGGGTTTCAGTTTGGCAATCGCTGTGTGGATTATCGCGTCTGAGAGGGGTTTCCACCTGTATGCGGGTTCAGGGTAGGTCTGCTGATCTGGAACGAGAGACTGGGGTGGTTTGGGTGGAAAGAACTCAGCGTGTAGTGTCTTGGCTTTCTCTTCGTCCGTGACTGCTGTGCGGCCTGTCCATGTGCCATTGTCCATTTTTAGGGTAGGTATCCTTGTTTTGCCCCCGTCTGATGCCGGACCTGCCACTAACTTCTGCGCAACCCAGACGTCTGCTTCCGTCAGCCCTTGGAGCCAGCTCCTCCAGTGTCGTTCCTTCGTCTTGCGGATCATTTCCGTTAGTCGATTTCGCATGGATCTTGCCATCTCATGTGCCGGGTGTTTGGGTATGTGTCGATGCGAGTATGATGCTCGTTGCATCTTTTGCGTTAGTCGTTGTTCCTTGGACAGGTCTGGGGTCCACCAGCGCTTTGAGTGTGGACATGGTTTCGATAGCGGTACGTGCTTGTTTACGGCCATATTGATTGCTTTGTCAATGGCCTTGATCTCTTCCTCGATTTCTTCCGGTGTTCGCAGAGGGCCTGGGGGTCGGTTCGTGAGCTCGGTTGTTAGCGTCCGTCTGAATTCTCCCCAATTCGTCGCTCTCCAGACCCTTCTCTGTGTTTGGGTCGTCCTATCGAGTTCGAGTTCGAGTGTTGATATGATAGGCATGTGGTCTGTGCACGGGGGTCTCATGTCAGGGGCGGTATCGCAGGTAATGAATGACTTAGCAAGGGAGGTGGTACAAAATACGTTGTCCGTCCTGGTGTAGTTACCTGTGCCGTGTGCTTTGAGAGTTGGAATACCTTTTGGTAGGGTCATAGCCATGTCGTGCCTGTTGAGCAGCTGAAGTAGAAAGTCAGTGGAGCGTAGGTGCCTGTTTGTAAAGAGATGGTGATTTCTCTCTTCGTCCCATAGCAGATGGTGCCTGTTGAAGTCTCCGGCCCAGATGTATTTTACCTGCGTGCCGCTCTCTCTGCTCCTCGCTGGGCCCATGAGGTATCGCTGTAGCGCGTGTAGCAATTCGTTGTGTTCGCATGCGTTGTATATGTTGATGATCCGGATGACTTCGCCTGCGGTCGTGAGTTCGATTCCGGTTAGGTCTGAGGAATCTAGCGTGATTTGTTTCCAGTCTGACGTAGGTACGTTCGCGTTCATGAGTATTACAGATCTTGTGGCCATCAGTTTTGTGGCGTGCGTGCTCGGGTATATAGGCGTGAAATGGTGGTTCGTGCGGGAAGTACCACGGAAGTCAATGTAAGGTTCCTGTAGTAACGCAATGTCGTACATTTTTGGTTTTAGTGCGTGCAGTAACGTCTCCTGTGCTGTGAGTGACTTGTTCAAGTTTTGCTGCCATATCTTCAGTGTCTTGGCTCTTGTTGTGTTGTTTGGTTGCATATTCATTCCCGCAGCCATTGTGTGCCTGCTTGCGTTGTGCCCCCGTGTTCTGTTAAATGGTCAGCGCTGTATTCCCTGTCCATTTCGCTTGCCCAGTCCGTTGTTGTCCCTCTCGTATTGCTTCGGTGATTTGCAAAGGATAGGGTGGCCTGTCTCATTCCGTCTGGGTGCTGGTTCAAGGTTTGTCGGGGTTGTCTGCCTCGTTGTGTATTATTTTGCATGTATTCGGCTGTGAAAGCTGCCGCCTGAGACAGGAGGCCGGTGCGGAGTCGTGTAGGATCTTGGGTTTTAGCATTGTAGTCGTCTCTTTGCGTCTCGTCCTGTGCTTCTCGCGTAAGGGTCCAGGAGCTCGGGTCGTCCTCTACCGGATAGTATCTGTATTTTGCGTCCGGGTTGCGTTGTAGCGAGGCCTGCAAATGGTCAGTGAAGGTAGGGCAGGATCTGTCGGCCGCGCCGTGTCTCTTGTGAGGTCGTCCTTTGGTTTTGCAATTAGCGCATTCCCTTTCGTCGTCCCCTTTTGTGCAGTTGCCGGTTCTATGTTCTCCTGCGCATCTTGCGCAGATGTCTCTCGTGAGGGGGCAATCTCTTGCCATGTATGCTCTTCTTTTGAGCCTTGGTAGCCTTTTGTTTGGATGACATTGAGATGCGTAAGAATGAAAAGTCTATGTGGCAGTGCTATCTAGGGTTAGGGTCTCCTGAGGTTGTCAATCCGGGCCCGATTCCGGCCTGTCCAAAAGTGGCGGTGTATTGATCGTTTGCACCATACCCCAATTGGCGCCTTTCAAACTCCGCGGGGACAACCTCGGATCCATCAGCCTGACCGAGACGACAAAAGGGCACAGCCTGGCGAAACATATTGAAATACGTTACCATTACATCCGGGATTGCATTGGTCAGGGGGAGATCGCCGCAGAGTCTGTGCCGGGTAAAGCAAATGTGGCTGACATCCTCACCAAAGCGTTGGGTCGAATGGATCATGAACGGATTTGCCACGCATTAGGACTCGATTGGAGGAGATCTGGCTGCCAGGGGGAGTGTTGAGGAAGCGTGATGTGGGCGCATCACTGGCGCATCATTATTGGCGTCCAGATGTTGATATCTGTTTGTCCCAATTGCTGCTGGGCAGTACTTGAGTTTTCCGATCGTATTTTGCCCCTCAGTCTTACCCATCCTTCCGGTGTGACTGAGGGTGCGTCTGTCTCATATATATATTTGATATTCATATACTTACAGCATCTGTAGACTTATGTATTATCCGTCGTCTACAGGTATTGAGTCTTACCCATCCTTCCAGTGTGACTGAGGACTTACGTATTATCCGTCGTCTACATAGGCCATTTCTGCAGCAACATCTCCTTTTTGTGTGTAGGCACAAGTTTCTCATGGTCAATCTCGCTGGAATACCTATCCCTTTGTCTCATACACTTGAGACATGCCCAGTGGTCCACCATTTGCAAGCAGAAAATACACAGTTTTGTGAACTCGGACATGGTCTGGGGTACAAAAATAACTACTAGAGCACCAAGGAAACATCTAGTTCAAAGCCTAGTCCACCATGCAGGCCACGGATGAATGGCCAGGCAGCATCCCAATTAGGAAGGCGCCTCCAGGATGGCCTCTGATCAGGGGGGGTAGGGGGCAGTTTGATGGCCTCCGGATGGGGGCCTGGAAGCCATTTTACGTCATAATTGGAGGTCACTGGGGTGCTCGTATATGAGAGCACGGTTGGACTTGTTGAGCACTGGGGAGAGCGTCTAGCAGCTCACCTGTGTGAGTGAGAGCTTAGTGTGGGCACTATGCGGGAGTAGTCAAGAGACTTGTATTAAAGGGTAATAGAGCCCTCCTTATATATGATACAGGGGGCCGTTTGTGTCTATTTGGAACGAGTCGATATGACTCTAGATGACACGTGATGGAGTCATAGATGTGTATCACGACATCCATCTGGCAGACGATAAGATCATCATTTGATCAACACTCCCCCACGCTGAAAACCACGGGATAGTGTTTGAAAGCGAAATCTTCATCGGCCATTCCTTCAGGACGAGTTGAACTCAAGTCCTAGTTGAGATCTGAACTTCTCGAACTTGACGCGTCCTAGGTTCTTGGTGAACATATCTGCAGGATTCTCACTGCCCGGAATAAATAACAGTTCAACCTCTTCTTCCTCGACTCGCTCACGAATGTAGTGATAGCGGATGTCTATGTGTTTCATCCTGCGGTCTCGGTAGGCATTGCTGCCACTGAAGAGTGCACCCTGATTGTCACCGCAAATGGGTACTGGGATGGTGAGCTTGAACTGGAGTTCCGAAAGGACGCTCTTCAGCCACATCACCTGGCGACTACAATCTGAGATCGCCATGTACTCTGCTTCGGTCGAAGACTGCGCAACAGTACGCTGAAGTCTAGACTGCCAGCAAATAATCCCGTCTGCCAATTTCGTGAAGAAACCAGTGGTAGACCTCCTCTTGATCGGATCAGCAGCCCAGTCTGAATCGCTAAATGCAATTAGCCCTCTATCCGTCGCACCATTGAAAATGAGCGAATAATTCCTAGTACCAGCCAAATAGCGGCAGATATACAGCGCTTTATGGAGGTGGTCTTGGGACGGATTAGCGGCAAATTGTGACAATTTGGTCACAGCAAATGCAATGTCAGGACGTGTGCCTAGCATGATGAAGAGAAGAGATCCAATTACTGATTGGAATTTCTTCCTGAGCTCAGGATCGACTTCATCCTCGTTTGGCATTGGAACATATCCAGCCGGTAGAGGGGTCGCTGCAAACTTGGCGTTCTGCATCCCAAAGCGCTCTAGTACCTTGTCGAGATAGGGAATCTGATCAATCTTGATCGAAGATCCTACTCTACTGAGGCGTACACGCAAGAACTCTGGAGTATCTTCAGAATTGCGGCATTCCCATTGCTTATTGAACTCAGCCTTGAGAAAGGCGAGGAGCTTCTTGTTCTTGGAGAAGAACAGTGCATCATCCACATAGACTATTATGACGGCTATGCTGCCATCAGAGTCCTTGTAGAAGAACACGCCGGCATCCGATGTTAGTCGGATCCAGCCCATGGCTTTCGTGGACTTGGTCAGCGCTTTCCACCATGCTAAAGCAGCTTGTTTGAGTCCATAGATTGCCTTGTGCAAGCGCATGACTTTGCGCTCTTGGCCTCTTGCCACAAAGCCTTCGGGTTGTTCCATGTAGACCTCTTTGTCAAGCTCTCCATAGAGAAAAGCCTTACTGACGTCGAGTCCAGACCAATGCCAATCATTTAGCGCTGCAAGCGCCATGACCAACCGGAACGTCTCATACCTGACGACAGGAGAGAAAATCTCGTCATAGTCAACACCTTCGACTTGACTGAAACCCTTGGCAACTAGGCGGGCATGTTTTCGGCCATCAGATTTTTGGTCAAAGACCCAGCAACATCTGATAACCTTCCGTCCTTTCGGACGGTCCACAAGGGAATAGACCTTGCGCTGACGAAGTGCCTCTAACTCGTCGCGGCAAGCATCAATCCAACCTTTCTGTTGTTCAGAAGGCAACTGCTTGATATCGCGGAACGTCCAATCGCGAATTTTGGACGTATCAGGTAGGTTCTCATTTGGAACCGCTTTTGACAGCAGCGCCGTGATGAGCTCTACTCCCCCTTCCCGGCATAGCTTCTCCATGCGTGCATCCTCGTCTAGATCATCAGAAGCACCCGCGTTTGAGGAATCTGGTTGCGAGCTAGGGCCGGGAACCCCTGCATCAGCACCGGTTGATGGTTGAGATTGGGAGCTACCCTTATCTTCACCAACATACCGCTTCCAGCCTCTGCTGTTCTGAATATCACGGACTATGTCCGTAGGGTTACGCTTTTCCCCATAGACGTTTCCTGGACGTGTAGGCACATTCCGCTGGCGTGAAGACCTTCGAGGCTCGGGAGCTGGTGAAACTTCCCGACTTGGTCGTGGAATTCTACTTCTACGAGTCCTCTGAGGTTCATCCCGACGCTCTGGCGGTGGGTCCTGACGATTATGACTGTCGTCACCATCATCATTTCCTTGTACGGGAGGTGGTGGAGCCGGATCAGATGGCATGGGGAACGGAAAAGGATTATCTCCATATAGCCAATCTTCTCCGTCTACCTGTGGTGGATCTTGTGGATTCACTGGGTCATCACGTTCTGGAAATTCCTCTCCAACGGGAACGTGGGGTGGTCGATTGCTGTCAGGACAGCGGGGGAACAACTCCTCATCGAACAATGCCTTGGTGGCGACGAACGTGGAATTGTTTGTGCGCATGAATAAAAATCCTTTCACACCATCAGGAATGCCCAAGTAGGTCATCAGCTCCGATTTGGGCGATAACTTGTTGGCGCGCTTCTCATCAGGGATAAAGACGTATGCAGTACTACCAAAGACTCGGAGTTCAGAAACATCCGGTTTTTCCTTGTGAAGGGCTTCAAATGGAGTTTTCCATTTTAGACGCCTGATAGGTGTCATGTTGTAGATCCGTGTCGCATGTTTTATCGCGAATTCCCAATAAGAATTAGGAAGACAGGCAGTGAAGCGCATGGCTTCTGCCTTATCCATGATCATACGATTGAAGTGCTTGGCATGCCCATTCTGCTGATGAGCATATGGAGCACCCTTCTCCACTAGAATTCCTTGTTCCGCGAGAAATTCTTCCATTCCCATCCCCATGAATTCTCCCCCATTGTCAATATGCCACTTTTTGATGGTCACATTGAACTGGTTTTTGACCATCGCAATGAAATTGCGCATAGCCTGCTTGGCATCGGATTTCTGCGCAAGGCATACTGTCCAGCCATAGGAGAGTGCTTCGTCGAAGAAGCTCATGAAGTAATGGTACTTGTGATAAGACACCGTGGGAAATTGTTTGAGATCCGAGTGGATCAAATCAAACGGATTCTCCGCTCGTTTTTCAGAAGGCGGGAAGGCACGTTGGTGCATTTTCCCTTGTGCGCATCCTTTACACGGTCGGGTTTCCTCGGGAAATACTAGGTCTTCTGGAAAGCCCTTGGTATTCTTTTTTGCCTGACGTAAAACGTCTTTCGACGGATGTGCAAATCGCCGGTGCATGATCTCATAATCCACCTTGTAAACAGTGGACATGGATCGCACTGTCTCAGCCGTGCTAGGCTTCGACATCAGGAAGTACAAAGCTATGTCCTTCCCTAGAGTTCTAAACTCCATGATCGAGAGTGGGGACTTCCCTCAATGTAAGCTGATCCGCAATTCGTCTCCACGAACGCGAGATCCTCCTTTGAGTAAGGAGCCCAAAGACATGAGACGACCATGTAATCCTGGCACTAGGTACACTGGATATATCTGAGAAGTCACCATAGTCTTTTCTCCATGCCTTGTGACGTAATGATCAATGAAGGCTGTTCCTCGACCAATAAGGGCAACACGTGTGTTCTTATCAGCGGTCTGAGCAACAATAGGATCTGAGAGCTTCTCATATCCGACCAGATCACTAATCTCCGATGTCACATGGAGAGATGCACCAGAATCGAGAAGCCATAGAGGCCCTAATTCATGATGATGATGATGTTTCCCCTTACACTTAGAGCAGGCAGCAAAATCGGAGTGCACACAGAATAGATTGGTACAAAAATCATGCGATCGAATCATCAACGAATTAAGTACAGAACCCGGGGCGGCGGTGATTACGCGCTCTGGCTGTGAGCAACAATCAGAATTGTGCATATGCCCAAGAAGGCAGGGTACTTGCCTTTCGGCGGAAGGAGCGTCCATCTCCTCCAGAAGGGTGTTGAAGTCGACGACCTCATCCCAATTGACAGGTTCAGCCTGGGCGAACTTGCTATCTCCGAACAGAAGATCAAGATCGTTCTGTTGGCCGGTGGCCATCTCGACGTCGGGGATCTCCTCGATACGACTGCGTTTGGCAGGAGGACCACCATCCAGGGTGTGATTCAAGCCGGAAGCAACCGGAGATGGAGAACGCATAATTGCGTCCTCGCGGAGCATTCCTTTCTCATTGACAATCTTGTCAAGAGTCCGGAAGCGTTCTGCAGTCACCGTCACGTCCATCTTCTTGGCCAGCTCGAAGACCTTACGAGTAGGCTTCTGGAACTCGGTGTCAATAATCCCATTATTGTTAACGGGAGACTTCTCTTGAACCGCGCGGATTTTGGGTCCATCGCGAGAGATGTGCGTGACATGCGAGATCATCGGCGCAGGGATAGACGGAGTGAGCGAGGCGATCGAACCGATAGTGAGGGAGCCAGTGATCTCGGAGACTCCATGGACATGACTGTGATCAGCCTTGCCCTTGCCCTTGTTGTCCTTGTTCTTCTCACTGTGCTTGCCTCGACGGTTCTTCTTCTTTCCATCAGCCTTATCACCCTTATCGGGTGCAGAGCCGGAGCCCTGTTGCTGATTGTTGAACGAAGGGTCATCGCGCTTGCGTTTGGTATTGAACTTGGCCACATGATTCTGGCTTTGAGACTGCTTCTGAGCGAAATGCGTCAAGAGAGCGTCACGAACCGCAGAGACTTTGATCTCGTCCTTGTCATAGGTCTGAAGAACAGTCTCTGTGACGGAGGGAATCCGGGCTATGTTGAGAATGATCATCGCTCTGAGGAACTCAGGGATGCTCAAAGACTCATTCTCCAGGCGAGTGAACGCCGTAGTGATCACCAGCAGCTGTGGATCAGGGTGCAACCCCACGTTGTACTTGGTGTTCAACGCAGTTTGGAAGTACGCATACAGGTCAGCGCACTGAGCACCACCGTATTGGGTCTTCAGGTGCTCCCAGATCTTGGCAGCTGACACTATGTTGGCGGTTGGAATGTTGGCAATGACTCCCTCAGTCAGGCGCAACTTAATGCTGCCCTTCGCCCTGAGATCATCATGCTTCCATTGCTTGATCTCCGATGCGTTGGTCACAGAGCCATCCGTAGCCTTGACTTTGGTTGGCGCGGTCTCAGTCAGCACATATGAGATCCCCTGATGCTCCAGATAGGACTCCATAGTTCCGGACCAGACAAGCCAGTGCTTTCCATCAAAGATGGAGACAGCATTGAAGATGTTGTTGGAGTTGGACAACATGTTAGATCTGTGTGAGTGATCAGCATCAATCTAATCTGATAGATAATAATCAAAGATAAAGATGATCAGATCCTCATAGATCATAATCTCCTTCAGAGATTGATGCATCTGGATCAAGCGATGTAATCGCGATCCGGCATGGTTTCACCAGCGCTATGCAGCAGCTGAAGTGAATGCAGATAGGCTAAAGACGCTGCTCATCGTTGCAGCCAGTGACGGCGCATACAATGAATGTCGCGGCCACTGAGGCGCAGACATAGCTCTCGGGGCCCATAACCTGTTGAGCACTGGGGAGAGCGTCTAGCAGCTCACCTGTGTGAGTGAGAGCTTAGTGTGGGCACTATGCGGGAGTAGTCAAGAGACTTGTATTAAAGGGTAATAGAGCCCTCCTTATATATGATACAGGGGGCCGTTTGTGTCTATTTGGAACGAGTCGATATGACTCTAGATGACACGTGATGGAGTCATAGATGTGTATCATGACATCCATCTGGCAGACGATAAGATCATCATTTGATCAACAGGACTGGTACAGTAAGTTCAGAACCCACCTGACCCCAAGTTCGCGACTGCCGGCGACCGGTGATGGGCACTCAACCAGGTTCGGCTCGGAGGTCCTGATAGTCAGACTGGTCGCCGGAACTTTCGGTCACATTCCAACACCGAGAGCCCTCGAGAGCCTAAGCCCGCGCATCACTGGTCTCTCTGGCTTGCGTGGCCCCGTAAGCGTAGTTGGTGTCAGAGCAACGCCTCCCTATCAACCTTTCATTAAGAGACGCACCCTGTTCTGAGGCTCGAGACGGAGGCTCTTCTAGGCTGTTGTCCGAGGAGAAGGTCAGGTGCCTCTGACGCTGCAACCAGTCATGCTCTGATCCGCGACCCTGATCAACGGTGGCAGTGATCTGGTGGCTAATCCTTTGCTTTTTGACGGCTGCTTGCCACGCCGCACCGAAGGACTGGATCGGGTTCCGCCAGGGTTTCACTGTCTTCGCGCCGCGTTCGGAGGCTGTTGCTGTGGGCATCGGCTGCCGTCACCACTTTTTTGACTCTGTCGTTTTCCGGGGATTAGCCGATAGCCTGGCTGTGGGTCTGTGGGTTACGAGACTTATGGGAGCGGAGGACGTAGCTGAGAGCAGCACGTTGTGCCGACGAATCTCCTTGCCGCATAACAGCATGGACTTCTGGGCGCTCGGGCTGCCGGGCAAGCTGGGGTCGGTATAAAGCAAGGGGCAGTTTCGAGCAGAACCAAGCAGTCTCGTCTTCCCAGTCATGTTCCCTACCATCGCTCTCCTCGCTCTCTGCATCGCTGCTGTCTCCCAGGCGCAGCAGATCGGCACTTACCAGTCGGAAGTTCACCCGTCGATCACCACGTCGAAGTGCGCTGCAGACGGGACGTGCACTACGACGCAGAACGCGATCGTGCTCGACTCGAACTGGCGGTGGACGCACTCGACGTCGTCGTCGACCAACTGCTACACCGGCAACACGTGGAACTCTGCTCTGTGCCCTGACGCGACGACCTGCGCGAAGAACTGCGCCCTCGACGGCGCGAACTACCAGGGCACCTACGGTATCACCACGTCCGGCAACGCTGCGACGCTCAAGTTCCTCACTGGTAGGTCTTTCCGCGGCTCGGATACTTGCGCTTGTGAGTGTTGCTTACAATTGGGCAAGGTTCCAACGTCGGAAGCCGAGTGTACCTGATGGCGGACAACACCCACTACGAGATGTTCCAGCTGCTGAACCAGGAGTTCACGTTCACCGTCGATGTGTCCCAGCTGGGATGTGGTCTCAACGGCGCGCTGTACCTGACCGAGATGGATGCCGACGGTGGGATGGCTCGTTTCCCGAACAACAAGGCCGGTGCCCAGTACGGTACCGGCTACTGTGACGCACAGTGCCCTCAAGATCTCAAGTTCATCAATGGATTGGTGCGTCGATTTGAACGCGACGAGGAATTTGTTTTCTCATAATATTATCACAGGCCAACTCCGCCAACTGGACACCGTCGGCGAACGATCCCAACACCGGCACTGGTTCGATGGGAACGTGCTGCAACGAGATGGACATCTGGGAGGGTGAGTGATCGAATGGGTCTGTGTCGCCTTGCAATCCCACCCACTCGTTCGTTTCTAGCCAACAAGTTCGACACGGCGTTCACGCCTCACTCGTGCTCTGTCAGCGGCCAGACGATGTGCACGGGCACCGACTGCGGTGTCGGCAGCGACCGCTACAAGGCTCTCTGCGACAAGGACGGCTGCGACTACAACACCTACCGCTGGGGCGACAGCAGCTTCTTCGGACCCGGCCTCAAGGTCGACACCACGAAGCCGGTCACGGTCGTGACCCAGTTCCTGACCAACGACAACACCACCACCGGCACGCTGTCCGAGATCCGCCGCCTGTACGTCCAGGACGGGAAGGTCATCCAGAACGCGCCGGCCAAGACTCCTGGCCTGACTCAGTTCAACTCGGTCACCGATTCGTTCTGCAGCGCGCAGAAGAACATCACCGGCGACACGAATGGCTTCGCGGCTCACGGCGGTCTGTCGACGATGAGCGGCTCGCTGAAGCGCGGCATGGTTTTGGCGCTCTCGCTCTGGGACGACGACTCTGCCAGCATGCTCTGGCTCGACGGACAGCAGTACCCGACCACGAAGAGCGCGTCGGCCCCCGGTGTTGCGCGTGGACCGTGCTCGGCGACTTCCGGTGACCCCAAGGTACGAGACCCGCGTCTGCTCACACCTGACCCGATAATAATCCGCTGTTATTGTTGTTCTCCAGACCGTCCAGTCCCAGCAGGGCAACGCGCAGGTCACTTACTCGGACATCCGGACCGGCCCGATCGGCTCGACGTTCAAAGCGGCCACGTCTGGAGGCAGCTCTGGCTCCGGCTCCCCTCCGGTCACCACCACCACTTCGCACGCTGCTACTACGACGTCCACCAGCTCCGGCTCAGCATCGACCGGCGGATCGATCCCCAAGTACGGCCAGTGCGGCAACTCTGGTGCGTCGCAGTCGCTGGTATTGATGCTGCGTTCGCATTCTGATTCGTTCTCCCCAGTTTCCGGCAGCTGTGTCGCTGGCTCCACCTGCGTCTACAACAACCCCTGTGCGTCTTGTGATTTCTGCGAGTTTCCGTCTACTGTTCCCTGACCCGTTTCGCAGACTACTCTCAGTGCCTGTAGATCGTGGATGAGGTTGGATCTGGTTAATACGATACTCTAGCTCTTAATCTCACGAAGATACAATTATAATGACTTTTTCACGTTTCTCATTCCAGTCGTATTACTTCTGAGTCAGATGTCCGACACGGCAGCTGCATGTTCCTGAGTATCGTTGAGCGTTCAATTTCCCCACCTAGATGATCAACTCCAGCCTCAACTTGCCGCTCGTGATCAACCTCAGGTGAACCTCACGGTCAATATCGTTTGCTGGACAATGATTTGACACTGGCTCACACTCTCGCCCGCGCGGGGAAACGTGATCCCAGTAATCAAGACAGGCTCATTCCGCACCGTTGCCGACTATCGAGGAGTTCCAACGAAGGAAGTATGAGAACTCGATTGTGCTACTCAACCGTATGTGCATGCAATACATACTGTCTACTGCGGAAACCAGCGCATCTGCACACTCTGCGCACCGAACGGACTGGCCGCCGCACAGCTCAACGCCTGGGCCACAGTCGCACTACACAGGATGTTCGTCCCGCCCGGCATCGGCTGCGCCGCGCACGCCAGCTGCCCCGTCAGCCCCGCGACGACAAAGTTGAAGTCGACCTGCTGCTTGCCGGTATTCGTGCCGCAGTTCAGGACGATGAAGGCGTCGGCGACAGCACCCTGCCCCGGCGCGGCTTCGTGGATGTTGTAAACGCCCGCGCAACTGGCGCCTGCCATAGAGAATGCTTGGTAGTGCGTGTCGACCACGGACTGGCCCGACCCCACGGCGTAATATTGCTGAAGATCGGTGATGAGAACGGGTTCAACGGCAGAGGATGCGATGTGGTCCCCTCACAAGTTGCGTATCGCCCGAACCCATGATCTGCTCGGTTACCGCTCCCGGAAGCGAGCTAATTGCATTACCGCCAGAATCCACATACCCCACCGAGCCCAGAGTCCCGGGAACATTGCAGCGCGGCAGGTTCGGCGCAGGGGGGAGCAGATTCTGAGCCAGTCAGAGCCAACCATGCGTGCGGGAGCGAACTGACCTGGAAATTGAAGGTCGAGGGCGTGTACTAGAGCGTCGTCAGTACCAGAGCGGACATCGACGTAGTATAGACACTGACTTGGTTCAGTCTGTACAACGGTAAGCAATTCGGAGCTGGCTGGTTCGAAGCCTGGGCAATGTCATCAATACTGTCGCTGTCGGCGCATGTGAGCACTGAGATGGTGTTCAATCGAGCAAGTTCAGACCTGTAGTAGTTCCACGTGTTGATTGCCCGGAATGTGCAGCCGTTGGGGTATGCAGACAACAAATTCGATAGCCAGTTGTAGAAGATGAGCGGCAAGCTTGCCGTCGGATCGAACACGACACTCGGTGTAGCCTTCGAAAGAATCTGCTGGAATTGCGCTGCCGTGGCAGCGAAGATGGGAGCTGTTGCAGCAAAATCTGACCCAAGCTTGAAAAATCTCCAACGAAAAATCAATCCAGTGCATACAATCGCCCAATGCAGCAATGTTGCGCAAGAAAAACTCCGTATCCCGCATCAGCTGTAGACTTTGCGCCTCAGTGAAGCTGATGAATTTGAGCATGTTGTCGAGTTGGGGAGGATTGTCTAGGGTAAGCGTATTGCGGTTGACCACGTTAGATTTGGCTGAGTACAAGCTCAGATCAATGACAACACACGATTAGACGAGACGACCCCACATGCCTTGATTCATTGGTTTGTCAACCCAAACCATGTTGGCAACCTATACAAAGCATAAGCATAAGCGTCAGTCAGACTAACTTGGGCCGAAAAACATACATTATCAATAGCTGCGAGAAGTTGGGCACCGATCGCTCCTCCTACGGCGGGACCGTTGATAATATCATTGCCAATGCTTGGGAGGAATGAGCATCAAATATTCCTGCGGAATGCGGCGCAGAATCACCTCGCGCAATTGGCAGCCTGGTTGGCACCTGGACCAGCCAGAAAGGTGAAGAACTGGCAATAGGTCATTGATGGAGGGCCGACAGAACCCTGGCCAGTGACATACCTGGCTGATATACCCGATTCTGTATCGTCAAGATGATCAGTGCAAACCTTTAGAACAAGGAAATCACGAACTCAAAAACGTGCTCCTCTACAACAAAGCAAACGGATGAGCTGGATTGGGAACAAGCGAGGAAGAGGCGACTTGCGATTGGAGGACACCAGAGGATTGAGCGGTTTCGTTTGACCGGGCGTGTTGACGAGAGTGACACTAGTCCCACCGCCAGCAGCTAAAGGAACGTGAAGATACGGTCCTACGACGAGATTGACTGGGTTGGGCGAGTTGTACACGATATCGCAGATGGGGACACCGGCCTCTGGATATTAACCGTCCAGTCATATGCGAAACCAAGACCGGATGAACGAGCACTTACCGCGTCCCACCCGTTTGACCACATCCGAGCTGTTGGCCCACGTATCCGCAATCTTCTTCTCTGCAGTCCTAGCCGGGGGTTCCTCGCCCAGGCTCCTACGACGCCTTGTGTCAGGATCTGTCCCCTCACCTGACCAATCAGCATTTTCCGGGTCATCCGACAAGCTATACGCCGTCTGGATTGGACACGCGTTCATTGTGGTCGAGGTGGTCGTGCTCGTGCTCGTCGTCTGCGTCTCCGTGTTTCCTTGGCCATTGTTGGCACCGGGACCAGGAGTGGGCAGAACGAATGGATCCGTCCAAGGACCCGTCCATCCGAACGGCGGGACGACCGCCGGTGTGATTCCACCGCGGATGCCGACATCAGCAGGCGGACATCCTCGGATGATCCCGCCAAACAAGACGGACCAAACACCCAATCCGCCGCCACAGCCAGGCCGGCCACGATCGCCTGGAGGACCGGTCACGACCGCGGGTGGAGAAGTGCTCTTCGGCGGGATCGTGACGGTGGACGCCCATGTCACAGGCGAAGTGAGTGGGGCGGTGTAGATGATAACCGTTGCATTCGGACTGGGGGAGATGTTCCACGCTGAGATTCGTGTGTGAGGGACATGCGGTAAGCATACGGCTCGAAACTCACAGAAAGTAGGGACGATAGCACCCGGCTGGGAGATATCCTGGGGAACGGGCTCTTCGACGGGCTGGCCCCCGGGACCGAGGACGATTGCAACGCCTTCAACCGTGACAGTCGATGTGGCCGTGGGTACGGCGACGGCGACTGTAGTCGGTGTCTTGGTGACTAGAGCAAGCGAGGTGCCGGTCACGCCCTCGGTCTGCAAGATCGACAATGTGGTCGTTGACGCTGGAATGACGGCTGTAGTCGTGACCAAACCGAAACCATTCGGCAGGTTCGTGTAGACTGTGGCGATGGTCGTGTACGCTGCGATAGTCACCACTCGAGTCGAAGTGACTGTAGTTTCCGGAATGAGCGACACCGCAACAGATGTGTCGACTCCGGGAAGCTGCACAAAGGTTTCCGATACGGCACCGGGCGGAGGAGATGGATTCGGATCTAGTCTGTGATCAGATGTGCAAATTCGTCATGCATTGACAACGCACCCCATTCAATAACCGTGAAGAGTCCAGTTGCAGAAGTAGCAGTGGGAGGAACACCCGCATTACCACACGCACCGGAAGGGCTTAAAAGACAGGAGTCATTCAGCGCTAGCTAGAGCAGATCGGATAAAGAGACACACCAATAACCATACCCACAAGCAAAACTGCACAATCCATCGTCCGTCACACCCGGAGCCGGCGTCCCTGTCGCCGATGGGGTAAACGGCGGAAGCACAGGTTGCGGACCCGTCGCATCACATTGACAAATGTGCATCGGACACATCCCATACCCACACGCAAAGCTACACAACCCTTGCATGTTTGGATCAGAGATGAAGTGCCCGCTCACACACGTATTCGGATTGAAGGGCGAGATTGTCGCGGTCGCGAGTGGGTGGCTGACCGTGTCGCAAGCGGCAGGCATCGGACAGTAGCTGTCAAAGTTCTCAGGTGTAAACGAGACCCAAACATCGGATTTCACGAACCCGTAAGTACAGTCGAAAGAGCACAGACCCTGGTAGGTCGAATCCAATCCGGCAGCAGGATATCCTGCGGTCGTAGTTGGGGGTGGTCTCTTGGACTGGAGGCCCATCTCGTTGCAGACACAAGAGCCGTACGGGCAGTAACCTATCAGTCAATCAATAAATCACGGTAGATTGTCCCTGTCTAACAAACAACGCACCGTATTGGCAAGCGAAGCTGCACAGGCCAATATAATTGCCGACCTGACTTTCTTGTCAGAAGGGAAGCAAGGTACCGAACTCTCTGAACGCACGCTAGATCCAGCGACACACGAAGCATTGGTATCGTAGATGCTCCAGGATGGAGCAACGCTTGTGCTCGGGCCAGTAGCACCGCCGACCCAGGCGTTCCAGTTGGTGATCCCACCCTGGCACACTTTCGTGATGCTTTGGCCGGAAACAGTCATCCCGCCTACTGTCACGACCACGGAGCCGAGACTTCCGCCATACGCAGCGCTCCCCCGGAAGATGCCCACGCCGCCGAACGGACGATTGTCCCACTGGGCAGGCACAGCGCTCCCCCCGACCGTGACGCTGGGTGCGACTTCGGCGGCAAGGAGCGCAGCGAAGTAGATCTTGTCCTGTACAATCTGCGCCGGCGGATACTCAAGCTGCAGCTGAGATGCGGTGTTGCCGGTCGTGCCTCCGTCGGCGCATGCGGTCCCAGGAGTGAGCCGAAACCAAGCGGTCAGCAGTTCCTGGGTGATCGTCGCCTTGCCGGTCTTGTAGGTGGCGATTAAGTAACTATCAAAGGACCATCGGCACGGGCTGTGAGAATGACAGAGATAATGGAACATACGGAAGAAAGGCGCGCCATCCATCGTGAGGCATGCCATCTGCGTAGTTATAAGGTGCGTTCCCGATGCTGAAGGCTGCGAAAGAGCTGGAATGCAAAGGACCTATCCCTCTCATTGAGCAGGATCATGGAGGGAGACGCGGATGACACACCAATGTAGTGAGACTCTCCGTAATCGTTCCATGTGATGATCTCCACAAAGTCCGGACGTGTGTAAAAGACCTGGTCCCATCGATCGAACCATAGCGTGTCCCCGTTCCAGAGCCAGTTCTTGTTGTATCCGGGAAGATTGGTGTAAAACCACGGCGACACTCATGTACCATCAGCATGGATAGCGAATCACTCTCAGACAGACACACCAGGCATCATGTAGTTGGTCCCGTTCGGGCGGTTATCGATGTTGTCGTTCATGAACTGGGGACGGTCAGCGCGTGTTCGGCCCTCAAAACACCACGACTGACCAGCAGGTACGAGGCATCGGGGAATGTATTCATTGACGCAGGGCCAGTTGGCCACGCTGCCCAACTGAACAACCCGTTCGCCTGTGCAACAATTCAGAGACAGAACGGCAGAGGGAAAGAGGGCAACTCACTTGGCCATACCCCCACGCCTCTTTTGCGCTCACAGAGGACCAGACCGGGATCTTCGAGAGCGTCAGAGCGCCGGGAGAGCGGGATAGACAGATAGACACACGAAGTAGCACCCAGTAACACTCTTGATGTAATTCCAGTCCCCGTGCTGCGCCGTGCCAAGAAAGGTCGAAACGACGGGACTACTGCCCTTCTTGAAGTAATGCGCGTTGCCGATCCAGGGCGTCAGCGTGTCGATCACACTCTGCTGCGACCACGGTCCATTCCCTGCATAGTCGAACGAGATGAACAGCTGGAAGCCCGTGGTCTGCGCCGCCGCGAACGCGTTCCCGAGCTGACCGTTGGCGGAGTCCCCGACAGCCATATTGAGCGCGAAGGCGTCGATGGAGGCCGCCTGCGCAGTCTGCATGTCGCTAACCCAGTCTGCGATGCCCCATGACGCGGTGTTCGTGATCTGTTCAGTAGCGCCGATGGTGAGGTTCTGGGACAGTGGCGAAGCGATCGGGACAGAATCACCATGAAGTGCGCGAAGACGGCATACGCGTCTACCCCCCTGAGGGGCGACAGCAGCAGAGCCGCCACAAATCTCGCGATGAGACCTCGCATGTCTTACACAACGAAGTTGGAGGATCCCTCATGTCCCAGATGCGCTATGCTTTATAGAAACGGATCTGTATCGCGAAAGCTATTTGGGAGTCGAGTGCAGGCGCCATCTACACAGATACGTATCTTGAGACCTGGTTAACTCTAGTGCGTTATTGCGCGCATCTATAAACAGAAAAGAGATGGCGCGTAGAAAGAAGTCGGCGGGTGCAGATCAATCGTGACTGTTTCAAGAATCACGATCAATGTCATGGGGTCACATGATATTCTACGCGGTACCGTGACTGCCTCAACAATCCAACATGGATGACGAACAGCTACTGTTTGACTGTCAGCCTGCGCATTTGCTATATACGTACCCAATTTTTCGTAAGCTTTTTTTCTTATCAAACTCGAATGCTTGCACCCAAGCCGCCGGTCAGACGAAACATCAATATTCCGAATGCGCTCTCGGTGGTAGATCCAGGCTATTCTAGTCACCTCAACTGTCCAGACACATTGGCAGTTCATCAAGTTTCTCGTGATTCATTCCAGATCGTCGCCCGCACCAGGCCCCTGGTCACTATTGACCAGGTCGGCTTGTCTCGGCGCGTGACTTATACTGTATGACTTTGCTGCCAGACGCTGATCGGACTGAGATCACTCCAAATATAGACCCCTTTCCACGGTTTTCGTGCGCCTTGGGCCAAAATTCGGACTAAATCCATTTTTTCTCGCGGCTTGCGGGCATCCTCATCACTCACCCTTACGCAAATGGCCGGTAGTGACCGGGGGCCTCGCCCACCACGTTAATTAATCGACGGAGTAGATGAAGAATCATGAAATCGAGCGAAAACCAAGCGAGTCTTCTCTTCGCATCTAGAAGGACCACGCGGATAATCTTTCGTTCCTTGACTAGACATATCGGGCTTTACGGAACACACAGCAGAAAAACTACGAATACAATTTGAAGGACGTCCAGTTATTTTTATTGCAGTGCGAAAGCGATTTCATCGCCAAGAGTCATTCAAGGTCGTCGACTGCCCATCAGCAGGCGACGTGAACTGGTTGTTGGGGTCGGATTCCCACGTGACGGCGCCATTGTTGATGCGGATGTACTTGTACTCGATCGCCGTCGAGGCCGGCACCTTCACTGTAACTGCGTAGCGAGGAATCAGTTAACCTCGTGAAAAGCATGTGAGTGGCAACGCACTGCTCCAAGTGGGGTAATTCGCAGAAGACATCAACAGCGCACTCGTCGGCGTCCAATTCATCAGCGCTCCAACCGAACCAGTCAAGTAGATGTTCTCTGTCCCCGTCATCAGCACCGGCAGACCCCGAAAAGACATCAGCGCGCACCTCCGAACACAGTCGTGGCAACGACATTGAATGTCACAGTGGCCATGGGACCCTGCGGCCCAGTATGGCACGTGGAGGGGACAGAGAGTCCCGCCGCTCCCCAGCTCACGGGAGCAACACCGTTGTAGGCAGAAAACGCGGTCAAGGCGGCAGCATAGCTCCACGTGAGGTCCAGGGCACTCAACGGTGCGCCCGTGTTACGGTCGAATTGCTCAGCGAGGCCGCCATTGGCGGGTGTGTACTTGGCATGGATGGCGATGAAACCATCCGCAAAGGTCTTGATCGCAGCCGTCAGCGTTTTGAACGTCAAGGAAGACGAGGAGTAGGTCCCTGCGGTCACGGATGACTCGAACTGGCGGAAGAAAGCCAGCGATATCGAGGTGACTTGCAACGATCCTTGTTGCTTCCAAACAAACAGTGCATCGTACAGCTGCTCAGCAACAGCAGCGACGGCAAGATACCACGGCTAACGGGGTCACAGCTCAATGCGTAATCGGTTATCCGAGCCAATACGACGTACGTTTCCGCCCTGGTAGACGTCTTCAGGGTACCGACCCACCGCAACTGCGGCATTCGACGCGATACCGCTATTGACGCCGTAAATAGACCGGAAGGAGTCCACATAGATCTTCAGATTCGACAGTGCCTTGTCCGAGCATGGCTGGAACGTCTTCGCGTCCTGCGAAAGCCCATCAGTCACCTCACTCGCGCTCAACAGCGGTCGACTCACACATCCCGCAGCGGGATCAAACGTGTGGATGCTCGTGAGCGGCGTGTTCGCATCAATCCCTGAGCGTCCACCACCCGTGTTGGCAGTCATATACCCACCGCTCGGATTCCAGTAGCTCTGCAGGAAGCACAGCAGGTTATCCGCTTGCGTCACGTACGCCGTCGCATTCTGCCCGAGCTTGGTCGCGAGCGCAGCCCCTTGACGCAGCGAGCGGTGCTGGGTCGCGGTCGTCCAGAACGAGGACGAGTCCACTTCTTCCCAGAGGTCGAAACTAGGTGTTCCGCGTCAGCCCGGCGTTGAAAGATCACCTCGCACTTCACGAACCCTGTCTGGTTCCAGTTGTTCACGACGTAGTCCAGATCAAGCTTGATGGCAGGCCACAGTTTATTGAGGACGTTGGACGTGCTGGTGTTCTTCGCCAGCCAGTTGGCGTGCGTGATCATCGTCGTCGAGCGGAGCGCGGGTCCATCTTCACGGAGCAGTCAGCTATGCGTTGAGCAACACGATGAGATTATGCCCACCGCGCTGAGGCCGTCCCCATGGACCAGTGAACGCAGTCAAGTCGATGTTGAACTGTGCAGAAGTATGATCGAATCGTAAGGCTACGCGATGATCGGGCTTACCTTGGGTTCCGCCAGCCCACCAGTGGACACAGTTCCGCTCGGGTTGGAGACCTGCTGCAGCGCACTCTCCGCCGCAATGAAGTTGTTGATCTGGCCCAGCAGCGTGGTGTCTTGCCCAGTCGTGAATCTGCAGACAGTCACCACACCGAGGTGACTAAATGCGCGCAAATTGCTTACTGGTCGACGAGGACCTTGAACACCAGTGACGAGTCGCGCACCCAGGTATACAGGTAGTTCGGGTTCACCGTGTTGGGGCTGGCTATGACCACACCAGCCTGCATTGGCCCATATCAGCGCCCAGTCCGGCGGGCAATAACGACTCCACCACATACCGATGCGCCAGACGACTTGGCCCCACTAGGACCGATATTCGCCAGCAACCCCGCCTTGGCGATGGGCCCCTCGCTCGCGACGTACGAGCCCACAGAGGCCTGGGCGAGCGCCGCGCCGCACAGCGAGAGCGTTCCGGTAAACAGCACTGAGCGCATCCTAGTCTGCGCGAGGTCCTGAAGCTTGGCGCTCGCGTACGCCCACGCGTCTTTATAGTAGTACGACACGGGAAGCAGTCCGCTGATCATGGTGCCGTGTGCTGCCCCTGTCCGCGCGGGAATGTGATTCTCCGATGCTGCGAGGATGGCGCGATGCGGGGTGGAGACCGGAGTGATGGGCACGCGGGGGTGGCTGGAGAACGTGTGCCCGTCGCGGGGTCAATGCGTTGATGATGACAGGGTCAGAAGGATCCGAATAGGCTCGAAGGGACCCTGCATCCGCAGAATGACAGATGCGCATTGTCAGGCGCATCGCTGTGACGTAGCATCTGCACATGTTCCCGCTTACTAACCTAGTTTATGCCACCGCAAGCGGCATCTCGCTCGCAGTGTCGCGTGCTCCTGGTATGCAGCTGGAGGACCAGCCCGACGTCCCCATTTGGCAATCTACAACTGCGCGAAGCTGGAGGATCTCCATGACGTCGATCGCACAACGGACACGTGTTTCTTCTCTCCAGATCTCTCCATACTTCAACTTGCTTACCGATCGGGCACGAGATGATTAGATCCGGGCCACCACCATCTATCTAATCTGTCAACTTTTAACCAACCACTACTTACGTACAGTACATGTGTTGATATGACTGGTATACATTTCTAATCCAATAGCTCCAACAGAACAGACCGCCCAAATGGGTGTGCGCCATCTTAAATCTCAGCATTAATACCGACACGGATGATTCTAAGCAGCGACGGGTCAGCCATCCATGCCAGCAGAGGGGGGACAAGAAAACACGCACTCCTCAGCAGACCGCCAGTTCCCGCTCTCAGGGAACATAACCGCCAAACGGCGGTAGATGTCCTCGATGAGGTATTTTCGCAGCCAGTTGATGGGGAAGGACAAGACGCCCGCGTCGACGTGCTTGCTGACGACGTGGTAGTGCGGTGCGCTGCGAAAAAAGACATCGTCAGCGGGTGGGGCAAGCACAACGGGGTAGAGGGAACAGTCGTACATATGTGTCGTCGAGCGGGAGACAGCCCGGATCTGGGCGACTTTGGCCGCCCCGTCCTTCGGGTCGAGTTGCATCTCCAGGGTACAGATTTGCTCGATCAGGGCATCAGACTGGCAGCGGCGTCAGATCGCGCTGCACGGATAATCGAAAAGTTCAGATAACTCACGTTCATGTCCAGCTCTTCCCGGAAGCCGAGGTAGGCTGTGACACCATAGAAACCCTCGACCGTGCGCACTTTCGTCACGGCGTAGCGCTCGGACTCGGGTACGCGGGGGAGAGGCACGACTGACACGGTGAGGAAGATCTGCAGTTCGTGAGACGCAAGCCCGACGTCGCCAAGTGCATACTCACAACAACGCGCGGCAGAGCAGGCCATTGTCGGATGAAGCCTGTGTGACACCGAATGAAAACTGATGACCACGAAGGCAGAGACGGCGCAACATACCAACGAAAGTATGTGGCACACCCTTGCCTCGCGTGATCTTGTGGAACACAGCACACGTCTGCAGGCGCACAAGCGGCTGCTTCTCCTCCCCCTTCTCGTTCTCGAGCATATAGTTCAGCTCGGACTTGGACTCGGCGGTCAGAACGTCCTGCTCGTCTTCGACGACTTCCTCGACAGCGTTGGCGTAGATGACATGGCGGAGGTTCGTGCGGTGCTCGCCGTCGAATCTGTCCTCGAGGCCTTTGGCCCACGTCCAGAACGACATGATCGCCATACTGTCCCATGGATCAGTCACGCATTCCCCTCAGTCAAACTATGTGACTCACAGAATGACACCGATCATGAGCGGAACCCAGGCGCCCAGTGGCACCTTCTTCAGCGAGGCACCCCAGAAAAGCCCGTCGAGGAAGCCCCAGACCAGGAAGTACCCAATGACAATGACGACGGGCCAGTGCTTGACCCAGTGCATGTGCATCGTCAACAGAAGCGTCGTTGAAAACATGACAGTCGCGACCGCAAACCCGTACGCATTGGTCATGTTCGCCAGGTTGGAGAAGACAGCGACGACGACGATGGTGATGATCATCAGGATCCAGTTGACCGTGGGAACGTACACTTGGCCTTGGATCGTGTCGGATGTGTACGACAACTTGAGCGGCGGAAGCGCTTTCATGTTCACCAGCTGCTGCGTCAGACTGAACGTGGCCGTAATCATCGCCTGAGAGGCGATGATCGTCGCAAGGATCGCAAACACAAACACGATCCTGTGATGCTCTTTCAGCGCCATCCACAATCAGACTCGATCGGCTGACCAGAACAATGGGCCATTCGCAGGTCCCGGGATTGTGTTGTAGAAGATGTTGCTCAATACAGCTTCACCATCGTCGATCAGACGAGCGCCCTGTCCCAGATACGCGAGCACCAGAGCCGGATAGACGAACAAGCTGAACGAAATCTGTGCCCCCGTCAGATGGTGTGCGAGGCACTGATGACACGAGCAAAGACTCACGCGGATGGACGCAGCGTTGAATTGACCCAAGCTGAGATAAGGGTCAGGTCACGACGTGTGGCTCGCAAGAGAAAACCGCAACCCACTTGGCAAAGACAGCCTCGCATCCCGTCACAGCAAGCAGCACACCCGCCAGTATGTCGTAGTTGCCGGTCCGCACAAAGAGCATAACCGCACGCGAAGGATCAAACGCACGGAAGATGGCCGGGTGGAAGGTGATGTTGTAGATACCAGTCCCGGCCAGTAGCAGGAACCATACAAGCGCAACTGCGGGCCAGTCAGTCGGCGAGAGGGCAGAAGGATTTCTTGGAACCCACTTGGCGCGAAGAACGGCGCAAGTCCACCGGTCCCGAAACGTTGCGAAAGGAAGATAGCGACGAGCAGAGCGATGGAGATGGGAACAATTTGCTGGGAAACAGAGGCCTTTGCGACGGCGATCCCACCGACTGCACTGGTAACACTCTGAGAAAGGATCAATCCGGAAACGAGCGGCGCTCAAGAAGGTTTCTCACAACAGCGGGGGTGAAAACACCGTCAGCCATGGTCAGGCTGGAGCAGACAAGTCCGTCAGCCATCCAAAGCCACTACATCGGCGACACAAAACGTACGCAGTTCCAAATAGACACTGGAGAGGGCCAGTCAATCACAAAACATCGCCAGCACAGACCGACGACACTCACCCAGGCCAGGAGCGGCAGGCGCAGTTTCTCGCTCATGCTCGACTTGGGGGCGGCAGTCTTGTAGCTGTCGCCCGTGAGCGTCCGGTCCATGTCCCCGTCCGGGGTCTCGGGGGGATAGAGCCCCTGGTAGAGAGCGTACGGGCCTCCCTCGCCTGGCGGAAACAGTCAGGCTGGGAGCACCACAAATCGCGCGAACGATCTCCGCACCTTCGCCGGTGCCAAAGAACAGACTGATGAACACCTAAAAGCATATCATCAGCACACACGAAGCGTCTCGCGGGGCACAGGGACCCACGTATTTGATCAGCGGAAGCAGCGTCAGGGCCCAGATGATCGCGCTGATGCCGCCGACGACGTCCTCGGGAGACGGCACCGAGCCTGCCGCAGGCCAGATGCCGTTGAGCACGTACAGCGGCGACGTGCCGATGTCGGAGTAGATGATCCCGAGCGTCTGGAAGCTGAGGTACAGCAGCGCCGTGCCGCCGAGCTTCACCGCCGTGCGCTTCTTGTGGATGCCGCCTTCCAGTAATGCGTCAGGAGAAGTCATGGGGGCGCAGGCACGGGAGGAGCACGAGGCAGGCAGGAAGAAGCAGAAGCATTCCGTGTGTCCGGCGCGGATTTTATATCCTTCGCAGGGCATACCCCCCGTGCGGGCATCACAGACATTTGATCCCGTTTGGCTGTGTTGCAGGGCTCCGCTATGGCGTATATCGCGCAGGTGCGGGTTTTTAGCTATAGGAGCGCTGTGACATCCCGTCGCTAGTGCCTGTGACAGACATACAGGCGAGGTCCAATTTGAATGCGTGGAATTTTTTGGGCAAGGGGAAGTGGTTGCGAGGAGCAAGCAGAACAAAAGAAAGTGGCCGAGACGACCAGTGCCTGTTGTTTCTGAGACCTACAGGGGCTCGTTTTTCTTGAGAGGGCAGCGTGTGCTCAGGTCAGAGTTTTTCAAGAGCCAGCTAGCGCGCATGATGGTGGCGCGAGAGGCCAATGTCAAGTTCCAAAGACTAGCGGCGAGTGCGTCGCTCGAAGGAGATCGATGAGCAGCACTGCCACAAATTTGATCTAACGTGTGAAAGATTCCCACGGTTGCAATTCAGATCCATTGTGTGGTATGTACTGGTCAACGCTGGAGCCAATCACCAGCCGACAGGGCCGTCTTTGTTAAAGAAGACACCGGTCTCCCCCTCCTTCTCCAACGCGGTCTTCACGATGATCTGGCAGCCCACCTCAGGGCCCATCACCCCGGTGAAGCCATTCAGCTTCGTGGAGACGTAGCCTGGGCAGATAGCCACGACGCGGATGCCCGAGCCCGCCTTCTTCTCGTCAATCGCCAGCTGCAGCGTATACATGTTGGCCGCGGCTTTGCTCGAGCAGTACGCCGGGAACGTGGACAGCGACGGGGCAGAGGCGGAGAGTCTTTGAAATTCTGCCCTTGACTTTTCTGACTAAGCTGCCTTTTTGGGAAGCCTCTGGCACGTGCACACGGAGGCTCCAGATCCTAATTTATTTTCATTATCGGTGTATTTGTCTAGCAAACAAGTTTGTTGACGATCTCGTGACCTCCCACCTTTCTCCCCTGCCCATCACCCTCCTCCCGTTCGACACGACGACCCAACGATACCCCCCGCAGCCGGTCGTGCCACGAGATTTGCGCGTACGTACGGCCTTCCACGCCATTGGGCTTCCGCCCCGTCACCTGTACCTGACGGAGGGCATCGGGGCAGGGCATCTGAAGTGACCCCGTGACCGCTTGCTCACGGCGTCACTTCAGATGCCCTCCCCCGCTCTTCTTCCGCTACTCCCTCATCCCCTGCCCTTTGCATGTTGTCCACTCTCCCTCCTCCTGTGCCACACAGCACCTCTGCTGTACATTTACATTAGTAACTGTACAATTTTCATTATCTCTACTAGCTACAGTGTTGTATGTACCTCTAGGTGTAAATGCTATTTCTTTGTCCCCACTCACTGAACTCTAAAAGACTCATTATTTCAATTCTAAGTTTGTTTCTAACACTTGGATCTTGTTTCATGTATTTTTACTCTGCTTATTCAATAAAGAATGATTTTCGGCGAAATTTCGGTGCCTATCACATGCTGTCGGCCGGCGACTGCCTTATATGGTGCTTCCAAAAAAGGAAACCCAAGGGCAGAATTTTGCGAACTGAGGCGGAGTAGATCGCGAAGGAGCCGGCGGACGACGTGATGTTGATGATCGCCCCGTTTTTGTTCAGCAGGGGCTTCATCGTCTCGGTGATCGCAGCGGTGCCGAGCACGTTCACTTCGAAGATGTCCCGCATCGTGTTGGTCGAGCTGTGCGCCGTTAGCCTCCATTTTCGCTGTCAGCAGCAGCACTACTAGTCCCTGACTCTGTGGTAAAGGCACCAATCCCCGCACTGGGCTGCATGTCAGTGTCGGGCGACCCACCAAATTCAGGATCCGCGCTCACTTGTTGATCAGAACATCCAGCCCCTCGCCCGATACGTATTCAGAGACCGTCCGGAACGCAGCGGCGCGCGAGGCGTCGTCCGTGATATCCAGCTGGACGGGGACGATCTTGGACGATGGATCAATTTCGGAGGGGAGCGACGCGATCGCTGCCTCCGCAGCAGCGAGTTTCCTGGAGCCTGTAATTGTAAGTATGCCGTTAGTCCGGAGATGATCGGTATTGTTATCGACATGGTACCCATAAAAACCACCACACCGGGTGTCTTGGCCAGCTGATGCACTGTGTGCAGGCCGATCCCTGGCGATGCGTGGGAATCCGATCGTCCCGCAAGAACGTGCTGGAGAGAGCACACCTTGGTTCGCGCCAGTGACGAGAAAAGTGCGCCTGGTGGTGGTCGACGTCATGGCGAAGAGAGAGACAGTGTGCGCGTCATCATTGATCCGTCGGCCAGAACACCTGTGACCTCAGTACGTTCGATGCGCCAACTCTGAAATCGATGATGCCAACGGCGAATGATTATCGATACATGCACATAAGTACTACAGAATGGTAAAGTAAGATAGAGTGTGGGTGGCCGATATCGCTACACATTGTTCCGAGAAATGATACATACGCGCGCCAGGCGGATAAGAAGGCACCTCAGCTCGACCTCAGTTCGCGCAACCCCTTCACAACATCCTCCAAGCACCTAACGTCCCCGCTCCATTCTCCACTCCATCCCACCTCCTTCCTGTACATCCCGCTCCTCATGTCGTCCGAGTCCCGGTCGTCAGACCCCACTGCCTGCGTGGAACCGGTGCCAGACGGGACGGGCATCAGCCGCTCGAACGAGAACGGCTCCTCCGACTCTTGGCCCACGTCCCCCGGGACGGCCGCACTATGCACTGAAGAGGAAGAGGACGCGTGGCGGAGGGCCGCGCGCGATCCAGTGCGCGCGTGCGGCTGTCGCCTCCGCCGCGCGACAACGCCCGACGCGGCCGTGCACTCGGACGCCGCACTGACGGTGCTCGAGCGGTTGCGGCTGCGGTTGCGGCTGCGCTTCCCGCCACTCCCAAGCACGGAGTCCAGCACAAGCGAAGGCGGGACGTTGCTCCCCAGCGTGCGCTGCACCTTGGCCAGCTTCTGGATCGGGTCGCACGCCACCGCGTCCGTGTCGGATTCCCAGTCGCTCGGGCTCGGCGGCAGGCTGACGTTGAATGAGGGTGAGATTGAGATTGCGGGGTATTCCGCCGACGGTGAGAGTCGGAGGGCGCGCTCTTTTGACGACAGGCGCAGCGACAGGAAGGCGCGGGAGGAACCTTGTGCGGGTCCCAATATCGGAGATGTCGGACTGAACGACGCGTCAATGAAAAGAGCAATGCTGAACGAGGGATGGTCCATACGACAGTGGTCCCTCCAATAACGTCGAGGAGTCTGTGATCAAGTCTCCGAGCTTCCGGATGGATCGCAGGAACTTGAGTCGTTGGGAGTGGGCAGGTGTCATTAGGGAATCCATGCGGAGGATCGTCGACAGAGAAGTTAGTTAAAGGCGCTTTGTGGCGTAAATGCCGGGCACATTTGGGGCAGGGCTCCTTTAAGCATTCTTCTGCGCCTAGGGGCATTGTTCTGGATTGGGAACAAGAGCACTGGCACGTGACGGATGTGCTGGAATACCTTGTCCAAAATAGGTCCAGCGGGAGTGTGCTTTCACCACGCTCCACGATACATATTCAGCAGATTCTGCTTGGAATCACTTTGAGCATTCTGAGTGATACAGTAAACATAAGAAGACGTTGTAGATGGACGTATACAAATGAAGAGTAAGCAGAAGAATCATCGACAGCGTAAGCGTAAGCGTGAGGTGAGGAATAGATAGCATGAGCAGATGCGTGAGGTAATGCGTAAGTACGTAGTAGCAGGTCGTAGCATAGCGTGAGCAAAGCAAAGAACATTGACAAGAGACGATAATGATAACACAGCGGCAGAAAGTCGAAATAAATGTTCGAAAGAATGTGGGATGTACCGGTGGGGGGGATAAATAGACGCACATGAGAGCCTAGTTGCCGACCCTCGAAATGCGCTTGGAGCCAGGGACGAATGCCTTGAACGCTCGGCGAACAAGCGTGATGGTGTTGGTGTTGGTGCCATGCTCCTTCGGGGTGCAGGGTGCCGCAGGGTACGTCATCATCCCCAACTCGTCGACCGACGCACTCTGGCGCTTGTAGTCCTCGCTCGACACCGGTGGCTGCATCGCCCGACGCGCCGAGTTGAACGTCCGGTACTGCCTCTGGGGGACAGGTCGCTGGTTCTCCTTGCCTGCCCCGCCGACGGTATACGAAACAGGTCCGGCGTTATCTGATTGGTAGCCCTTTCCGACACGCTTCACACCGGTGGTGGCCATCAGGAACCGATCATAGACACCTTCCATACGCCGCACGCTGGGAGAGTCGGGAATTTCCGCAGGAGATTGCACCTTGTATGGTTCAACGTGATATGGTGAAGAGTTGAGCTCGTCGAATGATCGGCTGCGGTCGTCAGAGCGCTTGGATACTGGCGACGCAATGATCAAACTCCGGTCCAGAACATCTGCCAGTCGCGGTGAAGGAGCCGAGACGATCGCTGCAGAGAATGCGTTAGTGACTGGCGAGAACCAATAGATAACACTAACGTTTAGCAATCTCCTTCTCCAGTTGCTCCAACGGCGAAATCCGTCGGTCTATCAGGTCCGCGTGAGATCTGCTCTTCTCTTTGCGCTTCGATGGAGATCCAGTCTCCAACTGGTCAGCTCCATCTCCAGGCGACCCAGTGCTGACAGTCGCTCTCCGCGGACGCACAGGAGTACGCAACTGAGCCATGATCTGGCTCGTTCCTTCGCTGAATCCAGCACCAGCAGAAGTATTCGCCGCAACATCCATAGACGACATATTCATGCTCGAGTCCGCGTCCGAAAAGATCTGACTTGCGGCCAGAATCTTACGAGGCAAGCGAGACGAGCGGCTGGTCTGGACTCTCGGTATGGCGCGGGAAATGGGGGAGACCGGAAGCGGCAGCGGAGGCAGAGGCGTCACTTCGGTCGAGGACGAGGCGAAGTTCTGGCGCGTATCTTCGACTACACGCTCGACGTTGCGCATCCAAATAGCCATCCGATCCATTCGGTTGTCTTCCGCAACTCGTTCATTGTGCAACGCGTGTCGGACGACGGGAAGCGAAGATTTCACTGACACCCAGTCAGCCAAAGGACCGAAAGGAAACAGGCAACTCACCATCCCGTTCAAACTCTTCATCTTCCCAAGACTCGCGCCTCGTACTGCTATGCTGCGATTTGCCGCCGTCCAAAGTCTTCGAAGACCGGCCAGCGGTCGTCGTATTTTTGTAGAATTGTAGAGTCTTATCTGGATCTGTGTCAGAGATACGCTAATCAATGATGCAAGTCGCGCACCGAAAGACAGCTTCACACTGTGCTTGAAGCTAGGGATGTTGAAGCTGTGGTTGCGAGGAGAAGTCACCGGGGCGGTAGACACCTGAGTTTTGGGAGCTGGTGTCGATGGAATCTGCTGCGGCTGTTGCTGCTGCATATTCTCCTTCTCATCCTCCTCTTGTTGTTTCTTCGCACGTTCAGCCTCAATCTGAGCATCTCTTTCCCGCTCCAATTCATCCAATCTCTCCATCTCTCTCAGTCTCTCCTTTTCTCTTTCCCACTCCCTCACTCGGTCCCGCACCGAGTCCCGCTTGACGGGCGCCCGGTTCCCTGTCAGCTCGGATAGAGGTTTGACTGGTGGCTGCGCATTTGCCTTGACCCTGTTAGTGTCCTTCGGGGCAAGCGGCAAATTATCGCGTGTTCGTCTGCTATTGTTGTTCAAGGTGGCCATGACGTGTTGTTTCGCCGGAGACGCCGTTGGCGAGCCTTTGATTGGGGACAAGTCGACAACAGGGGGAACAGGCACGCGTTTTCGCGTTGTGACTTGAACTGGGGATGAGGTCAGAGTCAGCTTCCATTGAGTATGTCGTTCCCACGCACTCTTGTTCAAGCTTGACACTTTCGGCTGCGACTTAGACTTGGTCAGACTACGCTGCAAGCTATTTTCCTTCGACGATGTCGATGCCACAGGACTAGCGAGTCCTGGTGGCGAGAAACTATTCTCTTTATCAGAGGCACCGCCACCGTGCAACCTAGAAGAAGAGGAGCGGTTGCTCTCAAAAGTCAGTGACGAGTTGTAGCTCGCAGCGCGTCCTGGGCGAACAGGGTCAGTAACTCAGAGATGCCCAGCGCAGGCTTATATACGTACTGTGCAAAGACTCGGACTCTTTGGAAGAGCGCCAGAGCGAGTCGTCCATCGCATCAGAAGTGGTGCAGCGCAAATCCGCATTGGGCGAGATCATCTTGCGTAGCAGTCGCTCCATGCCTTTGGACATCTTCCACGACCCAATCCATTTACCTCGCAGCTGATCCAAAACGTCAATGTAAGCATAGAGATGAGGTCTTCGAAGAACGCACTGTACGGGCCCAATACTTCTCCAGATCCTCCTTTGTCGAGAACTGCTCAGAGTCCGAATGCTCGAAGGGTGTCCTCCCGACAATGATTTCAAAGAAAGTGATGCCGAGGGACCAGACATCGGACTTTCGTGTGTCGTGCGGGAGTCCTCGTGCGCGTTCAGGCGAGAGATACTACAATTAAAAGTCGGTCGGCCATAGGCAGGAGGCTGAATGTGACCCAGCTTACCTCTGGCGTACCATACGACAGATTGCTATGGAATGCCGTCTTGGATTTCACATCGTACTTCTCTGCGAAGCCAAAGTCGACCAGGACAGGAATGTTCTTGGAGGACAGAAGTATGTTGGCCGGCCTGAGGGTAGTATTCAGACACGCTCGTCCAGGACGGTACCAGTTTACGCACTTGATGTCATTATGGACAACCCCTCGTTTATGGAGAAACTCCACGCCGGAAAGAAGGAACCGAAACCATTCCCGGGCCTTAGTCTCTTCTACTTCGACAGGGATGAGCTTGGGAAGGTAGGCCCTGTGTAGATAGTAGTCAGTCGGTGTTTGTTTGTCAGACGGTTGACAGCGGGCGCAAGAGCGACCGAGACGCGTCAACGAATACGCACATAGTTATCAACGCGTAGGAGGGCGTAATAATGAAAGAGTGGAATGGAACAATCGACGGGTGCGGGTCCGCTTTGAAGGACCGAACGATCTTCATCTCGTTCCATCTGCAGGTAGACGAATGTCAGAACGCGTCGAATCGAGACGAAGAAGCCAAAAGAAGGAGGCTTAGCAAGAAGAGACTTGACTCACAAGGACCTGACGCGCGCAGCGGTGGTCGAGGTCTTGGACCGATGCACGAGCTTCACAGCGATCTTGGCTTCGCGAACGCGTACAATGCCCTCTTCATCAGCATTGTCGCCGTTGGGAGATGAAGGCTTGGGTTGACACAACCATACGCTGCCCCAGTTGCCAAATCCAATCTCCTCAATGAATTGTAGTTTCTCAGAAAGCACTGTGAGGGTGGAGTCAGTGACGCGGGAAGAACTAGGCAGTGGACGCGACGCGACATACCTTGGTCAGAGACGGAGAAAACATCAGTGGAGCCCTCAGGTGGCTGCGGGTAGTCCATTGTGGAACGAGCCTATGCGTGAAGACACAACAAGGACAAGGAGGGTCCAGTGTTGAGTTGTGTCACGTGGTCACGAGTGCCGTACGCGGGATCAAACACGCGTGTCGGACGAAGCGAATGTTCCCATCTGTCATCCGCACGAGCTCAACTCCGAGCGAGTCGCATGAAGAAAGAGTCTCTTGAACTCAAGCCAACTCCATAGAAAGCGAGCGATGAGCGGCACAGAACAACTGTGCAATAGGGGGTTCGGAAAAATGGAGTCGTTCGATTTCAATCTGCCTAAACAATGCCAAGTCTGATTAAACGCGGTCACATGTCAGTCACATGTTTCACTTGCATTGACAATTTTGAAATTTTAATTTCGTCAGATCGAGTTTTATTCACCCACAACTGTGTATTGGAAGATATTTTCAACAGAACCATAACGATGGATATATCTGGCAGTTATGTCCGTCTGTAGTTTCATGTTCGTGTGGATCGGGTATGACATCTTCAGAGTTCAAGTCAGCTACAAGTACAATTCTCCTTACCTGCTCTAAATGAACTTGAGCGCACAAGCCTCAGGGTGTAAGTTTCAATGTGACTCAGTCCGGTAAGTAACTGCCATGAAAGTCACTTGGCCATCTCCCTCAGGGAGTTAGTTGAAAGTGTATAGGGCCCACCGCTACATTTACTAGAGCATTCCAAGCGTTCTTACAGTCGCCATTTCATTAGGGTCTGCTGTGTACTTTGTGTCGAAAGTCCGTAGTACAGTCAGGTGATCGCGTATCATTCCATGTCTGAGTATTCAAGCCTACAGGCCTCATTGAACCTAATAAAGATAAAATTGGACTGTTCTCTATAGGTCTCTACCCCTCCCGCTCGCGTATTTACATTTACAATTTTCGAGAGTCTTGAAGCCTTGAACTCGAGTTCTTGAATATTACACCTGGTAGTTGTCGGCTTTCGGGCCGTCTATTTCCCAATCCGTACATCGCCTCCACCTACTGTCGTCAAGGCATCAGCGTGTCAGTGCCAGCCAATTCTGCTCCCCACCACCACGATCTGGTCATGTCCTTTTTCAAGTCAGTCCCATCTTCGTGTTCCTGGTTCTTGCCATATAAACCTCCTGTGTGCAGTCGAAATCGTGCGCCTCCGCGTTCAAAGCGTTCACCGACTCCAACACGGCAACTCAGCCGAAAGGACTCTGCTGGCTCCGAGCCACCCTCACCTGGCGTCCCGAGCGGGCCCAAACCTCTGTATCTCTCGCGCCCGTTTGCCGATGCTGCTCTCGTTAAGGGCAACTTCAAGACCATTGTCATGCAACCCAAGTACGTCGATCCGAATGAATGGGTTGCGGTCAACAGTGCGTGATACTCCTTCTCTTGCATGTATGCATCCCGGATTTCACGTCTGATGCATCTCCCAGTCTACGACTTCTATACGAATCTGAACGAGTTCTACGGGGTCTTGACGGAGTGTTGCACTCAGCAGAGCTGTCCTACCATGTCCGGTGGTCCGACGTATGTGGCTGGTATCTGCGTTGGATACATCATGGCATACTTATACCATGACGGATCTCAACAGATTGAACTACTTGTGGGTGCAAGACAGGAAGAAAGTGACCTTGTCTGCCCCGACATACATCGACTTCGTCATGTCCACCGTGCAGAACTTGATCGCCGACGAGAATGTGTTCCCCACCAAATCAAGTGCGTGTAGATTCATGAATGAACGCCCGGACCTTCTGATGCTCGCTCAGGTCAGCCTTTCGATAAAGACACCTTCCCTGCCACGGTGAAACAGGTCTACACCCAACTCCTGCGAGTCTTTGCACACTTGTACCATGCGCACTATTCCGCAATTCTCCATCTTCGAGCCGAACCTCACTTCAACTCCCTCTTTGCACATTTTCTCGCCTTTGGCACTCAATACGGGCTATTCGATGAGCGAGATATTCGTGGTGAACCTGGTGCGGCCGTCGGTGTGGGCATGCTCTGGGAGCGCTGGAAGAGCGTGGGGATCCTAGAAGGGTGAGGATCACTTTCGAGGCGTGTATTGACTGGGACATGTACATTAACGGGATCGGACGGAATGCAATTTCTCTTCATCGGAGAAAGGAATGGCAGGGGCTTTGTTCCTTCAGAGCGATTAAGGGGATGATCGCCATAATTCAAGAGTCCCTAAATAGATATACAAGGAAAGCAGAAAGTGCAGAAGAACAGGGAGAGTGGTCATGTCGATGGATCGTGTAATACAGCCAGAAGATAACGGTCGTCTACTCTTCGTCAGAGCATCCTCCAATTGAGTCTCATGAGGGAACACTCACCAGGGGATATGAGAATTTCGTGGCGCTTCGTCCGAATGCGCAAGAATCGCAGATCCTCCTGCACAGAATGAGCCCAGATCGAGGACAGTTACGGGAGCATAGACGCACCGGATCCGCATCCGCACTTCCGTGCACCTCCTCCAGACCTGTGCTCACGCTCTCCACGATCCTCCCAATGGCACTGGCATACCGTCGACCCTGCTCGCCGTCGAACACGCTGCCCGAATGTCGTATGATGCTGACCGGATGTCCCCGGCTGACGAGTATATAGCCCAGGACCGAGCGATGAGAAGAAAGCAGAGACAATGTAGATTCAAGTTCGGGTGTCATGCCGCCAGAAGTTGAAGTGATTGGCGCGGTCGTGGTGGATTTATTGAGCGCGGAGGAGCTGGGGGGTAAGGTCGCCGCCGTGTCTAACGATCCCACTGGTTCATGGCATAAGTATCGGCTGCATCTCTGAAGTCAAACTGTGGAACGGCATACTTGCTAGTAGAGTGTTGCGAGAAGTGACCGAAGGAAGTTGTTGGTCTATGTTTGATCATCATGATGCCAGAAAGGACATGCTTCAAAGCTCTCAGGGCGGCAAGCTCCACCAAATCTGGGCTGGCTGCTCATCCTGGTATCCGCGAAATACACTGTATCTGGGTCCCTGCTGATCCCTGCTGGACGCATAGCGATGGACTATGCTTGAGTCTTGTTGAATGACAATCATCATCCTCGTGGACTGTGCACTGCGAGCAGCGCACAAGTAGCCTGGGAACTTCAAAACTTCAAAAGCTTCAGGAATGAGTCTTGCAATTGTTCCCATCCCCTCTTTCTCAGACGCAGAGTCGTACACAGGCCCAGGTCGCCAGTAATTAAGCAACCAGAAGTAGAGATCTTTCCTTCATCTATCTAGGACTGGACTCTCATTGAGCAGTCTTATTGGTCGACCTGGTAATAATCGCGGGATAGATGAGAAAATCGTGCATGTGATGCCATATCGATACTCGCTGACTTGACGATTGCCCGCCGGTGGTAACTTGAAGCGCCAGATACGTTATGAACATCCTATCCCGCAGCGTCGCACTTACGTAACGGATACTGATCTGTATCCAATGGCGCTTCTCTTCCAACGGCGTCTCACGAATGCCAGGCATGTCCGTGCCAGACCATGCGTGATTGTGTCAATTGACTCAGTTTTATCGAGTTTATTTGTATTCCCGCTACGCGACTGTAGCACGTAGATATGTACAATGTAACATGGACTAGCCACACTACGGTACGATAGTGTCCCAACTCTGAGTAGAGATTCCCAAAAACACAATGCGCACTCAGGAGCCACCGTGTCCCCGCTTACAGCAGCAGACCAGCGACAACACCGGCAGCAATGAGACTCATGCCACCCGCACGGGTCATCATCGCACCCGCCGTGGACGCTGCCGGGGCGCCAGCGGAGGCAGAGACAGAGGCGGCCGCACCAGCCGCAGCTGAGGCGACTGCACCGCCAGCTGAGGCGACCGCACCACCAGCTGCGGCTGAGGCGGATCCAGCAGGGGCAGCGGCGCTGGAGGAGCCGGAAGAAGTGGTGGCAGCACCACCCTTGGCGGCAGCCTGGAAGGCGTCGAACGTGTTGCCTGTCGCGGGTGCGTTCACGGAGAAGACCATGCCTCCGGCGCAGTGTCCGACCTGAGCACAGTAGAACCACAGGGGCTTGCTACAGTACGTTGTCAAACACGCCGTAGAAAAACGGAGATGTATGCAACTCACCTCGCGTCATTCACGGTAAAGCTCCATTGGGGGATGGTGGCAGCACCTGATGCCACGGGCTGGAACCCGGAGCTGATACCGCTGGCCCTGAGCACCGCTTCAGTCCGGTGCAGAATATGCCAATGTTCATATATACGCACAAGGGAGCGCAGGGGCTGGCGAAGGATGATTGAGTAACGGTCTAAATCGATGATAAGGATGCTTGCGGCCGACATAGAAACTAGCTCATACGTGGTTTTTCGGGAAGCTGGACCAAAAATTAAGCACATTGGTGCCTGTATCAAGAACGCGCGTTACTCACAAGTTGAAAGCCACAACGTCGCCCACTGCTGCAGTCACGCTTTCAAGGAATGAGCAGGATCCGCAGCACATGGATGGAAGACGTACTTGGAGGGGGTGTATGTCAGACCGTTCTGGCCAACGGCGACCGTGATGGTAGCGGCAGAGACGGCGGAAGCCAGGGACGCAGCGGCGGTAGCGAGAGCGAGGAAGTGCATTGTGAATTTATGAACGACGTGCGTGAAGGTAGTAGATGAAGAGCCTGTTGTATATGATTCAATAAAGACACCGATTCCGATGAGTGAATTACATACGCTGCTCCTGGCGTGAAAGTAAAAGTGGGAAAAGAGTGGGAGAAGGGAACGGATACTAAAAATGAAGTCAGGACCTTTATAGAACTGATCGTGTCATCTGATTCGCTTTCCGTCGCCAAGAGGGCCCCATAGATTTGACACGTTGCCAGGCGACAGATTACATCATAAGTAAATGCTACTTCTCGTCGGCAACGGTGTCCTCAGGCTCGGCCTCGAGATCCGGAACACCAAAGACCTGTTTTCCATCAATCAACTCGTCAATCTCCTCCAGGCTCTTTCCGGCTGTTTCCACCCAGTACCACAGAACAAATGGAACCTCGAGCGCATTCCAAGCTGCGTTGATTACATAAGTCTTCCATCCGATGTTGGCCACAGCAATGGGGAAAGCGAACACCGCCATCAGCCTATTAGGGGTCAGTGAAACATGTTAGACGCAGGAGGGACGTCACTCACGCTGTGCCATTCAAGACGATTTGGAAGACACCCATCCCATTGGCTCGGACTGCGTAATTCAAGACTTCCGGCGGATAGACGTACAGCAAAGGCGTCCATCCGAAGCTGTACGCCCCTTGGAACAGGAATATCATCGCCACAGTCGCATAGATTCCGGCGTTGTTCGTCGATGTTCCAAAGGCTGTAGGCGATATCAGGATGATGATGACTCAGTGATAGATGCAGCATACTCTTCGTCAACGCCCCGACTAGGAAGAGGAAAATCGTCAAAGAGCTGATGCTGATCACTGCTGTGCTTTTACGGCCGATGCGGTCAACGAAGTACGTTCCTGCCAGGGAGCAGACCAGACAGAATGCATTCAAGATGATGTTCTGCCGGGATCTCAGCAACGCATGGATGGGCCACGTCGACTCACGATCTGTAACTGGGTGGTGCTGCTGGTGATCCCGGCATTGTCGAGCATCTGTCCTAGAAAGATGTGAGCACATTAATAGACATCAGTGATGATAAATCGCACCAAGATAGTACGAAACGATCACATTTCCTGGGAAAGGGCTCAGAACTAATAATAAGCATGGCAATCATCCAGAGCGAACCAGCGACCGTGCTAAAGACAGCAACAGAAGACCCCAGTATAATTCGTTTCCGTGCCGAGGGCGTCTGGAACATCTGCTTCATCGACAGCGGGTCCGGTGCGTGTTTCTCGGTCTCGATAGCGTCGACAATTTCCTTGTAGTGCATTTGGACGGCCTCGTCGTTGACATCGCCGTTCGCGTGAGTAAGTGCGACGACGACGAGAGCCTCCTCGGTCCGTCCCTGATACGCCAACCACCGCGGCGATTCCGGTATGAAGGGAAGGATCACGATGCAAAGGATGCTGAAAACACCCTGCACTGCAGACGGAATGCGCCAGGCCCAGGTGGAAGGCATGAACGAGGTGCCATACGTCACGCCCGCTGCGATCAGTCCACCGACGTAGTAGAAGTCGTTGAAGACCCCCAGCCCCCAGCCCCGCCACTTGGAGGGAAGCGTCTCTGCAAGATATGCCGGCCCAGTGAGCGCCGATGCTGAAGTTCCAAACCCGATGATGATGCGCGCGACCACGAACATCGCGATGTTTTGCGCTGCGGTCTGGAGGATCACCTGCGTCTCATTCAGATTTCACCCGCAGTGGCCAAACCAGTTTACCGACAGCGATGATAGTAATAACAGCCGCCCAGAAGAGCGCAGGCCGGCGACCGATGATGTCTGTGACCTTGCCATACGAAATTCCAGCGAGAATGCCTCCAATCCAAACAGACGCGGTGTTGAGCGATGTGGTGACCGTGTTAAGCTCAAAGTAGTTCGCGTATGACGGAAGGATATTCAACCCATTTCTAAGAGAGAAAGTTAAGGTCTAATTGTCCCCGTCCAGTTCGGGCGCGACGCACATCATAGAGCCGTCGTATCCAAACGTCTGCATTCAGTACTTCAGCCCAGCTCCAATGCTGTCTGAGAGATCTCACCGTTGAGGTGATCATTGAGCATGACACCAGCAGGACCGAGATCAGGACCGAGGACTTGGGGACCCGTTCCTGCGTTGCGAAAGGTAGAACCCGGCCAGAAAACTTGGAGGCCATCGCAGTGCGGAGCTAGGCCTGGCGCCTGGGAGAGTTGGCCTTATCGGCATGTCGGTGCTTCTGTGGCACTTGTGAGAGCGAGAGATGCTCAGATCGGGAGAAGCGAGTCACCCCAGATAGGTAGCGATCGAGCTCAAGACAACACAACTCAACAAACATCAGGATAGCTGTGCAACTATGATACAGGGTGTGATATGTGAATGTAAATAGCAAGAGAAACAAAATTAATCGTTTGCTTGTTTTTGCTTTTTCTTGGGTGGCTCTTCGTTGTCACCGTCAGTCTTCTTGACCTTGGGCTTGGGCTTGGGCCGCGGGGGCTCGTCGACATCCATCTCCTCGCCGTCGGCTGGCTTGGCCTTGGGCTTCGGTTTCGGTTTCGGTCTGGGTTTCGCCGCTGGCTCCTCGCCGTCAACATCCATCGCATCATCCGCTGCCTTGGCTTTCTTCTTCTTCGGTTTAGCGGCACCATCGCCCTCTGCAGCGGCAGCTTTCTTCTTTTTCTTCTTTGGTGCATCGTCGCCGCCTTTCTTCTTCTTGGAGTCCTTGAGCAGAGCCTCGTCTCCACTATTGTCTGAAGCCGTGGCGGCACCCTCTTCCGAGTCGGAGTCGTCTTCACTGGGGGATCCCGAATCAGAGTCAGACGCGGCAAAGTCCTCTGTCGAATATTTCAGCAATGGTTTTCATAGATGTGTTCCGCGACTTACCGTCTTCAGAACTGTCGTCGTCATCGTCCTTCATGCTCTTCACCTTGGGGCGCCTGCCACGCGAATCGTCCGATTCCACGCTCTGCATGTCGTCGTCATCGTCGTCATCCACAGCTGCCAAAAGTTCCGCGTCTGGCACGATCTCCTTCACACGGATCTTCTTCTCTTTCAAATATGTCTCCGTTGACTCGAGCTCCTCCTTGTTGATCGACACAAACATATACTCGGGCCCGCTCTTCGTCACGATCTTCAGGTCAAACGTCCTAGCGACGGCTCCCTGGCTGACACGTGAGAATATGACCTGCTGTACATCAGACAGCTCGATGAGAACAGGCTGCTTGGCGACGAAGAATATGTATTTCTCCAGGAAGAAGAGGTCGCCCTGCACTGCTTTCAGATTCACTTTGATCCCGGGATGACCATCTCGACTGCTCGAGTATTTCAAAACACATCATAGGTTAATCGTAGGGACATACCTTGTGAAGTTGCCTGAGCCAATGATTTTCTTCTTCGCCAACGCTCTGAAAAGACTCGAAACGACTTCGAAAGTGGGATCTTCGTAGTTCTTCTTCAGTCGATCGTATTGCGCAACTTCCTCCCTGGGAGACTGTTCATGGGGAGAGATGAAAGCACAACAAACTCGACGCACTCGGTCATGTTGAGCTCTGCAGTGATTTCCTCTTCACGAGTGAACTGCATAACGAGATATTGATACCTCGTTTGGCCTTGCCGAATAGGCTGACTCAGGCCAAGCTGTACAGGCGATCAGCTCTAAGTCCTATACGACACATAAGTTTTGGCGTACGATGAATAGCACATGCTGATCGTCTTTGGGCAGCAGAAACAATTTGGAGATGGTTGAATAGATGATCTTGTAGTCGTATGTCTTTCCACGTAGCCTGAGAAAATCGGGGAACATGTCCACATCATAACGACCTCGCGGAGTCAGCACCAGCACCTCTTCGAAGCTGAGGATGATATCCCCGGTGACCTGGCCGATATCTGCCGCCTCCGTGATGCTATCGTGGAAGACCTGAGCGGCGCTGACTTCTTCATCGTCTCCTTCATCGCCAGACTTGTTCGACCCATCGTCCGAGCCCTTCGGGATCTTGGATGTGGTACCAGGAACGTAGAACCGGATCTCAGTCATCTCGTCTGCTGCATGCTTGCTTTTGGACGAAGACGACGGAGGCGTGAATTCCAAGGAAACTTCTGTCCTGCCCGCGATGTTGGAGTTGCTGACTTGACGAAGAGGGAGTTCGAAGGCGAGCTTGCCAGAGACTGAGAAAGCAAGGTCTTGGCCTATAGGAGCCGTCAATTAGAAATAACGCGTAGATTTGAGAGTCTTGCACACCCTTGAAGTCTGTTTCACCCCAGTTCCAACCCTTAAACGACACATCCACCTCCTCAAGCGTGATTCCGAAGTGGTTTTTGACCAGCTCCGTTAGTCTTTTGAGGTCCTACAGAGAGCCGTCAGTCGTTGAAATCTATAGGCACGCGTCTTTTTTGCTCACTTCTCTTTTGAAGCCGTCAAAAGTCTCCCGATTACGGTCTTTGAGACCAATTCGAAGCTGAAATCCACGCGCCACCCGTAGCCATTGCACAGACTTGATGTCCCCACTCGCAACGGCCGTCACATCCCCCGATTCGATGCCTTTCCAGGCCATACCGCTTGCTGCTACACGCATTTCTATGGCAGAGCGTGAGTGCCGACAAAATTTTATACCGCCAAGTGAGAGTACACGCACTTCCCATCTCGGTCGAGAGACCCTTGTATATGGGATCGAACTGAGTCGCCGCCATTTCTGTCGAGAAATACCGCAAAGTCTTTGCGAAAGAGAGATGTGGTGGTGGAAGTGGGCAAGAGAACGCGACGCGCCGCGCTCAGCCGAGACACAGCCACACTACCTTGCAACTCTCTCCTGATACCATACTCTACTGCATCATCTAACGACTACATAAAGTGCATCGCTAATGGACTCGCTCGAGTCTCGCTCCCGCTCCGTCCAGGAACGCACGTTCTGCAAATGGTGCTGGGATCGTTCAACCATTATCCTCACATCACTGACTGGCAGGCGTTACATCCCGGAAGGCTTAACACGAAGCTGGAATCGTTTGGATATCCACCCATGTCCTCGTTGGTGCGGGATCTGTCGGATGGGGTGCGGCTGATTCAGCTCATGGTGGGTCCCTTGCGTCTACTTTCTCAGCGCGCGTCTGAACTGCTTTGTAGGAGATCATGGGTGCGCTCTCTTGGGAGATCATGGATTTCCGACCTCAATCTCGTGTGTAGGGGACGTATCGCTCGGAAAGTATAACAAGACTCCGCGTATGCGAGTGCAGAAGGCCGAGAATGTGAACAAAGCCCTCGAATTCATCACCTCTCGAGGGGTGAAACTTACCAACATCGGACCTGAAGGTCAGGAGAAACTCTTTGGCTCCTCGACCTGATTTGAACCCATGTGGCTCCCTAGATATCATTGACGGAAACCTCAAGCTGATCCTCGGCATGATATGGACGCTCATCCTCCGCTTCACCATCGCGGACATCAGGTCTCTCGATTCCCTGTGCTATAAGATCATCATGGCGCTCATTGTCTGAAAGTGAAGAGGGTCTGTCTGCCAAGGAGGGCCTTCTCCTCTGGTGTCAGCGGAAAACGGAGCCCTACAAAGAAGTGAACGTGCAGGACTTCTCTCTCAGTTGGTCAGATGGGTTGGCGTTGTGAGTGTTTCATAGCCATCAGAGGGTCTGTTGTCTCATGACGAAATACAGGTGTGCTTTGATCCATTGCCACCGACCTGATCTTCTCGACTACGACAAATTGGACAAGGTACAGTGATGCATTTCTATGCCTTGGATATATTTACCTTTCATTGCAGTCTGACCGCCACGGAAATACAAGACTCGCGTTCAAGATAGCAGCAGAGCACTTGAATATCCCGGTGAGCTGCTTTCAATCAAGCATGATCACGCTCCATTTATGGCTCTGTAGCAACTGCTCGAAGTGGAAGATTTGTGCGATGCGGCCAGGCCGGATGAACGTAGTGTGATGACATATATTGCGAGTTTCTTCCACGCTTTCTCTTCGATGGGTAGCCCCCTTTCTCCTCTTGTGTCCCGTCAGCCTTACTTTCCAACAGAGCAGGTCGAAACCGTCTCCCGACGCGTCGAGAAATTCGCAGAACTCATGCAGTCGGTCTGGATAACGAGACACGACTATGAGCGCCGAGTCCGTCTGGTACGTCGTTATCTCCCTAAATTCAGCACTACTCAATTAACTCCCAGCTGTTGACTGCCCTTGACGAAGTTCAGACGAACTGGGCCGGCAGCATCTTCACTGGAACCTACGTCGATGCCAAGGAGCAATCCTCCGATTTCAATGCCTACAAGCATTCTGCAAAACGCGCTTGGGTGGTAGAAAAGCAGGATCTCGCGACTCTCATCGGGAATGTCCAAACCAAATTACGGACGTATGGGCTGAGGGAATACGTTCCACCTGCTGGGCTTGGCCTAGGTGACTTGGATGATGCATGGAACCACCTGTTATCATCAGAGGCCAGACGCTCCAGGTCTATCAATGCGCAGATCCGACAGTTCGTCCTTTCGAACGTGGTCATTCTTGGGTTCTCACCGAGTTTTTTAGAATCAAAGAACGCTTGCGAAAGTCATTCGCAGAACTTGCCAATGATTTCGAACAAAGGCTGCGCGCCATCTCATCTGAAATCACCGCGCTCGAAGGTCCATTAGAGGTACACTCCACCTCGCCATTGCAGGAACGTTAGACTCATCCCAGTGTAGACGCAACAGCAATCAATTGGACAGATACAAACCCGAATACCGGCAATCGTTGATGCGCTTGACAGAGTGGCTGCATCCGAAGCCGAGTGCAACGCAGCCAATGTCGAAGAAAACGACTACACTGTGTTTACGTGTCAGGATCTCGAGTTTGAGCTGGAACTTGTCATCCAAAGCATTGCCAAGAAGCTCTCCTTCATCGACAATCAGGTCCGTTCTTTGTACTAATGTTATTTTGGTCTTAACACGGCGGATAGATCGTATCCAGAAATATGACCAACTTGACCCCTGCTCAGCTCGAACAATTCGAGAGCACCTTCAGATACTTTGATAAGGACGAAACAAACACCTTGAGCCAGCCGGAGCTGTCCGCTGCATTGGCTAGTCTGGGTATCGTTTACTCAGTAGGGGTGTTCTTCTCGACTTTTCTTGGCGCTGACCCTAACTAGGAGGACGATATGAACTTCATATACGACCAGTTACAGCAAGACTACGGGGCTATCAATTTCGAGGCCTTTATCAATCTTCTGGTGTGCCCAGATGTGCCTAATGACATCATAAACTGATATGTTGCAGGTCGACATCACCGAAGATCAGACCACTCCAGAACAGCTTCGGGAGGCGTTCAGAGGCATTGCCTCAGACAAGGCATATATCTATCCGCTGCGCCATCTACATTTTCTGACGTTTGGACAGCCGTTTGTAACGGAGCTGGACCTGCGGTTGCATCATCTGCCTGCGTCCGCAATCGACTATCTAAGCGAAGTGATGCCACAGGCAAAGAACGCAGTGGGCGAGTCAGAGTATGACTATGAAACCTGGTTGGACGACGTATTTCTGTAAGCCGCAGTCGGCTGTAAGATAGAGCATATAAGTAATGTAGCACCGGTGTAAATGTTGAAGCAGGACCACCGCAATCGATTGCTGTGTTGATAACACCGCCACATTCTAGCCCTTTCCTCCTCCCTCCTCTTCACTTCCACACGACCATGGCGGGTTCACTTACTACAGTAGTATTCGCCGTCTAACGACTCATATCGCATCTAGAGCTCCGGTGTTGCGGTCAACAATGAATGTATCGACACATACAACGCGCTGAAGTTGAAGAAGAAGACGAAGTACATCATCTTCAACCTCAACAAAGACAACACGGAGATCGTCGTCGAGAAGACATCTGAGTTGACCGACTACGACGAGTTCCTCAAGGATCTTCCTGAAACAGAGCCCAGATGGGCGGTATACGATTTCGAGTTCGAGAAGGAAGGCGCTGGCAAACGAAACAAGCTCGTCTTCTACTCATGGTGAGCGATATCCACGTCGCTGGCCCTCTATGACACTCGATTTTCTCATCCGATCGCTTCAGGACTCCCGATGACGCCAAGGTCAAGGCCAAGATGGTGGCCGCGTCCTCCAAGGACGCACTGCGCCGAGCTCTGGTTGGCATCGCTGTCGAGATCCAAGGAACGGAGTTCAGCGAGGTCGCTTATGAAGCCGGTACGCATCCTCATCTTCTTCCGCCGCAGTAGTTGGTTGACGATTCTCTGCGCAGTATTGGACAAGGCCAGCAAAGGCAACTGAATTCGGCTGTGATCGCTATCGATGTATCCTGCCATCTCCGAATGAAATCAATGCCCTATAGTCTTCTTTCGTAGATGTTGCTTCAGTCACTAGAGTCGGCTGCAGAGAGTGTGAAAGAGTTATGCTGCATTCGTACTAGTAGCCTGTGGATGTTACGATAATCTAGGCGTGGTGATCCAAATCCGCATAGCCCATCCTCCTCAAGAATCGAACGTAAGAGTCATGCCGACCTGATGACAACGATTCAGCGGGCAGGAGAGGCAAAAGTCTTGGAATACAGACCTTGTGGACGGGGCCAGAGGGGTCAACATCGTTCAGTTTTTGAGTGTCAAGAGCAAGACCGAAAGAGGCCTTCACCCCAGGGCGAAGCGCCTGGGTGTAGCCTGCAACACCAGTTCATACAACGAAAACAACCAGCCACATAACACGAACCGAGAGCAAGGACACCAGAGTTGTTAATCTTGGCCTTGACAAAGGACGCTCCGTCCAAATAGCTAGAGCAGGCATAAGCGCAAACAAATGCCAGATTTTCTGAAGACTTACGTCTTGGTGCCAACCTCGATGGAGACACCGCCGTTGGTGAGCTTGGGGTCGTAGACAGCCTTGGCACCAGCCTCGACGTTGGTGTTGACACGGTGGTAGTAGCTGGCAGAGAAGGTCTTGAGGTCGTTCAATGCGTGGATGGTGACAGCGTATTCGGGAGCGTTGTAGCCGGCCGCGAGCGCGTAGCGGCTGATCTTGCCCTCCGTAACGTTGTATGCGGCCTCAACACCGGCAAGGAAACCATCACGTCCAACAACGGTGTCGGCAGTGAAAACGGGGCCCTGAAAAGATAGCAATAAGCGACGGTGAACTGAAACAGATGGAAAGAGTCAGTGCCTTGAGGATGTCAAGGAAAGCACGGGAGTGGAAGCCGGACTGCTTGTAGGCAGCGTTCAGGATCGCAGACTTGGTGCCGCTAGTGGGGGCAAGCGACGTCAAGAGGTCGACCTTGAGGCCCTTGGCGATCTGGTTGTCAAGCTCGACCTGCGTCTTGAGCACGTTCGTCGTCGTCCAGGTGTTGGTGAAGGTCAGGCCGTGCTTCTTGTCAGAGAACTTGGCCTCGATGTCACCGTTGATCACAGAGGACGAGGAGATCCTGTTTCCAGCGGCCTTGAAGATGACACCAGAGGGGGTCTTGGTCTTGACCTCAAGCGCTGTCCCCGAGAAGGGGTAGTCCTTCTGGAGCAGGTCGTTGGACGACTTGCCGAGGTCCTTGAAACGGCCATGAGATAATTTTACGAGAGATAGATGGCACCAACCTTCCAGTTAGGGGGAACAGGTTGAGGGAGAGACATTATGGTGGATGGGAAAGAGTCGTTGGCTGGCACAAATTTGAAAAGTACGCGACTGGTGACGTGCCGGAATGTCAGGTGACTCATCCGTTCTCTTCCGGCCAACAACGCGTCCCTGGCCCTCCCCAAAATTGATCGAATTGCCGGTTCTTGCCGGACATCCGCTGCAGCATCCCGAGAATAACTGCTTCAATTGCAACAGCGGCATGCCCTGCCTTATCCTGGTCTGTGTCTTCTATATGTACTTGGATCGGAGCCAGTCAAATCTATGCACATCTCACGACTCGCTTGGGTTTCGTTCAAGTTTAGATTAGTCAAAATGAGTGACGAACGTGTTCTCCGGTCATTGGGCACGTGTCTCCTGTTGAACGAGCCACCATAATGCAGTGTTCAAACCAGAGTGTGTACATTCGCCAGTCGTAGCAGGGAGTGGAATGAAGACATGGTTTCAACGGCGCATAGATCGGCTGAGGCTCCAAGTCGACGGCCGAGCGCATGTGGGCCTGCAGAGAACTCAGTTCCCGGGCTCGGCGGGGGAAGGAGCGGCTACTGCGCTTCCGAGCTGCCTGTAGGACGAAGAAAGACCGGCATGGATTGTTATGAACATTCCATGAAGGGGCAACATTTGTTGGTACAATCAATCAGGGCAAAGTTTACTGAATGAATCAGACCAGTAGACTGTCTGAGAGGCGGACAGTCCGTCTAAGGGATCCCGTATCCATTCATTGAGATGCGTTGGGCACACTCTTTGGAGGCCGTGTACGAGAGCTGGAAGAGATGGCATGTAATGAAAAGCATCCGCATCATTGGGCTTCCGCGATACCCCGGATGCCCGGGCCGCGTGCTGGCTCCGAGTCGCGACCCCGATTGGCTGCTGATCGCAGTGACAATCTAGTATCCACTTTACCCTAATCTCACCATCTTTCCCTTCCCACTTGAGCTCCTTGTATAGCAGAGCAAGAGTGACATGTTGTCGACGACCTCCGCTCGCTCGCGTGGCCCATCGCCCTCACGCTCGTGCGCACCCTATCGGCTGACAGCATTCTTGTGCTGACTACAGGACTGGTTATGATCTCTTCCACCGTGCTTGACCGCGTTTTGGCCCTTTGCATTTCATCCCACGCTTCTCTGGACCTCATCTATGCCGCATACTCACATCATGGCGTCACATTGCTCGTTCATTACCTCGTTGCACCCTTCGATTCCCCTCGGGGATGCTGATGCTTTTCTCGAACGGATCGTGGCAAACACTTGATCTCGTTTGATCTTCCTTGCTCCGTAATCGAATCGTGGCATGTTTCTCTGACTCCACCATGAATCGCAACGGCAACGCGACCCGAAACCGACCTCCCATCCGCTCCAGCGCGCTCTCCGGCTCCGCGTCGTTCTCCCCCGAGGAGGCCGTCGACGCTGGCGAGCACCCCGTCTTCCATGCCGGACGCGTCGCCGTCATCACGGGCGCCGCGAGTGGTATCGGCGCAGCAGCAGCGGTTCGTGTGTCCACTTTCCGCAAGATCACACGCGATACTCAAGGAGACACCCGCAGCGCGCATTCGCCGCTCTGGGCATGAAAGTCGCGCTCGCGGACCTTCCGTCCTCCATCGACGCCTTGAACGCCGTCGCTGCGACCCTGATCGCGCAGGTCGGCGAAGCCAATGTCCTCGTCGTCCCGACGGATGTCAGTGTTGTTGCCGACGTGCAGAAGCTCCGGGAAACGGTGTACGAGGCGTGGAGCGAAGTCGGGGTGCTGCTCAACAACGCTGGCATCTTTGGCACCGCCGATGGTGTCAAAGGTGCGCACTTTGTGCTACTCGGATCCGCTCCATCGTTGTAACTGTAACTCTTGCAGGCACCTCCTGGGAAGGTCTGGATGCGTGGCACAAGGTCTTTGACGTGAACGTGTTTGGTGTGGTGAACGTTCAACAAGTCTTCGTCCCTGTTTGTGGTTTGTCACGGTCGAGTCGTCTCTCCCCCCTGAGTGATCGAGACAGGCCATGCTTCACCAGGAGAATCGTGCAATGATCATTAACACTGGGAGCAAACAGGGAATGACTAATCCTCCGTGAGAATGTCGCCCACAGATGTTGTGTGCTTTGTTTATCGTGCTCTTTAGCGGAAACACGGCCTACAACGCATCTAAGGCTGCGGTCAAGTCTTTGACCGAAGGTCTCGCGCATGCTTTGCGGCACCACCCGAGTTCTGGAGGATCCCTCAGTGCCCATCTCTTTGTGTGAGTGTGCTTGGCAGCTTTCCGTCCCCATTCTGACGTGCTTCCAGGCCCGGATGGACTTTCACTGGCATGACCGGTGCCAATGCTGGAGCGGACAAGCCAGCCGGAGCCTGGACAGCCGACGAGACTGTCCGCTACATGCTTCCGCGCGTCGCTGCTGGCGAATTCTACGTGCTGGTTCCGGATGGGGAGACCACTACTCACGTATGAACCTACTACACGTAATCTCCTTCCGCTGGCTGAGCATACCCACAGATCGACCAGCTGCGGATTATGTGGGCTGCGGCGGATGCAGCCCAAGGACGCCCTGCGTTGAGCCGCTGGCACCGCGACTACAAAGCTCTCTACGACGAATATATGCGAGAGGGCCTGGCGCTCGCAGAAGGTGCTTGAGTGTGAGCGATCGCACGCTGACACCGGCAAAGGCCCCCGTCGGGTTCACGGACAATCAATGTCAAATTCAGATCTAGATAAAAACTCCCAGTCTGTTGTCGCTACGTCGTTGTTTGTATAAATCGAATGGAATTGAGGTTTAGGATGCTCACATGCAAGGGTCGCCACCTTCCTCTTTGAGCGCCTGGTGTTGAGTAAGGACACGTGAGAGGCGATCTTCCTCTTCTCAAACTCCCGAGACTCGGTTGTTCAAAGATTAGATCCAGATGTATAAGATAGCGAATGTCTCCCCCTGCTACGTACTACGTATGCATGTACTATTCCTACACCTCACACAGCCGCGCCAGGGGATAACACACAGCCTGCCCCGGCTCAAAACTATAAACAACGTCGGCGGATAATATCGAGAATGCGTAAAATAGGATAGCGATAGGGATGCAGATGCGAGACATGATGATTCCAGTGCGTTCCGTGCGATGAAGAGATGAAACAATGCAAATGTGCGTGGATGAGAAGGATACAGGTAGGACAACAATGATATGCATGAGGAAAGATGAAATAACCGGGGCTGGTTCGCCGTTACTTGACTGCGACAAGAGCCTGGGAGGCGTCGGTACTGGACTGCTCACGCTCGCCGGCAGGCTTCTCGTCGACGACAGGCTTCTTGGCGCCCGCCGCCGCTGCCGCCGCCACAGGCGTGGCCCGACGGGTGGCCCTGCCAGCGCTGACCAGCACAGCCAGCCAGCCGAAGAAGGACATCAGGAACCGCACGAGCCACGCGCCATCCGCACCGAGCCCGAGGCCGGGCCGGAGCTGCATCGCCAGCGCCGCATCGAGCGGCGCAGGAGGCATGCGGCGGCGCTGCTTCAGCTGCGAGTCCGGCGGCAAGGTCGGCGAAGGCGGGTCCTCGATCTCTGGGGTCTTGGCTGCCGGGATGTCGATCTTCAAGGGAGCTCCGTCCGAAGATGGAGCGTCGACCTCGTCGTGCGACTTCTCGGCAATGTCTTCTTCGACGGGGATGTCGACGGCCGCCCCCGTGAGAGGCGGCGCTACATCGGGGGTGTCGAGGGTCTCCTCCACGGGAGACGGTACGACATCGTGCTCGCTGATGGCAGAGGGAGGCTGGACATCGGTTTCTGACGCGACCGGCACGAGCAGCAGAACAGCCTCGTCGGCAACAATCGCGAGCTCGGTGGCTGGATCAACAGCGGGGGCTGAGTCCTCGACAGCCACTGGCTCTGCGACAGGTTCTTCGACGGCAGTCTCTTCCGGAGGCTCCGTGTGCGCCTCCCACACATCCCATTTCCAGGGCTCCGGGTCGCTGTTCGCGGGGGGCTGAGCATGAGAGAAATCGACGAGCAGCTCGGGCTCGGACTGCTCTTCCTCAACTGACTTGCATTCAGCATCAGCCAGCTCCTTCTCCCGCTCCCGCAGCCCTTGCATCACGGCGTCGATGTCCACAGCGTACGTGCTGGATTCGTACGGGCCGGACGCCGGGGGAAGGTCGGGCTCCTCGGAGAAGAGGAAGCCGTTGTTGGGCCGCAGCGGCAGATCGATCTGCAGAGCAGGAGGGATCTCAGACTGCTCTTTGGATTCGGCATCCTCGCTCAGCAAAGGAACATCGGGCGATCTGCGCCGGGAAGCCGGGAGTGGGGGAGGCGAGAGCGGCGGCGAAGGAAGATGGGAGTGGATTTGGATGGGGGTTTTCACCAGGGAAAGATCGTCATCAGGTCGTAAAGGGTTCGTTAATGTCGTAATGCCCAGAGCTGCAAAGTGCCTGTGCATGGGTTCGTCATCGGAGAGCTCGTCTTCGTCGATATGGATGGCTTCGGCGCGCTCTGCATCTGATTCGCGTGTGATTGCGTTCGAGAAGAGAAGGATTTCTTCTTCAACGATGCTCTCTTCGTCGGCGGGTGGTTCAGCAGGGAGACCCAGACTCGTCTCGCCTTGGGTGATCGTATCTAAAGGATATCAGTGTGAATACTACGTAAATGAGTGGCGACCGCACCAGTGGAAGCCGTGACCGCCACCGCGACAGGCTTATTGTCGCCCGCAACACCGGCTTCCGGCAGCGCCGCTCTCGGCTGAGGAACGAGCGGCTGATCCAGCCACCCAACGGGATGCGGCGACGGCGACGGCGGCACGCTCACATCCACCAGCTCGTACTCCAGCTCCTCCGGATTCGAGTCGATCAGCACATCCAGACGGATGTCGATCAGAACTCCGGGATGCAGGCTCAGATGCGAGCGCACGTGCGCTTCGTCGTGCACATGGGCATCGGGCGGACGGGCCGGCAGCACCGGCGGCGACGAGGGCGTCAGATCGACCAGCAGATTCGCATTCGCCAATCCCGACGACGACGTCGAGAACTGGGATATCGAACCCCAGCTGTACGTGCGATCGAACGCGCTCGGCTGCGAGCCGGGCGGGTCGGCGAACGGGTTGGCCGAGGGTTGCAGGCTGAGGCTGAGGCTGTCGAAAGACGCCGAGGCGGCTCTGCGGTGCTGTGGCTGATACGGGTGCGACGAGTCAGAGAGGTCCACGAGCTGCACCCCACCTGGAGGCGGCGTCGGCGGTACGCTCTCGATCCCAAGCCTCCCGTACGGATGGTCGAGCACATCAGGATCCGACGGCGCACGAAACCGAGGCAACACGGCCCCCACGCTCCGCGCTCTCTGGAACCGGCCGAGCCCGAGCTTGAACCCGAGTGCCTTCTGCGCACGCCCGCGGAGCGGGGAGGGGGAGGGGGGCCGCGGTTCGAACGAGTGCGACAGCGACCGTGGCGTGGGTGCGTGGATCGCTGTCGGCAGGACGCCTGTGGGAGCGGAAGAGTCGGTGGCGGATGCCGCCTGGCTTACCAGCGGCAGGCGGAGCGCACCTCCGCCGACTCGGGCACAGAGCCGCGCGAGCTTGGAGGGCAGGTCGAGTGCCGCTGCTGCCAGAATAGACAGCAGCGCCAAGATCCAGGGTATCAGCGGGAGCATGCTCAACGGCGACGTGGCGGAACGAAAGAGAGGTTTCGAAAAAAGAAGCGGCCACTGGCTGTGGGTGGTCCTGCTTCAGTCGACTCGCTCGACGCCGGAAGAAATAAGGGAAAGGGACGAAGGGGATGGGGAGAGGAAGAGAGAGAAGATGGCCCAAGACACGCGGAGGGAGCGCACAACGTTGCACCACCCTACCTGCTCTGAGATGATCGGCCGCGTGCCTGACGCGAGGCGGCGATTTTGCCACGTGCCCGTCCCGTGCGTCCCCATGTCATTTAGCGTGGCGGTGCCGACAGGAAGCCATCGATGAGATTACTCCCAGGCTCTGACGCGGTCTGGCCAGGTCTACAGCCGGGAGAGTGGCTGAAGCCTCTCTCCTTATCGGGAGCTGAATCTGCCAATTGCCCAACGCAGCGCGATCGCCATGGGGGACGAGAATTCAGTTCTTACGCGCAGATTGTAGTATGTGTCAAAGCACAAGGGCGATTTATGTAGTAATAGTAAAGTAAGTAGATTATGTCTCAATTTCATCAAAGTGTCCGTCTTCGCTAGGTTCTAAATCGTCCTCCTCGTCAAGCTCGAGCTCTAGTCCGTCATCCAAGCACTCTACCTTCCCCTGCTCGACCAGATCCGTCAGCACTGCATCCTGCCCCCGAGCATGGCCAGGGCGTACGACGACTCTCGGGAGCGTCACGCGCCATGCATGTCTCGGTTCGCCGCAGCTGGTCGTAGATGCTGCCCAGGATTCCCGGAACTGGATGAACTCGTCCAGACTCTGGCCCGGCAGTCCAAACATGAGAGCCTCCTCGAGACGGGGCAGGACAGGGACTGGCGCCATTGGCTTGGAGCACTTGCATGCTGGAGTGACCGTCTCGAGCAGCACGCGGAACGTCTCGCCGGGGAGACGCGCAAAGTCCAGCTCCAGCACGCGCAGCGAAAGCAATGCGCGCAGGAAGACAGACAGCGCCTCCTGTGTGCACTCGAGCGCCGTTATGCGCAGGATCTGCAGCGACGCAATGGGGAACGACGGCGACAGGCCCGCGCCGGGATCACGAACACCCGCGATGAAGCGAATAACCGACGTGAAGTCCTGATCAGGCAAGTCCAAGGCCAGCGTCGACAGCCGAGGAAGCTCCAGCGCAGGCAGCAGCCGCGCGAGGTGGTCCGGATCAAGATCGGTCAGAGAGAGCTCCTCGAGGCCTGGAACGCAGACCCGCTCGTTCGGCTCGTCCGTGGCGCGCGGGCCAGAATAGTGCAGTCGCAGCTGCCGCAGGTGGGGCGACCCCCGGAGCATGGCATCCCATGCGTCGTATGGCGGGCGGATGCTGTCCGGGTGCAGCGCAAGCTCGAGCGCATGTAGCTGCTGCAGGTACGGCGCGTGCGACCACGTCAGGTTCACGCCAATGAGCGACACGTTCTTCAGCGCGGGGAGCACATTGTCGAAGATGATCACCGGCGCGCGGTATGTCGCGATGTAAAGGTTCCGTGATGTGCGGTAATCTTCAAAGTGATAAAGTTGGAGGGTCTCGAGCATGGGGGCCGGTCCACAGGTAGATAGAGCTTGACGTGCGACGAGCTTACACTCATTAGCGCGAACCTGGAATGAAATGGAAACGTGCATCAACAAGCCAGCTGTTCGCTGCGCACCTTGAGATGGAACGCGTGCCAGCGAGCGACGTGCGGGGTGATCAGCGCAAAGATAGCTCGCATTTCTTCGTGGCAAAGCGTAACTCTGTGGGTGACACGCTCCGTCAGCGTCCTCCCCTCGACATGCCTCTCACATACCCGGGAATATGCTCGATCGGTGAAACGGTATCCACCACTATGTCCAGCGGGTAACTGAAAACAGCTTGCTACGTGAATCCACAGGGAGCCATCTCCTGACTCACCTCTTCGACGCCCGTTTCAAAAACTCCTCCGCCCGAGCAACATGGCAAGGCTCCCGGAAATGAAGAAAAGTCCACAGACTGGATGTCCGCAAGGCCACCTGGCGCCAATGCCGACAGACTGGCTGACCACCAGCTGGAAATCCACCGACACAGGACAGTCGTCTTCGTCCGGGCGCAGCAGAAACGGGGAGTCACTGCGTTGATCGAGGGCGCCGAGCGTGAAGATGCAGGAAAGCAGCTCGACGGGGAGGGCGTGCACGTCCTTGACGGCGGGCGACGCGCGAAAAAGGGCCATGGGAGCGTGCGTTCGACGAAATGCATGCACGACGATTCTTCGCTCTTACTTAAACTTGCGCTCGCGATCCCATCCCGATCCGGAACAGCCCAAGCTGGAGCCCAGTCCGAGGAGCCTCCTTCATCGGAGACATCCGTGTCCCCCACACTAAGCCCGCATGAAGGTCCATGTTCTCTTCGTTATGTCGTGTGATCCGTGCCGAATTCTGCTCGAAAGGATAGGCTCCAAGCTTGTTTTAGCTCGTCCCTGCCTGGCAGATAAAGGGATTCGAGTTGCTTGTGCAGTCAGTTCCACAGTCTCGACAGAGCCCCACCGTCGACATACGGGCGCTCTACCTCCAAGTTTCCCGATTCCGTCTCGGTCGCTTGTTCGCCATTTCGCCAACAGTATGGATTTCGCCGAAGCATGTTCGGGAGATGCCGCTCATTGGCACAGAATCGCCTGGACAAATGAAACTTCTCCGCCACAACCACTCATCGTTGACACACACGAAAAAAGGAATTGGTGGTTCGCGTCTGCGCCTTGCAGAAAATCCGACGGGCAGTCCGTTAGCCGTTGTACGATCGCCCTGCGCTAGCCACATTCAGCCCCTCAAGTTCCCAGCGGCCTTCGCAGCGTGGATTGATTGTCATTTTGGCGCACTACTTAGGTAATAGAACGAGGGCGCTGCTGGCTCTCCTGGGATCAGAAAAATCGCAACAGCGCGCGAAACCATGCCATTTCTAGCCAGCGAAGTGTAACATCGAATTGATCCATCTAGAATTACACTGTGCGTAAAGGTTGGCATGAAGATCGACCGGGAACTGAGCTGAGACACGCGCACTATCACTGTTACAATACAACATTGCACGGGGGCGGAGGCTGTTTGACACCTCATCGTGGTGTCTGTCGGATTGTCGCCTGCTCGTAGGCCCGCAGCAGGTCCTTCGCATCATCCGGCTCCATATTGGAGGCTTGTATGACTTTTCCCAGTGAGTCGCGAGTCACAGCAAGCGCTGGGCCATCACCCGATGTCAAGGGATCTATTTCAGGGTATGCCGCATTCAGGGTACCATCCGCTCTAGGGACAATCTTCTGGTGCTTCAGCAGCCCTTCAACGTGCCTGGCACCGCGGAGAGCTGATAGACCATCTCATTCAGCGCACTAAACACCGCCCCTCAAGAATCGGCGAACCTTGATAGTGCGACCATGCTCTCCACGCGCAGAAGAAGAACGGAATGTTAGGAATCACCGCTGCGCACAAGTCAGTCATTCGGAAACAGATCCTGGGACGCGACTGACGCACGGATGATCATGAACGGAGCGGTCAGTGGGGCGATAATCAGGAACGTATAAAATCCCCTATTGTGTAAGGGAATTCGACGTTCGACGAGCGAACGCAGGTCGCTCAGCGCCGCAGCGGAGCCAGAGTACACCCCCGGTGGATATAGAAGCGGTACCTCCAATTCAAAGTTAATGCCCACACACACATACAATAGGGAGGCCGTTATCCCACACCTCGAGTTGCTCCCAGGCCGCCATCTGTTCCTTTTCATCGACGCCGTCCCGAGGCAGCGGAGGGCTCGAAGGTGGAGCGTGATGGATATCGATCTTCTTCAAGGCGCCCTCTTCAAAGTCTAGTCGGTCGAGGAAGCGTTCGCCGAATTCGAATAGACGAAACTATGCACTACATTTAGCATAGTTGTTAGATGCTGCAGGGATGCGGGAACGCACCTTCCAGGAGCGCTCCGGCGCCTTGCCCCAAGATACCCAGAGATTATCGGCTTTGTGCGTGGCCCATTTCACAACGCCTTCTCTGGGCAGCCAGCCTTTAGGCTGCGGTTTCTCGTGATCGCTTGTTGACGGCGAGGGCGGTGTGATGACACGGAAACTGTGATACGTTATCCTGGGCTGGGTTCTTGTGAGAGGCAAAGCTGCTATACGCAGCGCGCCGAATGTCTTGTGCGCCATGGGAGCAAGCAGAGCAGGAACATCATTATCGTTACGTCACATTTGATGACATCGGGGCAAGAATCATACTGTAGATTGGGAGACCATACACTAGGGATTAGATGGATATATTAGCTACATGATGGCGGTGAGTTCTCTCAGCCAGCGAACTGCAGGATGCCCTGCCCTCGCTCTGGATCAGACATGCGGTTGACTCTAACGCTGGAGCTGGGCTTCATGTTTGATATATCCTGGGGTGTGATGAGCACATATTGCTTCTTATCGGACGAGTTCGCAGTGTCAATCTTCGATCACGTTAGCAAGTACGTCCACAGAACGAGACGAGACAAACCATCATCTTCATGCTGATGCGCCGGTTAACAGCATCCATGAATACGTCGAACTCGTCTGTGTGACGTCTCAGTCAGCGGGATCAAGAAGAAATGGAGTAGTGGAACTCACCCAGACATCTGATCGGACAGCCAATGGATTCCCACAACGAAAGGAGCAAGCAGATGGTCGAGAATGACTTTTCTCCTCCACTCAGCGAGCGAGGATCCTTGTCACGTGAGGCGCCCTGAGTAGCAGCTTGGTCGTCGGTCTGGACCTTGAGCAAGAGCGTTTGGTCCTCGTGATCAAACAAAACCTTGCCAAAGTATCCACGTTGAGAGAGATGATATCCGAATACGACTTTGCACCGGGTCGCAATGTGTCGTCTGAACTCATGCCACCGATCAAGTCGTATGGCCAAAGATCTCTTGAGGGCCTACGCAGACCATCAGACCACCCATCAGCGACGTAAAAGAAGAACGTACTTTATTCAGGACGTGCATTTGCTTCAAGTCCTCCTTAGCTCTGTCGAATCGCTCTTTGGCCTTATTTACTTCATCTGCCATCGTCTCAACCGAGGCACCGATTCTGAGCACCGGCGTTGAGCAACGCGTGCAAGATGCAGCACATCACGCACCGTTTCTCACGATCTCTCAGCGCCTCTTGGGTTGCTTTCAGGATGCGATCGAGGTCCGCTGGCCTTCGTGTTGTCTCGATACGCTCACAGAACTCCTCGGCACCCTGCGTCCATTCCTGCGTCCAATCAGCATCGTCGCATCACACAACAGTCTCGGACTGACCTCAAACTCTTTCTCAAGAGCGGCCAATTGATTCTGGGCCTTATCTACTTTGACCTGCTCTTCTGCGTGCTTCCTCTTCCAGTGGTCAATATGATTCCGATATTTGGTCTGATCTTCCGCTGCTTTGGTGCATCGATCCTGGGCAGCATGCTTGTTTGACTCGCAAGCGTTTAGCTTGTTCAGGATATGATCTCTCTCTGTCAAAGCTCTTTTCCTTTCTTGATCTGCTTCCAGGCGGGCCGTGTCAACGGCCTGCAGTTGCTCCTCGTAGCCTTTCTTCTCTTTCAAGGCCTCCTGCGAAAGGATATAAATGCTCTGTAAACGTGTGGCGAAATAAGATTGCCTGCCTCGATCGCATTCTCAAACTCTGTGATGCTGGCCGGCTGCGTATCTTCCAGTAGTCCCTTCAGTTCATTGATGGCTCGCTGGAAACGATCCGACCGCTGATAAGCGTCATGAGCTTTACGCTACAACATGTGTTAGTTAGAGCTGCGATGTCGCTCGCATAAGCGGAATCGCACACCTCGCACTCGTCAATTTTTTCTCGCGCAACTGTCCATCGGCTGCGAAGGCCTTGCTGATCCACTTTCGCCGCCGCAATTTGTTGCAGCAAGTCGGCTTTGACCTCAGCTTGGCGACTGAATCGGAATAAGATTGTGATAAGATACTCGAGTTTGATCAACACATACTGTTGTTCGCCGCCAGCACTTCCGGCGAACATGAGACCGTTGCCACGAGAGAACTGAATAGGGACCGATGATTCTCCACCACTGCGATAGATCAGACCACATGACATAAAGACCAGTAGTGAGGACTGACTGGAATAGATTCACGATATATCCATCGCCAGTCCAAGCAGTCTGTCCTGACCTCAGCAGCGGTCGCGCCTCGCTACGTTTCCAAGCAAGCACGCGACTTTCAATCGACGCCAAGTTGACAAGCAAACGAAGCACATGAGGATCAGAGACCTGCACATATCAGACTTTGGACCACGCCGTTATGGGATAACATCGTACCTCAAGAACACGATGCACAGTCAAAATATGAGGGGCGGGTTCCCCACGACTGAAGTCAAACAAATCAGGCTGGAAGGAATGGATTGTTACTTTCGGACTGCGTAGGGTCAATGGAGATCCGCGAGCATGTAGTCTGACACTCACTTCCCTGAATCCATCAAGATCTTCTTGAGAGGTGCAACGTCGCGCCCGTCAGTCACTGCGAATGAGGAAAGTGTTTTCCCTAATTGTGTCTGCAAGAGGTCTGTCCAGCGCGAGTCCTTGAGTCGAACGTAGATTCCTAAAGGGCCAAGAGGGACCTCGCCGTGCCATCGAGATCGTTTGATAGCCTGGATAACCTCTTGGATGTGATTTCCGTACGCAGCAAATTGATTCTTCTCTGCGCGCTTGCTGTTCTCGATCGCACTCTCGCAGTCACGGACTTGGCTGTGTAGGTCGTCCAGTAAGGACTGGCTCGCATGAGCCTCATTGTCCAGCTTTCTCTTTTCCTCCTCAGCCGCGACCTTTTGCTGTTCCCAGGAGCGCATTATCTCCTGAGCTTGTTTGTGGTCTTTGCGAGCAGCCTCGAGTCGTCTTTCATAATCTTTACGCTTTCCTTCATTATTGGCAGCAATTCGGGCCTTCTCTGCGTCAATATTCTCTTGATATTCTTTGACTTGTGTGTTCAGGCCACCGATCTGGTTGGCGATATTCTCCATCTCTCTCTGGACAATCATCATTCATTATGTGAAATCGAAGGCAGAAGAATAACTGACCGCCATTTCGGTAGCATTAGTGGTCTTCTCCTTGACGTTTGCGCGCGCCGTCGCCAGCTTCGCCTGCAAGTCGTCGGCGCTAGGCAAAGCATCGTGTTCTCTTTCGGAGGTGACCAACCTGTCCGTCGCAACGAGCAAGTTTGCCTAGAGTATGCCTATCAGATGGCATTCTCGGATCGAGGGGGGACACACTTCAGCTTCGTCTATCTTCTCTTGAGCCTTTGCTGGGCCGCGACCTAACCTGGTCACTTCCACGGTCTTGTCCTCGACCTCTTTCTCTTTGACATTGACGTGCGCCCAGGCAAGTTCTTTCTTCAGCTCGTCAACTCTCTGAGCCTGTTGGCGGGCCCAGTCAGCCTCCTCGAATCGTGCATTGGCCTCCTTCAGGGCCTGCTCCAAATCTGGAAGTGCTTCTTTCTTCTGCGCAAGAACTTTGGCAGTCGTAGAGATGTTTGCCATGCAGGTCTCGTACTCTTCAGACAGTTGCGAAAGTTGTGTGCCCTTAAGAAAGAACTGCAAGATAATCAGTATCAAGGAATGCCCGAGCCGCTGTGGCACTACCTTGTACTTGTCAGTGGCCGAAGAAGCACTCAAGAACTGACGAGCCGCATCTAGAGAAAATCAACTCAGGTCATCGAAATAATAGGTAGGTCTTTTTACCTTGCGTAAGCACATTCATTGGGTTGTCGACTTGGATGTTCATGTGATCGCAAATCGCAGCCAGCTCGTCCTTCTTGGTGCTGATGATCTGGCCACTTTTGCTCCTGATCTTCCATGAACTGCTGCCTTCCTTGGTGAAATGCCGGTTGATGACGATAGAATCCCCGTATACATCGTGCTTGTAGGCTTCGTCTCCGCGGTTTTTAATGGAGATAGTCACGTCCGCCGCGCTGTGTACGCCCATGCTTGAGTAAGTGCATATATTGACAATAGAGAACGCACTTTTGGCCTTCGCGAATGAAGGATTTGAGGCCATTACCGCGACCTGTCGCATTGGCCTTTCCACCAAGCGCAACAGTGATACCGGTAAGCACCGCACTCTTGCCGCCTGAGAGCGGTTCGTTATCAGTTCGATACCAAAGTGGAACGAAACCCTGCACTCACTTCCGTTGTGACCTTGGAAAGGATTCAACAGAGCTCCATCCATACAATCAAGACATACCGATAATGAAGTTGATTTGAGGCCCAAATGTAAAGGAGAGATGTTTGTGACACATAAACTGCTTCATCTCGATAGCTTCAATGATGCCGTACTCCGCGATACCCTGTCAACGAAATTATGCTCTCCGAAAGACTGTCGACTGAGAAGCACTGACTCCAGTCGTCTTACTCTTCCTCTCGATAGAGGCACGAATACGTTCCTCCTCCTCCTCCTCGTTCTCGGAAGGCGCACCCTCTTCTTCCTCTTCAGAAGAGGAGGGATCGGAATTCTTGTTCTGCGCGCGGCGCGTGTTACCGTTGTTGCCGCGTGAACGCGTAGACGAGCGCATGGGCTCATCCGCATCGCTATCTACCGTGCGGGCGCGTTTTGAAGCTGGGGTTCCTTCAACTGACGGACCTTCATCGTCAGAATCGCGTGCCGCACGCTTGGCCATGGTGCTCGTTGGAGAGGCGCGTCTGTTTGTTTATTATCAAGTCACGTTCATTCACCAGTCAAAGCATTAAATTATTCCCACGGTCAAGTGATGGAGGTAAAGAACGAAAGAGCTGGAACGAGTCCAACAAGAGCCCAATGACGTCGCTGAACGAATCTACAGGCCGACAACATCGACAACATCTCCACTGTCGAGATCCATTTCCGAAATGGGAACACCGTGGTCGATACGGTCTCCATCAATGGACAACTGCGGGTTCTTATCTGAAGCTACGGCTGATTTGCGTCCACGACCTCTTTTTGTGGTGCTACCAGCAGGCTTCCCATATTGGCCAGCAAGACCAGCTTTCTTGAGGAAGGCTTGGACGATTGCGCCGCACGTCGTTGTCGGTCTGACGGTGAGCGTGATATCGTTTCCGACGGTCTTAGAAGAACGCAAGACAAGCTTGAGTGTTTCGTCATCATCGTCACCGGCGTCTGATTGCAGCAACTCCTCGTCTTCCTCCTCTTCCTCAGAGTCTGATGCGATTTCGATTGCACTGCCGTTATGACCAGCCTTATGAGGATTGGCGTGCAGGAATTCCCATGTAGTTTTATCACAAGCCTCTGATTCAACAGTTCATGATCGTGAAGAGCATGGCATAGATTGAAGAAACTCACCCAGATCCGCTTCGTCCCATATTCGCAGAGTGGCTGGGGTGACCGAGGGAAATATGCGGATGTTATTATGACTGAGTCTCAGGTTTTCGAGAAGCAGCGACTGGTCCTCCGCTACAGCCTCAAACAGTTCTCGGAAGGTATCCGTCTGCAACTTGATTAGACGAATACGCGGCAGTTATATATGAAACGTACTCTGTTCAACTTGAATATGTCTGTCCTCTTCCGACCCTGCTCATCTCGTGGATGTGGTTTCCAGTGGACGAAGATCTCTATGGTCTCGTTGGAATGAGAAATCGGGTTGGATTCCGAAGGTTTTGCCCCAGCATTGGCCGCGTTAATAATAGCTTGCACCTCAGGATCAAACACGATTGTGTCCGTTGATAGATCAGGGTCGAGGGGAGGAGAAGGTGTGCGATCTCTGTCTCTGGCGCCGAGGGTCTCACTAAAACCATCATCAAGCAAGAGCTTTTAGATGAGGAGATGAAGGTCACTCACCGCACGATATTTCGTAGAAGATCACGTTGCTCTCGCGACATTTCCGGGGGTGGTGTAAGCGAGCGTGACTTGCTGCGAGCTCTCTCCTTCCCTTTCGCTTTCCTCTTCGACGTAGATCCGCCTGTCACCACCACATCCGAGCCGGAGTCCGAGTCAGAAGATTGCGTTTCAGACATGAGACTGCAGGCAGAAAGTAAGCATTTGACGCGCAGAGGTCGCTTCCGAGAACAAACCGCGCCATTCTGGTGCTCTCGCCCGATATTTTCTTCTGCTTTCTGGGACGCATTGATTCGCTCTGTTCGCCTTCACTATCTGAAGAAGCCACTTTCTTTTTTGCTGCCCAATCGAGTAAGATTTAGACATAGGGGACGAATGGAGCGTAGACGGAGGTAGACAGCGGAGACCCGCGCCTAGGTATTCGAATGTAACACTGCACTCACTTTCCGCCGTAATCTTCTTCAATTTGGTCCAGACCTTCGCGCTCCGCCCTCGATTGCGCATAAACAGAGAATCATCGTCAACAGCATCCGTCGGTACTGCATCGTTATTACTGGTTCCTGGTGAGCTCGGCGGTGCTTTAGCGCGTGGTACTGGTCGTGGTCGAGGTCTTGGGCGCGGTGGCTGCGTCGAAGCCATTTAGTGTGACAGTCACGCGCCGAGTCACATCGGCTCACGTGATCTTCTCCCCGTCAAAAGAACTTGAATTTGACAAGAGCGTCCAACGACCCGTCCAGCCCATTACCAAGCCACCCTTGTGTTCCGATAGGGTGGAAAAAATATTTATGTCTCGAAGTCCCGGGAAATTCCTTCAGATTAGAATATCCGTCGACTGAATAGACACATCTTGCGACATCTACACGTCTCTGGGATTTTACTGGTACTTTTTCAGGGCCTGCGATAACGCGGCCGGGAAACACAAAGGAATAATAGCTGGAAGTCTCCAATACGGTTCTCACGATACCCCGAGCAGACGCTCCTCGTTTGGATTGATTGTGTCATTGATAATAATCAGATAATCAAATTTCCCCATTCATGACCAGAGGTGTTGAATGCAGTACACAGCCACATCTTAGCGTCTGTGGTAATTCTGATACCTATCGATATGACTGCTTTCCTATAATGTCGACCAGCTCTCCCCGAACAACCCCGAGTCCCACACCAACGCACGCCTTCCAATTTCAGGTCGGCGGCCATGCAGGGAACATGATGTCTACCGATGACGACGCGTTGATCATCAAGAAAGCCTTGCCCCGGGAACTCGAATTCTACGAGACGGTCGCAGCTTCGACGGACCCCCAGGTCGATGCGCTTCGACCCTTCATTCCCACGTTCCTGGGTACGCTATCTCTCGCTGACGATGTCGATGTGAGCCAGGTGGCAGCGGAACCGAAGAAAGATGAGAAGCTACCTTCCATCGCCTCTTCAGCATTGCCTGATATCTAGAACACAGTCCCTTGTCCTCGAGAACATCGTGTATCCATTCGTCAAGCCAAATATCCTCGATATCAAACTTGGCACCGTCTTCTGGGATGAAGACACACCCCCGGCGAAGAAAGCGAGGATGATCAAGACAGCCGAGACTACGACGTCTCTGGAGACGGGGGCGCGCCTTGTTGGCTTCCAGGTCGCGTGGTGTACATCCCCCATCCCTCCCCAGTTGCACTAATGCGCGATGCACTCGCAGGTATTCGATCACGAGCGAGGCGAGCCCGTGTTTACGCCCAAGACTTACGGCAAGTCAATCACTCCAGCTCAGCTTCCCGAGGGCATGGCCCGTTTCTTCCCTGTTGCGACCGAGGAGGCGCCGAACCAGGGCTTGCCGCCCGCTCTTCTCTTGCAGATTCTCACTCTTCTTCGAGAGGAAATCGAAGACCTGCGAGACGCGTTTTCTGCGATGGAAATGCGGATGATTGCTGGGAGCTTGTTGATTGTGTACGAGAGCGATGCTGAAAGAGCAGAGGCTGGGATACGGTGGCTTGAGGAGGAGGACGATGATGAAGGCGACGAGGACGAGGAGGGCGAGGACGGGACTGACGAGCCTGGCGGATTCGATAACAAGCGAAAGCAAGGTCCTCCGTGCGATGCCCGCTTGATAGATTTTGCCCACACCAAGTTTGTCCCTGGGCAGGGTCCAGACGACGGTGTCCTGCTAGGTCTGAACACTGTTTTAAGGTTGTTGGACGGAAGAATGACGGAGATCCAAGAATAACCATACATCCACATTTCCCTAATTACTTACTTAAATACAACAACTAGCATGAACAATTATTTGAACACCAAGGGATGCTAGCGATACACGGATGGTATAACTTGGATGTTAGCGTCTGTCGGGCGTGGAAGAATCGTCGAATCGGTCGTTCACACTCGTTCCTCTGCACCGGGGCCGGCAGGCATGTTTTTCCGCATGTTTCGAGAAGCCCGGGCATGGCGAGCACGAGCTGCAGCGTTCGGCCGGTTGATGGGGCTCTCATCGCCAGTGTAGAGGAAGACATCGTAGAACAATGCGCCAGCTTGAGCACCCAGAATCGGACCGAGGATCGGACACCAGAGCCAGTACTGACTGAGAAACGGTCAAAGACATTCCGGAAAACAAGAGATAGACGACACACTTCCTGTAGTTGAAGACCTGTCTTCCATATCCGACGATAGCCGTGGTGATGCTATACAAAATCAGAGCTGAGAAAAACAGAAGCTGCGACCGGCGGACTCACCGGGGGCCGAGGTCACGAGCAGGATTCAACGCGTAGGCGGTTTCCATTCCGAGACATGCGCCGAGGCCCAGAATGAGCAGGAACAGGAAGACAGGGCCGGTCCCCGCGGGCACTGGCATGTTCTTCTTGTCGTTGATAGCCATAATCATGACCATGAGCACAGCAGTAGCGAGGAACTCGGAGAAGAAACAGGCGACGTTGGGCATGTATGCCAGCTGCGCGCGACTTGTGAGCACCTGATGGTGTCACATGCTTGGATGTACGTACAGCATAAGTTGAGAACAAGCCCGCAGTCGCTAATGTCCGACGTCCATCTTCGAAGACGTTCTGCAGGCAGATTCAGCGAAGCAGAGGAGCACACGAATCTCCAAACAGCTTACAATGGCATGATAGTAGTCGGCGTAAACCAGAGCAGCGCCGACAGCGCCGCCGAGAACTTGGGCGAGAATGTAGCCCGGCACTTTTTTCCACGGGAACCCACGGTAAGTAGCGAGTGCGATAGTGACAGCAGGATTGATATGTCCACCGCTGATACCTGCAGCCCTGGTCAGCGAAGGAGACCTCGACCAGAAGAGCACGAACCGCCGGATACCCAGACACCCATCGCCGTGCCGATCGCCCAGCCAAACGAGATGGACAAGTAGCTCTAGGCGGATGAGAGACATGAGAATAAGATGGGTTGTGTGTCACTGACCCCTTGTTGAGATGCGGCCACTCCAGTATTAGCGGACAGTGTCACCTGGCAGTTCACACCATTGCCGAAGAGTATCAGGATGCAGACCCCTTACGGCTCGATCAGCCAGTGCAGGCCATGACGGAGACCAGAACACACCCAAGAACTCTGCTACATATTCGCGGAACATCAATCTGAAGTGAATAAGGTCATGGGATTGCGCGCGCTCCACGGCAAATGAGCTTACCGGTACCGGGACCAAGCATTAGGATAGGTCGTGAAATCGTCGTCGTCAAAGTACCCCACGTTGTCGACGTGCTCAATGTGGCTGTCTTTTTCAGTCGTTTCGGTGTGTGTCGCAAACAGCTCGTCGGGAACTTTGGAGAGAGACATGAGAGATCGCGCCTCAGAGTGGACTGGGGTAACGGGGAGGGAAAGCGGGGAGTCCTGCCGCTCAACTAGGGTTATTTATAGGGGAGCAGCATCCTTTACAGAAACCAGTTGCCGCGTTTTGCCGCTGTAAGAGCTCATGTCACCGCTGGATAAGTAAGAGATTTCTGATGGTTCCGGAAGTCGGGCCCGCGCGCGTGCATCCGGCCAAGCCCACGTTCTCGCCGCCCACTTCCGTTACCCCAGCAAGTGCGCGCATATGATAGATCACATATGAAGTCATGCAAGATCCGTTGTGGACACGAATCTAGTCCACTGCGAGTTCGCCGAGGCCTTCAGCAAGCTCCAAACCAGCTTAGACCCCAGGGACTCAGGAACGAGATGGTGAAGGATGAAGCGCTGCGAGATGATCTACCTTTGGACCAACTTGGGCGATGAGGCTGAACTGTGAATCGCGGATTGGGGTGATGCCGTTTGCGTAACCACTTTTGACATGTTGTGTCACGATATTCAATTTTACATCGGCTCACGCCCTCGGATATCCTCATGTGCTTTTCATGTGGTATTCTCGAAACAGTACAAGGATCACATTCCCGCTTCACCTGCCTGGGAAAACAGCTGGTGGTGATCCTCTGACCATCAGGGTGGAAGAAACTTGAGGCTACCCACTTGGCCGGACGCGATGGCACGTGCCTGAGCGCACATTGGACAAACATTGATCAGTCATCACTCCGCAAGTAATCAGCTTTGCACAGACCTGATTAGCAAAGGACTGTCCACCGTCCCAAGCATTCTGAGAAATCTCTGTAATGACTAAAACCAGGACTTGGATGTCATCCCCGATCCCAAAGCGATCGCGACTGTACTTTCTCCATCGGACCGTGTTCTGGAGCAGTTTCATGCTGCGGTTCAGCAATCTTGTGCGGGCAGGGATTGTTGCGGGATCAAAATTGGAGCTGGCTTGTCCGTGATGTCTGTCGTATAGAGACCGGATATCGGTGATAGCGTCGTGAACAACCCGGCCACCGACTTCAACAGAGCCTGGATCAACATTCATGAGGATATTCAGAATACGGGAGTAGATTATCGCTCACCAGGAATTTGGTATTGCCGGCATCTATGCTAGCTTCGATCTCCTCGGCGAGGTCCGACATGCGACGGCATTCTGCGTCAGAGTACACATCAAATACCCCGCACTCGAGCAGCTTGCATAGGCGAGGGATGACGACAGTGGATATCATGGAGGAGACCAAGTCCCCATCGGGCCCAAGGTCCTCTCCATTCGGTCTACTGTATTCATGCAGACCCTCATACCACTTGAAGCTGTCGAGACTTTTTGGCTCCTTCCAGAAATTTAGCAAGCACATTGACCGTTCCATGTGCAAAATCATACCTTGAGCATGTCCCATCCGACAATCTCCAGCCGCGTCCAAAATTCCCACACGCTGACGACGCCGAGACCACCCCAAGCTCCGACATAGCTTTCGCTATATCTCTCTCGCCAGACACTCCATCGGCCTTTCCCGGGCTCCCGGAACTCTTCCGCCTGCACGTCGGACAAAATCTTCGCCGCTCGCTCGTAAAGAGAGGCCAGCGCCTTGGAGTACGCATCCAGGTCCGACGGTGGCAGCGATGAATCCGTGGAATATCCCTCCGTCTCGTCAAAGTCATTAACAGGCCGATCTGGGTGCCTTCGTCGGCGGCGAGCAAGGCGAGCCGCACGTCGTGTTGCGGCAGTAGCTTTCGGAATCGCGCGCCCAAATTCATCCAGTTCCTCTTCTTCCGGAGGACGCACAACACCCAGAAAAGTGCACATATCGTCCTCATCCTCCGCGCTGCGGCGTGTCTTGACCATACCGGAGCGCTCTTGAATCAGTGAGCAGTGTTCCTCTTCCAACGCTTCGAGAAGAGGATACTACGACGGGGTTTGATTGGATCCTCGCTCGGTTGGTAGAGAACGCACCTTCTCGTCAAGGAACGCCGCTACACCTTCGACCCAGTCCTTGAACTCGCTAAACCACGCGCGTTTGTTCTCGGCTTTCTCGACCATCTCTCGCATTTCAACCTCACGGTTGTCGACTTCGGCCCTCTCCCTGCCGATTTCGTTTAGAGCGCTCGTGTTTTCTGCATGAGACATGGTCAGTTGAGCAAGTTGTTGATTCAGCCGGCTGAGAGCCGGGCTGAGGACAGGTAGTGGTGTCGAGGTAGGTACTTTGCGGATTTCAGAACATCGACAACAGCAGTCGATATAGCACGCACTGGGGGCTGGCTTATAGGTTCCTTGGTCCGAGAAGCCTCTTGGCCAGATGAAGCGTGTCCAGCTCTCCGAATCTGTTCCTGTTCCCATTCATCCGTTTCCTCATCGACTTCATCTCTATGTCAAGGTCAAAACTTGTCCAAGGCAAAAACAGAGAGGCAGAACTGACGCGTCCTCGATCATCTCTTTCATCTGGTCACGGCGTTTGGATGCCTCGAGCTTCCTCGACTTTTTGCCAAGTGCGATTCTGTCCTGCGCGCTTGTATATTCGGCATACTCTATGAGAATCTGAGCTTCACGAGAGAAATCAGTATCAGGTGAACCGACCGTCGTCTCCCTCGCCCAACTCGTCCTCCTCTCGCACGAGCCTACTCTCGGGATGTGGTCCTTGTGGCTCATCGCCACGTTTGACGACAGACAGAGAGATGTAGTCGTTCTCGACACTTGCGCCAGTCGCCCTTAATCGTTCCCTTCGTTCCTTGGCCGCTCGGATCGATGACTCAGCCGGTATCATGGTGTCTAGACGTTTTGAGTGGGCGCTGTCCTCGAACAAAGCTCGAAGAAGACGCACCAGGCAGGTCCAATCCGCTTATATCATGCAAGGAGAGATTGGTGACAGACGCATCGATGTCGATAGACATGTCGACATCCTGCGCGTCGTCGTGCACGGGTGGCGGACGTGCATTGGGCGTGCTGGCTTTGAGCTCCTGCAAATACGCTTGATCGTAGACAGGGCCTCGACTGGGAGAGTCACGAGATTGCAAGGGTGTCATACTTGCACGTGTGTTAGTACGGGTATGACCATGGACGTGTCGTTGCAAGTTGCACGCACGAAGGATGAGTGCCCAGCGAGAGTTTCTGGCTGAGATTCGACTTTTTCACCTTGAACACTTCCGCCCCCTCTTCCTGAAGCACCAAGAGCATCAGTCGAATGCTCTGCAAGGCAACGGCTACGCGCACCTCATCGTCGCCACCGCCAAAGCTTAGTCTTGACTTGGGCTGAGAGCGTTTTGTCTTCGTCTTCAATCGCGTAGCTAGCGTGCTGGGTGAGTCTGATCCGGCATCTTTGATTTCTGGTTCTGCAGAAGATTGCCTGGTACGTGTTGAGGGTTTGGACCGCCGCTTGAAGATGATGGGATTGGATGAGTCGGACATGCGAGTCGGGTTGATCGGTGGCTGTGCTCAGTCTGATCTTTCGACGACTGAACGCTGATGCTCGGGAAAAGGAAATTTGTGATGAAGTTGTGTTACAGGATAGACTACAGATGCTCAAACAACGCGGGGCGTAATCTGAGGCTTCTCCTCCATTTGCCGACGCTCTTCATCTCTCAGCGCTTTGTGCTCAGCCAATTTCTACGTCTCATTAGTCCTGGGTTCATTAATTTCATCTGTTCTTACCATTTTCAAGGTCTCCGTGGCCAAGAGAATGGTGTCCAGAGTCACTTCAGAAAATTCAGTGATCTGCATCCATGACATGAGTTACCAACAGATCAGGAAGAGCTATCTTGAACGAACCGCATCTCTAAATTTGTCTCTTTCGAGCTCCCAATTTCGGCCAGGATTTCTTTCGGGATAGTTTGCATATACTTGGGAGTTGTTGACTGGAGGGCCTTCGAATCGGGGACAGCCATGGCTCGGCAATTAGCATGGCGATTGAAGGAGGCGTTCCTCTCGAGGCCCAATATGCGCCAGCACCAGCGCCCAGTGCAAACCAGAGTAGACTGTGGCCCATTTGAAGAAGAAGACGGAGGGGAAGATGTGTAAGGTACGGCGCGATCTTTCCCTCCTTATGAATTCCTACAGCGGGGTGACGTTTCCTCTCGGCCGCAGTCGCTCATTGACAGTTGCCACCAGTTCGCGGCACATTTCGTAGCAGTTCGGAAGTATGCGGATGAGCCAAGCACAGCTTCAAACTTGATCACGCATGTAATTGTGTGACCGCGTGATGACGGCAGACCAACACCGCCACTTCAGCTTCAGCCTCATAAACAGTGACATCATCAACCCCGCACTCTCATCCACGCTTCTCTAGACTCTGAAGAAACTAGATCCAATACCAAGCACAATATATAATCCCAGGCATTGCCTCTTCATTCTGTCAAGTACCAGTGCTCATCAGCTTACAGAATGTCGATGTCCAATCTGAACTACGCCGACAACACGTATCTGGCCATCACTCTTCCGGCATCATCAACATACCTCGAAAATCCTGCGAATCTAGCTCTCCTGCATCCCGCTGTCGCTTACGTTGAACCCGTTGGCGCGCTGTCGGACGTGCATCTCCTGAGCGTGCCCAAAGCCGAGTGGGAGTCATCCGAGTCAGAGATCCGCGCATGCTGCAGAGAGGTTGGCGAGATCAGCGTGCAGGAGCCCAAGCAACGTGTCAAGCGCGGTGGGGATGAGTTGTAATTCGGATCCAACTCCTTTCACGGATGCAATGAATTGTAAATGTATCACATTGTCCAGCCGTCAATAGCAGAAATACAAACGGCGATTCAACTAGATATGCGGAAGATAGGAACTCCAGTTTACATCTAGGTACGCACTGTCAGGGAGAGCACGAAGCGTTGACAATGGAATAACGAGGAGAGAGACCCGGGCAAAAAAGTACACCATCAGTGAAGTGAGCAGCAGCGCAACGAATGCAGACCCTCCAGTCGTATCGGCTGCATGCGGGGAGTGCGCCGATTCAGAATGAGACAGCACCAGCGTGAAACCGGACAATAGGATCATCAGCGGCACGACGGCGACCACGACGGAGGAGCCTCTCCAAATCTTCTGTTCCAGCGAGGAGCGGAAGTCTGCGTCCCACGCAGCGCAGTGGATGGCACCGAAAATTGTGGCTATGACGGCAAGAAAGACGAAGAACACCGTCTCCTGGTCTTTCGAGAGCATGTCGTCTGCTTTTGCATGTGACCAGAAATCTGGCACGAAATCGGCTGCTTCAGGATTGTAGGCATCTTCGTGGTAGAACCCCGTGATGGTGGCGGAGAAACGGGCGCCTAGAGCTATCTGTGTTCGAACGGGACGGTCTTCTTCAAGCTCTGTCTTCGGCCTCTGATCGGCATCCAACAGGGCCGCGTTTCCAACATTCAAGTCTGGAGATTCGGCGATGTCTGTAGATTGGCGTAGCGCTCGATAGCCGTCCCCGATCTCGAGTTCAATAGCTTCTTGGACATCCAACGGCTTCCTCCACCAAAGCAGCCACACGAAGAAATTCACAACAGCGAATCCCAGCGTGGCGACCTCCAGCTCCGTCACGGGGATCTGCTGCACGAGACGGGCGATGCACTGCGTCGTAAACCACGCGCACTGAGCGAGGACGACGCCCTTCGAGAACGCGTCGCCTTTGCTCTTATCTCGGATATCGGACGACTTGACGCGTCGTATGGCGTCGATTATGCCAGGCCGGTCGACCTGTTTGAGCGTGACGATGGGGTGGTGCGCCGCGTCCACGAAGCCGCCGGCGCAGTAGAAGAACCCATGCGTCAGAGACACGGAATATTCTAAACCCAACGGAATAAGCCACCCCTGCCGGAAGCGCGCCGCACCCCCATGCGAGCTGAGACCCACTCACTTCGCGCGAAAGCCTGCGAGTACAGAAACTGTCTCAGCGCGAACCCGACCATGAGCTCAGGAGCCACGACCGCGATGCACATCAGTTTGAGTCTACGCCCGAGATACCAAAACCAGCCCTTGTTCGGCGGGGGGACATTGGGATGCACCGACACCCAGACGCAAGCGAATATCGTGGTGAGACAGCCCCAGATGATGTCGTACAGGCGTCGACAGTTGTTGATATCGCGGCAGGATTCTGCGACGTTGATGACTCCAGCCAAAGGGCGCGAGGGCAGGGACAGTAAGAAGAAATAGAGTAGCATTGAGCCTGGAGACGTAGGTTGGCGGTCTTCACACACTCATCATAGGCGATGAAAATCCATGATGGCGAGCGAGCTCAGCCCTCGTATCTAGCTAAGTGACAGATCATCGATCATCGATCATCATCAACGGCTAGGCATCTTACTTCCACTTGTCCCACAGATAGCAGTGTTCCGCGTAGACAAGGAGCGTTGGGGGATACAAAAACAGATACATTACGATTGCTAGTCCGTGTCCACAATCTACCACTTGCCAAAAAGGTGACCAGCACCCCACATGAATCCACCGCCGCCCACAGGCAACAACAGAGTCCAGACCCCGATATCCCAGATAACGCGTTTCCGGAACTGCCGCTTTTGAAGCGCACGCTCTTTACGTTGCAGAAGCTCGTCCATCGACGACGGTCGGGACGGCTGCTGTGAATTCGGCGCGGAGGGCATCGCCGGCATGACAATGCTCAGCGGCCGTTGGAAAAAGTGTGTGGTGATGTGGATGAGGGCTGGGAGGAAGAATGTCCCCGCGCAGGCACATGCGATCAGCACATCGCTGAGGATGCGTGCTATCCGTGTCGGGACGAGGGACAACGCGAATACCAGGGCGAAGATAAGATACTTAGAGAGCGGGATGTTCGTACTCCGATGGATCCTTTCTGGAATTGGCAAGGAAGGAGTGGTCACCAGTATCGAAGGAATACCCAATAGTAGTGTTAAAGCGTTGAGCACCGCGATCGCAGGTCGCAAGTCGACGAGTGATGGATCCTTGAGCTGAATGAATCGAGATGAGTCACACGGGGAAAGAAGGCAGCAATCCTTACAAAGACCGTCTTGGAGTGTGCAGTGTAGAACACCAACGGTGTGGTAAAGCATAGAGATATAACTACAGAGATGATGGAGAGTGTGCGGAAGGAACGAGCGGGACTCTTGGAAAGTCCAGAGTGGTGAGTACCAGCTTTCAGTGAAGCGTACAGAGGCAGCGTGGAAGATGAGGTGAAGACAAAGGCAGTGAGAGCTTGGAACCCGATTAGCATTGAGCTTGAGTTATCCATCAGGAACTTACTGATGCCCTGCCACAATGCTCCCATCCGCAGCCAGCCCGGACTCATTTCGAGAGTCCCATGCGCATGAGAAATAGACACGCAACAGAACCAAATGAAATAGGTGACCAGTGAGCCCGAGGTAGCGTATATCACGTGTTTCGACAGTAAAGTCTCAGCGGAAGCGAAGGGCACGAGCAGCAGAGAGAACAATACAGTCAAGACCGGAGGCGAAATGAAAGGCAGTTTTTCTGCCGGAATCAACGGTGTAAGAATGTGCACAGATTCTAGGGCAAGGAATAAGGACGGGAGGAAAAAACTGCTTGCGTCAATACATGACGCACCACGAAGATATATGACCGCTAGAAGCACTCTCAAAAGTCCCGTGCCCCCACGAACCACCGATCTCAGCCAGCGTCGCAGCATCTCTCTGCCCCGGCCGCTCGCAAACGCACTCAAGATGACATCTTCAAGATCGGCCTTGCGAGTGTATCGGGCGAGCATGTACCAGATCTGCCGTGAAAAAGCTGAAAGAATGGCAAAGACGAAGAGCGCAGGCAGCCCTAGTTTCAGCGGCAGCAGGGTGTTCGGCAGGAATATGGCCCCCAGTTTGAGATATGGCGATAGTAGGTACAAGAAGACGAGAGAGGCGGACATCGGCGGGCTGTAGGCCCGGCGAATCTCGAAGTCCGGGCTTTCAGGCGCATCGTCGTCCTCATCGTGGAATTGGAACGGAGAGGACAGTTCCTCGTCGTCGTCGTCGTGGACCAAGATTAGGGATGTAGAGGAATTGAAATTCGAAAGGATTGGAGACGATTCGGATTGGTTAGACGATCCGGAGGAGCTCGACGTCGAAAGACGACGAGGGGAGTCCATGTTGAGGGAGGGAGGGAGGGGAGTCGGGAAAGGAGGAAGCGAGACTTGCTCGGGAGTCGGAAGAGAGCCGATGTCTGGGCTGTGCATGATTGTATCATGTCAGCCGCTTGAATCCCGCCCGCCTTTGCGGCAACAAGTGTTCACTCGGAACGGCTGTCGGCGGTTGACCAGCACGACTATGACAACGGACTCGGAACTGTCTAACAGCGCATAATCCCTTTCCCAAAAACTCCCCACGTGCGGAGACTGCTTGGCAACTCGGGTCTCCAGCTGCCAGCAGACCTCGTACATCTTGATCCTTGTCTGCTGATAGCTGTGGGCCCTGGCCGTGGCTGAGCATCGTTTTATCAGAGATGTGCAAGTAAACTGTCCGAATCTGTCTGTCAACGTCTGGCCAATGGACCGCACTATGAGCTCTCAGTACTGTTGCTCCCTTCCCTTCCCCCTTCAATCCAGGACTGTGTTCCTGTCTCCTCCTCGATGGATTCTTCACTCTCTTATTCCTCGGCTTGGATCGGACTGGTTCAGAACCTGTGCGGGGCTGGGGTAAATCCCGTTCTCCGATTCGCCGAGAGAATGAACTGAACGGCGAGTTGGCTAGATCGCCCTCTTCCTGGGTGGCCTCAACGTCCTTTTCTCCGGCGCTTCTTTGTACTTCTTCGCGCATCGGAAAACCGCCGGCCGAGGAATCTTCATGACTGCCATTGCAATCATGCTTTTCCTTGCTCTTTTGGAATTGGTCCTGCAGATTGCGTTGGCCGCGACCTCCGCCCACCGTTTCTATGCATCAGTGCTCTCGGAAAACGACGCCTCTCGGGACACAGCGATTTATAACGTTTTGTCGTTCGCGTCCGAAGTAGTACTGGTGGCGAATAAGTGAGTGCAGACAAGTCAATGCGTGCGAGGCTCCGTTTTCTAAAAATACTGTAGCGCCGTTGCAGACTGTCTCTTTGTAGGTGCTCGTTGTTACGCCCGTAGACCGAGGAAATCGACCATTCGTGCAGGCTTATCGATGCTACAGCATCTGGGGACCAGGGAAATACAGATCGGTTGTGATTTTCCCATTGGTTTTTCTGGTGGCTACAACCAGTCCGTCTATTTCTCATCTTCCGATCTCTCTTTGTGACGACTCGCCAGTCTTGGGATTCTTCACGTCTTATAGAAACGACATCGCTGACCCAGGTTCTCACGCGATGGACACAAGGCTCAGCTTCACGCTGGCCTTCATCACCAATCTCTCCTTAACCGTGCTCACCGCTGGACGTCTGTGGTGGGCCCGCCGGGACTTGATGTGTATCGGAGAAGCAAGCCTCGCTCAGCGCTGTTCGACAGCCATCTCTGTCTTGTGTGTCTTCTGTGTCTGACTCGATCCTGTTAAGACTGCTGACGGGATCTCTAGCTTGGAATCGGGGGCGCTTTACTGTCTGTCACTGTTTGCGATCATGATCGCATTGTCCTTTGGCCGAACGACGGCCACTGGACCGAATGCTATTCTCGCGTCACTCAGTTACGGGACAGCGGGGCAGCTTGTGGCAAGTCCTCTGCTTCGATGTTCGATTCCGTCGTTGACGCTCAATAGAACATTCTCCCAACGATTTTCCTCGTCCGAGTGTGTCTGGCTGCGAGTCCAGAGCTGGTCAAAGTCAACGATAAATTGATCGTGTAGCGCTGTCGTATCATCTTTTGAGCTTACACACCCATTTGCCATCTCCACAAGGACCCTTGAGTAGCACCCCATAGGGCGCCGTTTTCCATCGACTGCAGCGTTATCAACGGTGAATTGAAAGGAACACGGAATGGGCTGTGTGTCGACGGCTGCGAATTCGCAAGAGTATGGAGAGCAGCTCCACTCCATAGTTCCCACCCACGCAGTCGACAGTCCTCGCCTGCCGAGAAGAGTGTGCGTTCCGAGGCATCGACACAAACGCCCTGCAAGAGTTGAACAATGATGGAAAGATTCGAAACTTTGCTTTACCAATCGCGCAGAGACAGAGTTCGCATTCTCGGCGTACTGGACGACTGGGACAGCCTCTGGTTTAAGAAATCTAAGATCGTATAATCCCATCTGTGATCGAGAATAAGGGAATGGGCGAGAAACATATCAAGAGACGACTGACCCGGCCGTCTAGGAACCCGGCGACGACAGCCTGGCCGTCCCGCAGCGACGTCAAAGACACAACAGAGCTCCGGGCCACCTGCACACGATTTCCATCCCATTTCGTGGTGCTTTCGATGAGGATTCTTGTGTCGCCTCTTTTCCCGGAAGTGGGTGCAGCCCGAGTATCAAAGCGCAGCACGCATCCAGACCGGGTTCCAGAGTAAACCAGGTGGGTGTCCTGTTTAGAGTCAACTGACAGTCTCGTCAACGGGTGGAAAACGCACAAGCTCGTGACCGAAAGTCACAGCGAAGACATCGCTTCCTCCCGGACTGCGTAATGTGTTCACGGAACCAGAGCGACTTCCACAATGATCCAGCGATGGAATGAACACCGTGCGGCCTGCAGCACCTGGATATCACGTTGGCGTCAGGTGACTGTCTGCTACTGAATGACAAAACTCACCCATGAGAAGAGACGCGCCAGAGGCATCGAGACTGGCCGCCCGTACATCACGGACTGTCGACACATTGAAAATGGCGGTGCGACTGAGTGAGGGATGTCAGCAGGGAGGCGGACAGACCACTGTCGCATGAGATGCGCTGACTCTGGTAGTTCCGACTCTTGCACGCAGATTTTCGTCTGCGGCCCGAAGCAGATAGCAACACAGCGAGCGGGATTGCTACAGAGAGCGGAGATCTAGTTCTGCTCGGAGGAGATAAAACAACCCTCCCAGTAGTGGACGCACTTCAGAGCCAGGAGCCAGGCAGAGTTCAGGCACCCAGGCATGCAACACAGCGTCCGAAAGGTCATCCTCTTCGAAGTTGACATCGCCTATCCTTCGACTGTAAAGCCATCCCTGCGAGTCACCCAGCCATTGTCGAGTGGGGCCGGTCTATAGATAGCCTGTCACCCATGAATGATTCGGCGGCGATGGGCTGCATATTACTGACTCTAAACGCACAGACCCTTCTCCCGATGCTTGAAGTGGAGTGAAACGGCCAGTGGATAGGCTCACTGTACGGTTCTCGAGACGTACAAGCCAGACGCGCAAAGAACATGTCACTGCCAGAGCATGACAAAGGGCACCGCAGAAGTTGTCACCTAGCTTACTCTGCGGCCTTCAGGCGTTGCTGCGAGTTTCGACTCATTGAGAATGCTTTCAGGGCCGCCGGGAAGTCGTGAAGCGATCGCACGCGCTCATTGGTAGACGCGATCCTATGAGAAGGACCCGCGCGTGCATCATGTCTGGCAGCTTGTTGCACCACTCCCTTGGCGGATTGCGCAGTCTGATTTGACGCCCGAGAAGCAAGGGGGAAATATCGGTTTCTTTCTGCATCAAAGAAGAATCCGGGAAGCTCTCGTGGCATGAACGCAAGGCCGAACAGAGCGAGAGAGAAAGGCGAGAGCAGTCGACGCCGTTTGACGCGCCTTGATCAATTGATCGCAGATCACTGATCAGCAAAAGCACATCGCTGAAGTTTTGAACGAATTTCAGCACCGCAGAGCATCATGTCGGACCCTCGTTTCGCCAGGCTCAGGTCGGACCCGCGGTTCCGCAAGCCGCGTAAGGACAAATCGAAGGTGGTTGTGGATGACCGCTTCAAGAGTGTTTTCGCCCCCAAGGCCACGAAATGTGCGCCCAACCGTGCCCTACGTCTGATTCCTTATACTAAGCAGAAAACGCAGCCCGCGTAGATAAGTACGGCCGCAGAGTGTCGAAGAAGGAACAGCAGGAGGATCTCCACCGCTTCTACCAGCTCGAAAAAGAGGAAGCCGGGCCGTCAGCACCAGATTATGCTCGCGGTGAAGCCTTACTAGAATCTTCTGATGAGGAGGAGGACGAGGAAGAAGAGGAAGAGGAGGATAGTGACTCTGCAGGACACACCTCGGCACTGCCCATCAATCTCACCAAGGACTCGCTCGAAGTCGATCTGGACGAGGACAACTTCGAGGATCTCGATGCTCAAGCCGCTGAATACTCCAAATCGCACCCTCAAGAATCTGCATCTGAAGGGAAGCGGTCGCATCGTCTCGCGGTCGTGAACCTTGACTGGGATCACGTCCGGGCTTCGCATCTGTTCAAAATCTGCTCGTCGCTCGTTTCGCCCTCGGTGAGGAAAACGTCTGGGCAGAGCGCGGCGCCGCTCGTAGTCGGAAGGGTCCTCAGTGTCCGTGTATTTCCCAGCGAATTCGGCAAGGAGAGGCTGGCGCGGGAAGAGAAGGAGGGCCCTCCTCCGGAAATCTTCAAGAAGACCAGCGTGGATGAAGAGGAAGAGGTGAACGAGCGAACCATCTTTCAGGTCGGTGACGAGAACCAATACGACGATGATGCTCTGCGGAAATATCAACTTGAACGGCTCAGGTGTGTCAGGCATCTATCGAGGGAGGGACTACTCGAACTTTCTCAGATACTATTACGCAATTATCACTTGTGATACTCCAGAGACGGCAGCTCATATCTACTCTGAGCTGGAGGGGACCGAGCTGGAGCGTTCCGCGAATGTGTTCGATTTGAGCTATGTCCCAGACGAGATGGATTTCGACGCAGAGTGCCGGTGAGTCCTTGCTGTATCCCCCCCAGCCGATCTAACATGATCCAGAGACGAGGCTACCGAAGACCACAGCTCGACATACAAGGGCGTAGACTTTGTGACCGACGTGAGCGTGCCCTTCTATTCCCACTGCTTATATTGACCGTTTGCAGGCTCTCCGGCACTCGAAGGTCAAACTGACGTGGGACGACGATGATCCAGAACGCAACAAAATCACGCGCCGTAACCTAACCAAGCAGGAGATCGAGGACGGCGACTTTCGAGCATATCTGGCCTCGTCCGACGAGGACTCGGACGCGGAGAAAGACATGGGCCGGGACAAGCTACGCTCGCTGCTGCTCTCCGGCGACGGAGGCGATCTCCCGGAGGGCTGGGACCGCGGGGAGGATGACGATCGCGGAGACGTGGACATGGAGATCACCTTCACCCCTGGATTGACCAACACCGCCGACAAGGACGAAACCACACTCGAAAAGTACCAGCGCAAGATGCGAGAAAAGCGGAAACAGCGGAAGAGTAACAAGGAGCAAGGGCCCGCTGAAGCTGAAGCTGAAACAGACGACTTCTTTGATGCGGGTGACGGTGATACCGTGGAGAAGAGCGTCCCTGTGCGAGAAATCTCCACGGCGGACGAGCTCTCTCTCCTTGTTTCGTCAGACAACAAGACCGATGATCCTCGGCACTTTGATATGCAAGCCATCATCAAAGCAGAAAAACTGGCCAAACGAAAGGGTGGCAAGAAGATCAAGAAGAAGCAGGGTAACGAGGACGCCAACGAAATGCAGGAGGACTTCAAGATCAATGTCGAAGATCCCCGCTTCAAAGGCCTGCACGACGATCATGCGTTTGCAATTGATCCCAGTAACCCCCAGTACGGCTTGGTGGAGCATCTCCGCAGTTTTCTGAACACTGACGGCATTCGTAGATTCAAAAAGACGCAGGGCATGACAGCGCTGCTCGACGCACGGTCCAAGCGTCGCAACCAGCGCGAAGAACCCGCAGCAGCCAAGCCCAAAAATGACTCATCGCGGTCACTGCAGAATTTGGTGGAAAGCGTGAAGAGGAAGAGCACCTCGGTGACGAAGGGTGACGGCAAACGACGTAGACTGCAGTAGCCTGTATCTACGATGCGCGTAAGTTACTCGACATCCAACGGAGCCTGAAGGGCAAGTCGCTCAAAGCTAAGGTTCAAAATCAAGCTGTTTCCGAGCGGCAGCGAACTGCGTTGATCCGTGCAGGTAAGTTGTTTCGATACGGGGCCTTTCTGCGGGGCAAGTTCGGTCTAACTCACCAGCCATCCTCTGCTTATGCTCTCTCTAATTGAGAACGTTGGTCGTTGGGCATACTACGAGTCCTCTTCGCGCTCCACAGCGCTCCACAGTCTCGAACGGCGCGCCTGCCGGATTGATACCCACAGACACGTGCCCGCTTCGGGTCTTCGATCAGGCAGCCGTTCTGAAGACGGCGCCGCTCAAGCCTCGTCCGGGATTTATCCGCTGGTTGCGCCCGTGTGCGCTGCGCTCAGCGATACTGGCTGCTGGGAACGCATTCCACGGTGCATTACGCAAACTCGGGTCTCGGAGAAACTTGGAGCGCGAGAAGGTGCTCCTGATGAATGTCCCTGCAGACGCACGGTCACACGAGGGCTGTAGGTGTGCAAAGGTATAGTATAAAAGCTCGCGTCGAGGTCCAGCACTCTCAACAAGGTCGCTGCGCTCCATTCGCCTGCGATGTTTCCCGCCGTTGCTCTCTTCTCGCTCTGTCTCGTCGCTGTGTCTAGTGCGCAGCAGATCGGCACCCAGATGGCGGAAGTCCACCCAACGCTGACGACGCAGAAGTGTACGGCCCCCGGATCTTGCACGACCGTGCAGAGCTCGATCGTGCTCGACTCCAACTGGCGGTGGACCCATCAGGTGCTATAGATAACGACGGCCGCGGTTGTTTGACAGTGTGCTGATGGCCTTCTCAGACCTCGTCCACGACGAACTGCTACACCGGCAACACCTGGGACGCGGCACTCTGCCCTGATGCGACGACTTGTGCGCAGAATTGCGCCTGGATGGGGCCAACTACCAGGGCACCTACGGGATCACCACCTCTGGTGATGCTGTGACACTCAAGTTCTTGACAGGTACGTTTTTGCTACGGCTGGTGGAGCATAACTGCAACTGTTGCAGGCTCCAACGTCGGCAGCCGCGTCTACTTGATGGCCGACAACACACACTACCAGATGTTCTCTCTGCTCAACCAGGAGTTCACCTTCACCGCGGATGTCTCCCAGCTAGGATGCGGTCTCAACGGCGCGCTATACTTTACTGAGATGGACGCTGATGGAGGTCTCTCGCGCTTCCCGGACAACAAAGCGGGCGCCCAATATGGCACAGGCTACTGTGACGCGCAGTGCCCCCAGGACCTGAAGTTCATCAATGGAAAGGTAGCTCAGCCATTGGCTCACCCCTCGCTCATTGCAATTGACGGTGTCTCAGGCTAATGTCGCGGGCTGGACTCCCTCTTCAAACGACCCGAACACGGGCACTGGTTCGATGGGCACCTGCTGCAACGAATTGGACATCTGGGAGGGTAGGCGATTTGTGTGTATCTCGGAACGTTCGCGGTTGCTCACGTGCTTTGATCCATTAGCCAACAAGTTCGACACGGCATTCACTCCGCATACCTGCTCTGTTGTCGGACAGACGATGTGCACCGGAACCGACTGCGGTGCCGGCAGTGATCGGTACAAGGCGTTGTGCGACAAGGACGGCTGCGATTTCAACACCTACCGCTGGGGCGACAAGTCCTTTTTCGGCCCCGGCCTCGCTGTTGATACCACGAAGCCGATCACGGTGGTCACGCAGTTCCTCACCAGCGACAACACGACCACCGGCACCCTCTCTGAGATCCGGCGGCTGTACGTCCAGAACGGGACAGTCATCCAAAACGCACCCGCGAAGATCCCCGGCCTCACCGAGTACAACTCGGTTTCGGACGCGTTCTGCCACGCGCAGAAGAACGTCACCGGGGACACCAACAGCTTCGAGTCGCGCGGCGGATTGGCCACGATGGGCGCGTCGTTGGCTCGGGGAATGGTCCTCGCGCTTTCCCTGTGGGATGACGACACGGCGGACATGCTCTGGCTCGACAGCGCGTATCCGACGACGGCCAGCCCCTCCTCCCCCGGGATTCTCCGAGGGCCCTGCGACGCTGCTTCTGGCACTCCCCAGGTGAGTCCGGTCTCGGGCTTGGGCTTGTTCGTGCGAGCGCTGGACTGATGGGACTGCTTCTTCGCAGGCCGTCCAATCGCAACAGCCCAATGCGCAAGTCACCTACTCGAACATCAAGACCGGTCCCATTGGCTCGACTTTCTAAACCATACACATACATTAGAACAAGCAACTGTAAATACCCTAAAGTGAATTGAATCCGAGTGAATTGGACCGACAGAGACCGGAGATAGCAGAACACACCGCCCCACGCGGAGAAACTGGGCGATCGGTGTTTGAAAATCCATGAAGCACGCGACCGTTGGAGCCCGCCCGACACTCGATCGATCTCGACACGAAGGCGCGTTTTCAACTTGGAGGCACATTGAACATTCCCGGTTGCCACATCCAGGTCGTGCTTGGCCAAGAGATATTATTTACTTACAGAGTACATAACACAAGATGTTTTTTTCTTGCGGCGGATGACAGATAGATCGCCGCTAGAAGGTCAGAGGACGGACTTACCGGCTTCAGTGCCATGCACCAGCCCAAAATCAAATCCTGCAAGTGCCTCCGAGAAAATCAATGGTCGTGTGCCGGCGCCGCGGCGGAGAGATGTCATGATGACGTCACATCCAGATCCCTTGCCAAGCCTGTCCGGAAGGGCTTCCATCAAAAAGGCAGCTGGCGGGCCGGCGGCGGTCAGGCCTCGGGCTAAGAGTCTCACGGAGAAAAGGGTTGTAGTCAAGGAAGGTGTCATTGGTGTTCTTCAACGTTGAACAGGCACGCTGCTCACTGATGCCAATTTGTGTGTGAGTGGTTGGCACGTTACTCAGCCTCGAGGTCGGGTTATTGGACCCGATGGTTACGGACACCGTCGACCAACGACTGAGTATATTGTGTCCTCTGTCTTGCGGTACTCGCAATCCAAAAAGTCAGCGGCCCAACGTCAGGCACTCATTCCGAACGACAAACAATTCCAGCAACGGAAGCACCGGAGTTTCGGTTGTGATCGCACGAAAAATCAAATAATATTTTTTGTTGTCGTGTTGATCTGCTGCCACCCCTCATATCATAATCAGAGCAATGGCGACCTTTCACCCGCAGGTGCAACCCACGCCCTGTTCTCGACTTCTACCACGACAGTCCCGCGCTATGAAGAAGCGCCGTCTCTCCCTCTTCAACAGGGACACAAAAGACGGTCGCCACTACAAGACGCTACCCCGTTCCTTCACATACGACGCGAACGCTCCTACCGCATACTACGACGCGCCATCCAGCGACGCACTCCTCATATCTATCCCCTCGAGTGACACTTCTTTCCTTCTCGACGATGATCCATTTGCCGATTTGACGGGTGCACCGCTGCACACGGTGCAGCAGGACGCCTCCATTGACGCGTTGGCCAGTCCAACCACACCGACACCGACGTCACCGCTCGGACAAGTCGCCGCTGCCTTACCTACGCACACGCTCAACCCCAGCCAGGGCTCAGCTACCCGACCGCTGCCTTCACTCACGACTCCAGCCTATCAGAAACCCGCATTCAGAGCCCGTCCTTCCCTTCCTTCCCTACACACGCTCGCGCAAATGAATGTAGGCATTCCCCACAAGGTCCGTCATCCATACAGCCTTTCTTTTATCAGCGCCGCTTACTTACGTGTTCTTTTCGATCTGTATTTTCTTGCTTTCTCTGATCTCGACTCTATCTGCGCTGCCTCGCCCGTCGCCCTCCCCTCGGAAATTGAATGCAACCGTTTGCATGTGATCCAGGTTCGACGAGGTCGTGTTGGTGCTGGACTACCTTTCGAGCCCTGGGATCTGGATTCGGACACGCTCACACCCAGTTCAGCGACCGCGTCGACCCCCTTGTATGCCGAACCTCTCCCGATGCTTCCGCCGCCGAGTCCGAATCCTATCACTTCTACTTCTCTCACCCCTTCCAGCGCTGTGGCTTCGCCGGTCAAGGCGCACACTGTTCCCATCCCCATACATTTACAACCGACCCACGGATCGTTCCCAGACCCCGTATCACCCTCATCATCCGCTATGCCTGTGCGACCCCGACCCGAATTGACTGCGCAGACGTTCTTGGACTTGTCTTCGGACGAGGAGGACGTCGCTAAGATGAAACCTCCGCTAGTGAGCTTCAATTCATTCGTTCCACATCAGTCCTCATATATTTTTTTCAGCCCAAGAAAACCCCCCCTGCACTAAAACTCAAACTGCCCGCATACAGTCCAGGCTCTCGGCTGCACACGTCACCCCTTCCTCTGTCACCAGCTACACCGTCGGCCTCGGCCTCTGTCCCCTTTTCGGCGCCGCTCTTGGACATGTCGCCCGATGTCGAAGCCGGATTGGGGCTTGACTTGGGGGAAATGGACCTGGCTTCCGATGCGGATTACGCTGCATTCGCATTGGGGCCTGCCTCAGCTTCGCTGACGGGGTCGTTCGACCTGGGCGCAGACTCGCCCACGTCACCGGGCCAGCCCGTGGAAGCTGCGCTGCAGCGCCGCATGTCGAAGAAACTTTCGAGCATGGATTTGCGATTGCAAGGGCTGCGGTCACGATCCCAGTCACAGTCCTCGTCACAATCCTCGCAGTCACGATCCCGATCCTCGTCTTCTGCGTCTGAATCTGGATATGGGTACAGGTACTCGACTGTCATCGAGCTTGGCCACGAGTCCGATGAAGCCGTCGCGTTTCCGACGGCGTACGACGAGTCGAGCTCGAGCAATGCCAGTTCTGACGAGCAGGATGCCCGCTCCCCAGAGCAATACTACCTGTCTTCGTCGTATGGATACACCCCTTACAGCACCGCCCCGGCCTCTCCGGGAGCTTCCAGCTATGGAACCCGGTCCCCCGAATCCGAGGTCCTGCGATCACCTGAACGGTCGCGGTTCGATTGGTTCGCGCAAGCCTCCTCGCCGCCGTATTCAACCCCAGAGGCCACGTTTTCGGCATCGTCCTCGTCCGAAGGCCATGCCGAATTTGATTTTGGCTGGTCCCTGGGCGAGAAGGTGTCGGAGCGCGAGGTATTGTCGGGTTATGCCGACGCGACGAGGATCCGTTCCGGCTCCGTCTATTCTGACGAGGAACTCGGCGGCACTGCAGATGACAGGATGCAGGCCTTTGTGTTCCCCTCACGGGTTTTGGAAGATGAGTTTGAGCCCGGGACGTCGGCGGGGACCATCAAAGCCAGTCAGGTCCGACAGGAACGCGGCCGGAAGAAATCGGTGATGGACCGATGGGAAGGACCTGCAGAAGGCGAAGCTGTGGACGCCGGGGAAGGCAGCAACCATCATTATTCCTCGCGGAGAGATGCGAGCAGGGAGGGAAACAGCCGACGCCCGACCGGTCGCGGAGACCGAGATGATGGGCAGAGAGGTTTTGGAGGGCATGGACAAGGTTCTGGAGCAGGTGCAGGCGGCGGTGATGACCGAGATGGATATCGTGGCCATGACAAACACTCTGCGTTTTCGACCCCGTCTTCGTCTTCTGAATCTGAGGATTCTGAGCATGAGGCCAGTGAAGATGATTACGGCACTGCTGAAGGCGCGTCAGAACAAAAGCAGGCAGCCGTGAAGGCGCCGGATGGCTCGGATGACGATGTGCCTTTGGCGCAGAGAATCCCGTCGGCGCTCACAGCTCAACGCACGATCCGTCGCAAAGTGCGCGAGGAGCGCGACGAACGCCGGGCAGCCCGGGAACAGAGGCGGGCTGAGCGGGCTGCTTCTGGAGAAACTCGCAGTCGGCAGACAACGCTTCGGCCCGTCGCGCCGGGCGATGTTGCTTCGGGCAGCAGCCAGGAAGCAGCGCGGCAGGCCCAGGCCCAAACATCGCTGGCCCGCTCGAGCACGAGGGCCCGCTCGGCGACCAGAGCCAGAACGCAGACTGTACCGGTTGATGATCTGACGCGCAAACTGCAGAACATGCAGACTGAGCGCTTGGCAGTAGAACCGCCTGCCCCTGCACGAGTATCCGCCTCAGCATCTCCGCCGAATCGGAGCCAACCGTTGTCTGAGGGGCGGACGTTGCGAGCGATGCGCTCATTCCATCGGCCATCGACAGCCCCTGGGGTCGACGAGCCGCTCATAACTGAATCGGAAGTGAAGGTGCGGCGAGCAGTATCGACCCGACGACCTGCGGGGGAGTCGTCGAAACCACGAACCTCGAACGAAGCAGCTTCTCCGCCCGTTCCATCTAATAAGCTCACCAAAAGCCGTCCATCGGGCGAAGGTCCTCGTCCTCCTCGGACCTCTGCGGACGGCCTGCTCGCGTCGCCACAGCCGGCGCACCGTCACGTCGCTTCCAAGTCGCAAGGCACCCTCACGCGGATCTTTGTTGGCGATCTGCAGCGCTTCAATATGGTCAATATCGGCGATACGACCACGGCGAAACAGGTTCTGGCTATGGTCGACGAGCAAGGGTCACTCAAAGGCTGGGTGGGGACCGGTGGATGGATGGTTTGGGAGGTCGCGCAGGACTTCGGGATGGGTGAGTCGACTTGCAGCAGTTAAGTTTCTGCTATTGATGCTGGTATTGTCAGAGCGGCCCATCCGCAGCTTCGAGCTGCTTTCTGAAGTCCAGGCCTCGTGGAACAAGGACAAGATGGTTAACATGTTCGTTATCAGGCTCACGCCGCTTGCCCCAATCCTGAGTCGTTCGGTTGGTGCTGTTGCTGTTATCGACAGTCGTGCTCATATCCGATCAGAACTTGCCTACGGGCTGCCCGGCAATGTCCGGATACGTCGAATGGGAAGCGAAACGCGGCAAATGGTCGAAGCGCTTCCTGCGGCTGAGGGAACATAGTTTGTGGCTGTCTAAGCGAGAGAATGTCCGTCCCTCCATCATACTGGTGGTGTGTTGTGCTTGGTCTGAACTGTTCAACAGGGCAAGGACGAGATATGTCTGTGTTCATTGTCGAATTTCGATGCGTACAATGTCACCCGTCTCCAAAAGGCGCCGAAACCGTTCGTTTTCGCTGTCAAATCTACCGACAATCTATCCTTGTTCGAGAACACGGCCGACTACCTCCATGTCTTCTCGTGTAATCCGTCTGATGGCGAGAAGTGGGTGGAGAAGATCCTCCTCGCACGGGTAAGTCCATTCCCCTGTCTCCACCCGGGCCGAACAGCGCTCAATTTATTCCAGTCGTACGTGTTGTATCAAGAACGCAATGTTCTGTTCACTGGCAATTCGAAGCCTGTGGCGACGGGCACGTCTCCGAGCGCTGGGCTGTCGAGATCGGCCACCACCCGCAAGCCGCCCGGCCAACGACCGAGCCATGGGGGCCAGCCAATACAACCGCTGATCAACGTTGACCGGAACGAGGTGTTCCAGCCGGGCTCCCTGTTGCGCGAGGCTTGACGATCTGTGACGACCTCTGTAATGTTGTAATTTCCCTCGCTGTATCAGTAATTGGGTGGACGTGTGAACCCTCAGCTTGTTAGAATTGGGCGTGGGATTGTGTGCGTCGTGTGTACGTGGAAAGAGAAGTGAGATAGAATTTACATCTACACTAATTAGCGATCTGTTGCAATCAATCATATCAGACTATTTACAGAAGATTGCGTCGTGTGCTATCTGGAATACGACTCTTTCAGCTTGAGCAGCGCACCCTGGGTCAAGTTCAGTTCGGTGTTGTGACCGCAAGAGAAGAGCCGGACCTCGTAGAAGACGGAAAGCGGGGCAAGATCGGTTTCGCCAACCCTGACGCGTTTGACGCGGTCCAGATGATCTGCCTCCCGCAACATGTTTTTGAAAAAGCGCGCCTGGGTGACAGCCGTCAGATAGAAGCATAAGGTAGGCGCCTCGCTCACCTCCTGCTCCTCCACCAGAGTCCAGGCAACACCCTCTCGACCTGCACGTGCTGTCCGTCCCACCCGGTGCACATATTTGCGGATGTCAACTGGCACATCGTAGCTCACGACATGCGAGACGTGGCTGATATCGATTCCGCGCGAAATCAAATCGGAGCAGACCAAGCTACGCAAAAATAAATTCACTGTCAAGTGGAAGACGGTCCCCAAACGGATACTCACATGTCGATCTCCTTCGCCTTGAACTTGTCGAGGATGGTTTTGCGCTCACCCGCTCCCAAGTCGCTGGAATACGCTCGTACCACAAGGGGGGCAGACTCGTGACCTACTGACGATCGGCGCGCTGCATCGAAGAAGTCGAATAACTTGACGAGCCGGGCAGTCGATTCTGCAGACTTGGCGAAGACAACGGCATTGCTCACGCCGTGCTTGAACACCAAGTGGAAGAAGACAAGGGGCTTGATGGAAGGTTCACAGACGAGCATGTTTTCCTGAATCGGTTGAGCATTCTGCAGACAAGAAAGGCTCACACGAGCGCACCGTCAGAGTAGCAGGGAAGGAGAACTTGTCCATGACTACGTCCAGTTCCTCCTTCTTCTCTTGCACCACAAAGTACTTGGGATCACGGAGATTCAGTGCTGCAAGCTTGCCGGGGTCGCTCGTCAGCGTCGCCGAAAACAGCAGTTTCTGGCACGACGACTCTTTCCGTTCGAGATTCCACGGCGGAAGTGCATAAGAAAGGAGCGATCTGAATGCGGGTGAAACAGCATCGGGATGCCGAGGCGTTCGATCCGCAAGAGTCTTGGGAACAGACGGTGGACGGGTGGCCGAGAGCACCTGGGCTAACCAGTCCTGGAAGGACTGCGCGAGCAGCCTGTCCGCTTCGTCGATTACCTGACGCGTTTATCAGAATTGGAAAAGGCGAGCGGAGATCGAACTTGCCAGAAAACGAAGGTGCTGCAAAGAAAAGTTCGGTGTTTCGTTCAGATGATCTATGAGCCGGCCCGGAGTGCAAATGAGGATGTCCACTTTGCTGGATCCACCCGCAAGGCTGGACGTTTTGTCCGCGATCAATTGGGACTGCTCGTGGGCGAAGGAATGCTGGCCGGTCGCCGTGCCTATCTGTGCTGAGATGTCAGTTGAGCTCAGCCTACGTAGGAAGGAATCTTGTCACTTTGAGACCGCGGCCCTTCCCAAGTGCTTCAAACGTTTCTCGGACCTGGGTTACCAGATCTCGCGTTGGAAGCACAACCAAGGCGCGCAGTCGCGTCACGACTCTTGTTGTTAACACCTGGAAATAATCGTTTAAAAGTACCTGGACCATACACAAATCACATACCTCAAGAATAGGCAGGACGTATGCAAGGGTCTTTCCACTTCCTGTCGGTGCCGATACGCAAACGTCCCGAGGCGGATCGAAAGGAAGGTACAAGGACCGCTGTCGCAAGTCCGGAGGTAACAGAAACGGTAGCAAACTTGTTTGGACTAGCCCAACGGACATTCAGGCCAACAGAAGGCAACTCATCGAGCGCACCCACCTGCGAACAGCTCTGTGATTCCAAGCTCTGCTAATCTTTTCCTGGTCTTCTCTCTTAACCCAGTCCCTGCATCATCGTCTTCGTCGAGTGGAATGGCAACAACGCGCCCTGCGTCCACGATCTCCGCGCCGACGAGTGCCTTGTCGAGGCCTTGAAGTGCGAGATCGGATTTGGAAGGGGCGTTCGGATGCGAGGGGAGCGGGAAGGAGAGCAGGGCAGGCGCCGGTTCCAACTCAAGCTCGTCGACAGCAGCGGTAAGATCTCCCACGACTTCCATTTCCACATTCTCGGCGTCCTCTTCGCCGGTGTCTAGTTTTTGTCGTTTCTTGGGTCGTTTCTCCTTCGGGGTTTTGATTTTCGTTGGAGCGGCAGCTTCTTGGACAGAGTCTTGTGGAACCTCCACCTCCATTATATCGGCTTCGCCTGCCTCCTCATCCTCATCCTCTTCGTCTTGACTTTCACCGTCCTCGTCTTTTTTACTCGAGGACGCTCCGGTTGTCGATTTCCCCTTGCCCTTTCGCCGTTGCTTCTTGCGCTTCAAGTAGCGTTGCTTCGCTTTGGTTTTTTCCTACGCGCTGATAAGACGAATGAAAAAGACATCGAGACACTTTCTACGAGGAGATCGTACTTTCGTTTGATCTGCAGGGGCGGGCTTCGCTGCAACCGCGGGCGACATTCAAGGAAGAAATGTGGGAACGATATCAGTGGCTGTACCCTTCCATTTTGAGCGAGACTACTCTGTCGCGAATTTTCATGTTCAGAGCTCTGCCTTGTCCACGCCGGGTGCTGCTGCACAACACTTCACGCGTCGTCTGAATGGCCATGTGGTGGATTCAGTCGTGCACGCGCGATTCAAAGGGACGACGCCCCGCGCGCCGCGTGCCGACTTGGCCAGCATTCCCATGGCCTTGCGCCAGCTTTACCTGAGCTCCCGAAGTACGACGAGTCCGACCCATTCACTCCCCAGCGAAAGAAAAGGTTTTTCCGTTTCTATCTGCTCCTCTGTACGTCCCCGCTCTCTCAGGTATCCGTTGCCCTCGGTCCTCAGCACCTGCGCATTCAGTAATCCCTATCTTGCTCTGGGGCCAATGGGAGCTGCATTCGGACCCGAGACCGCTCATCGAGAAAAAGCGAAGAAGAAGTTGATCGAGCGTCTGACCGAACTGCAGGAGAAAACGACGACTCTGCCTACGACAACGAACTTTTCCTCCGCGCCAGTGGCCGCAGTCCTTTCGTACAGCCAATGGCTGGTGAACACATTCGTTCCACCCCACATCTACGACACACCCAGAGCGACCGGGTCTTCGAGTTGTTGGCTGCCGAGTGCCCTGAGGAGCTTTTGAAGTCCTTGAGGGAGGCAGCTATGTTGTCGTATTCCAGTGCCACGGAACCGTGCGAGGGAGAGGCTGCGCAATTGAAGAGAGCCGAGGATCTGTTCACTTTAGCTGATTTGGTTCTGAGGCAGTGTTATCAGGCAGTGCACGAACAGTTGCCTGCGAGACGGACCAAAGAGATTGATTCAGCTCCATCTGCACCCTGGTGAGTTGAGTTCGTTTCACGACCTTGGAATACTCCCTCATGTTTGATCAGATGTCTACGCGGTTTAGAGTGATCAGCTGCGGTGCAGGGTGATCAACTGCGGTGTAGAGTGATCAAATGAGACGCTTGCAGCCGGACAAAATGTTGGGCCGACGAACGAGCCCAACAAGATGAGCCAACAACGGGGCAGTGAGCGCCATCGCATCTATTTCTGTAATGTATTACCTGTCAATCAAACTGCGGACGATTCAACGATGTCTCACTGCTGCCTTTCCTACGCGTCGCTATATAACAAGGCTAGTTGAAATCCCCAGAATGTACAGACCCCCTCACAACGATGGACTTCCCCAAGCCGGAAACTACTCCCCCGCCCTACCACTCAACTGAGGCTTCCTCATCGCAACCGCAATCGCCTCCCCAGATTGGACCGTCGGGCATCGAATTCGTGCGCGATGCAGAGTATCTGATCGAGTCGTTCCTGCCGGCATACGCGCCCCCCACTGCCCCGCCAACGTACGCGCGATCGGCGCTGCCCATGCCGTTCTGCACGCCCCAGATCGCAGTCAAGTTTGATTCCGCCTTTGCAAGAGGATACAACTTCGAGCTGCAGAATGCGGTGGGGATCTCTCAGGAGGAATTCTTGCAATTCATGTACACATCGTGCTCTTCTCCTCGAGCCTACGCTGAGACGATCCTCCATACAGTGACGGTCTGAATCTCGCGATGACAGCCAGTCCGCCGCTGCGTGTGGTCAACACTGTTGGAATGGCTATCGGTTTTGTGTACGTCGAGCCGACTACTCTCAATTTCGATCTCACTCTCGAGCAGCCATTCCACTGGGCCATGATCGCTGGCACTGTGATCCAGACCACCGCCCAAATCGGCATGCATGTGTTGTCCAAGACCCTCACCGATCGCTATCTCCGCGCTGCGAACCAGCGGCTGTTCAAGCCCAAAGGCCTCGTCGTCCGTCTCTGCACCACCGCCGCGATGGAGCATCTCGTCATGCACAGCGGGACCGGCAAAGGCCCCTCGGCGCTCAGCAAGATCGGACGGGGAGTGGGCACCGTTCTGCTGCATGCCCCGCTTCCTTTCAGCAGCAGGATCGTGCGGGCCATAGCGGACAAGCCGCCCACCGTCCACGCGAGCATCAGCAGCGTTGGCGATGGACGCAGCATGCCGCTGTCGACGCAGCGAAGGCTTGCCTCGCTCGACGGACACGCGCTCCATGTCGATCTCGACGTCCCCCCGCCCGCGAAAGTGTCCGGTGTGATGGATACCATGGCTTCTTGGGGTGTCGCTTTCGACGCGTACCGAAACAGACGCAAAGAAGACAGAGTCGAGCAGCGTCGCCGAGAGCTGGAGCGGGTCAACTATCAGCTTCAGGCGATCGGGATGAGTCCTCGACCAGCCAATGCGCCGGTAGCTGCACCTATGAGCTACATGGAGATGGAGTTGATGGGTAGAAAGGAGAGAAAACATTTGCGCAAAGCTGCAAAACGAGCGCGGAGACGTGAACGAGGCAGGAATGGCTTGTTGAGCGGTGTGATCGGACCCAAAGAGACTAAGCTGGAGAGGAAGGTCGCGAATGCAAATCTGCTGGAGCACTGGGGGACTGGCCAGGTCGTCTGGCTCGTGGTGATGAATGCCGATTTGGGTGCGTTTTGACATTTGTGATTGCGCACTTTCTCATGGTTCGAGCAGATAGCGAAATCGAGGGAATAGAGCGCGCTGACAGCATGGACAACGAAGAACATGTCGATCAACAAGCATGGCAAGCAGAAATGGTTCGAGAACGCGATCAGTTGGAAGAAGAGGAGGATTCGAGTGATGAGGAAGACGAAGAGCATCATCATCACAACTGATTTAATTTTACTTCGACCTATCGCCCTGTGTAACGAATCTCCAGCCATCTGAATACGGGATAGGTGACGGCAGAAAACGCAGCAGCGAGCTCGAACCCGAGATCTGCGCCGAATGTCGAGCCAGCCTTGGCCCCGAGTGGGCCAATGTACCACACCTCTGCCATGCCAACAACTGCACCTGCAACGCCAAAGCACGCAGCCAAGATTCCCGCGATCCCGAGAGGCAGTTTCGAAGGATTGTCCCAGTCATCGAGATTGTAGCCCCCGAGTCTGCCATTTGGCCTGCGGAAGATGAAGTGCTCCTCTGCGACGATGACTGCGAAGAAGGCCGTCCAATAGCTGAGAATCGCCAGGAAATTGCTCAAGATCGCGGAAAAGTGCTCCCGGCCAGCGACGCCCGCGATGGTGTACGCGGCGAAGATAACAAACGTCCAAAAGAATCGCGGAACCATCGCAAAGGGACGACCAAGAGACTGTATGGACAGCGCAGCCGAGTATGTGTTTGGCACGTTGTTGGCGCTGTTAGAGGGGTGAGAACGGGCAAAGGACTCGCATGGCCGCGACGCACATGACAGAAAACGCAAGAAGGAAGAGGACAAACTTGCCCCCGCCTTTCCACGGGGACAAGATCTGGCCAAGCAGGCCACCGGCCCCGCCATCCGCATATGCAGTCACATACGCCTCTTTTGTGATCGTCATCAGGAGGGCGCCGAGAATTTCACAAAAGCAAATGGGAATGAACAGGCCGAAGAAGGTCAGAAGGAAGATCTTGACCGATGGAGTATTGGCGGGAAGTCGGACGTTGTAGTCTGCGGCAACAGGTGCCCACTGTCCATGTGGTCAGGCCAGCAATTCGAATCCAACGCGATCCGCATACCCCAGAGACCGAGCCGAAGACAACACCGCCCAGACTGAGGATATCCGAAGATAGGGCTTTGCCGGTATCTTCAGACGCCTTTTGTGCATGGATGTCATACCCAGCGTGTCCGCCCAGTCCTAGCAGGAATAGCATGACGATGAACAGAACCATCCAAGCGTAGCGTTCGTAATGGTGAACCATATTGTAGCCTGTAACCTAAATCGGCATTGACACCAGGAAAAGACGGAAACTCACACACCGATAAAGCAGGGGATCAGGCTGCCGATACCGACGATGATCACACCGACTACGAGGGGAAGAGTTCCCGGATTAATCGACGCTAATGTCTGTCCACCAAGGATGACGGCAGTGACCGAGAAGCCCAACCTCGTGGTGAGTGTCAGCTGCAAACGGTTCGATTTCTCGGACCAGACATACTGTGTCAGGATGTTCAGGATGGAGTAGATCGCGCCGCCGACATAGCCAGAACTAAAGCGCGTGATAATCATGGTCCGCAATCCCGTTTTGGGTCCAAGCGTAGCGATGAAAGCAGTCGTCGTTGCGCCCAGTGCTGCGAAACAGATGATCGTGGCGACGGCGTTCCTGAGCCCCAACCGTCAGCAAAGCAAGATAGCGTTTACGCCGGGAGAAGCACGCACGCGAAGCTAAGCGTGAAAAACTCCTGCGCGAGCATGCCGATGGGAAGCGTCGTCAACACGGTGTTGACCGACCTGGCTGGCGAGTCAAGATCGGACTGCACGGTGCAACGGGGACGGGAATCAAGTACCACCACATAAGCAAGCTGGGAACGCCCTCGTGAGCATTCCGCCGCGATGGGCCAGACGACGACAGCACGCACTTGTTCCACATATTTTTCTCCTCCCGCTCGTGCTCCGGCACCCGCTCGACACCCCGCGCCTCGACACCGCTCGCGAACAGTTTCCTGAGCGCCGGACCCATGAAGCCGAAGCGCCTGACGAGGACATCGTCGGGGGACACCTCAGCTTCCTCGGTGCTGACAGTGTGGACGCCCGCGGACTTCTCCTTGTCTTCGTAGGAATGTGTGGACATCGCGGAGGGGCGGATAGGGACCACGCGCGCTTCAAGATCCATGACCGGCTTTTTATATCTCCCAATGTGTTAGGATCGGAGCACCCGCGTGCTTCAACAAATCCAGCCTGGGGAGCTTGACAGCTGCGGCGTTTGAATTGCGATAAGGAAAAAAACGAGGATGGCGTAGATGCAGCACGATCATGGGTCGAGATCTAGCAATGCGGCGCGGATTGTTGGAGTGTGAGGACGCATTCCGCTGACAGAAATGAGATCGACATGGGAGGACAGATTGATGTACAGAACAGAGCAGAACAGATGATGGATGTGCACATTTACATAAGACGCAGTCCATCGGTGGAAAACGAGGCATGTGGACGCAGCTGTCGACTTGCCTATCCCTACGCGGCACACGATAAGCAATGCATCCCAATTATTTACATAGGAAATAAATTACACGAGCAATTATCATTGCGACTGGATGCAAGCAAAAGCGGTGTAGATGAAGAAGCCAATGCGGAGATGTGTTGGACATGGATCTAGTGTCTGGGTATCCAGGGTAAAGAGCGGACGGGCTGACGAAGTAACGCCTTCCCAATAGCGAATAGTATGAGTGCGCATGCGGGATGAGATGCTGATGCTGATGGAGTTTAATAAATAACAGTTGCCGCCGTCTACAAGTTTACATCCAGAGCTAGACGTGTTGAGTGGCCTCGTTTGGCACGACGGGCCACAGTGTTCGTCGGTGTCACGTGCAGACCACTCTTCGTCGCGATCGCACCACCAACGCCGGTAGCAGCAGGAGCAACAGCCGTCGTCGTACCATTGTCGACCTCGTTGGCACTACCGCCGATGGCAGTCGGGCGGTAGTTTCCGGCCGATTTGTGCGAGACGTACATGCCGATACCGATACCGCCGGCCGCACAAATGAGCAGAATGACGCCAACAATCCAGATCCAGCTTCGTTGACGACTGGTGTCGCCTTGCGACTGACTCAGCCAGTCTGAGGGGCGCTTCTCCTTGGGATCCTTGGCTACCATACTGAACCGACGCCAGAACTGGTCGCCGTGCCCGGCTCTGGCACCAGGCCGGGCCCTCGCAAGAAGTGTCTCTTCCTTGTCACCACGCATGATTAAGTTCTTGCTGTCGTCAAACGTCACTCCACTGGCATCAGAAGACTGAGTAGCTGTCCTCTGAGGGCGTGCGAAAATAGGCGTGATGGGCGTTACAGGGGCCTCGAGAGGGTGCGGCGTGGAGGAGGGCGACGGAGAACCATAGGGAGACGGAGGCGCAACGAAAAGAGGGACGCCAGACCCCGGCGAAGGCGGAACGATACGAAGGCCCTCGATACGGCTAGGGGGAGCAGACACAGCAGCTGGTGACGGTCGGGTGAGTGTTTGGCTCAGGGCAGGGACCGCATTGGCATATCCAGGGCGTGGTGCAGCAATCGCCGGCGGCGAACGAGCTTGAGGGGACGGCATTTGGGTTGTTTCTTGGGCGACGGAGAGCGCATGTTGCCAGGGTTGTTGTACTGCGGCGGCGGGGTCTCAAGCGCTCGGGCCCCTTGGCAGGAGAGACACCGACAGCAGCAGCCAGGGCCGCAGTGCGCGACGGGGTGAAGGTGCGGAAGGGCCGCGCATTGTGGGACCTTCTTCATCGTCTGAGTCATCGTCCATATTGCCATTCATGAAGCCCATGCCCACAGCACCAACACCACTGTTACGGTTTCCACCACCCTCTCCAGGAGCAAGGTGGTTGTCATATCTGGACCAGGGTCAATTCGAGAGTATGTTGACACTGAATCACACCAACGCATTGTGAGCAGACGACTGGTTGCCTTGCTGCTGAGGGCGCAGACGTGGTTGCGGGGTGGTTTGGTAGATACTGTCAGGTTCATCAGTGGCAAAAGGCGGTCTACCAGCGAGCGGAGGAGCCATTGAGTATCTATTGAAGATTAGTAGAAAAGAACGTGGGGAGCCGAGCTGGGCGGCAGGAGGGGGAGAAGGGCGGGTAGAAGAAGACAAGAAACAACAGTCAATTTCAAGTTTGGTGATCGCATCAATCCGGCTGCATCAGCTTCTGAAGCCTGACAACTTTGAGCCTTGTCGCGGCTGGCGGCCAGCTGCTCCGCGAGAACGGAATTTTCCTTTTTGCGCATCTGGCGCACATGTGTCGAAACTCCTTTGGAAACCTGGCAACGAAGCGACTCAGATCTCCGAGAGTCCTATAAGGTCCTATACAATGTTTCCTATCTTTTTCGAATTCCACGTGCTCTTCCAAACTGATTGGCGAATACGCTCAGCGAAACGTGGGACGATCGATCAGCGCAACAAGCCAAACACGATTTGTCTCCCACGACTAAGCACTAATCCTTCAAGCTTCGTGTGCTCTGGCTTGAACTGTGTGTTAAAATATAATACCCGCTTGCAGAAAAAGTGCCGCCAGCGACCCGGGGTACTTATTTTCCATTGAAGGCTTGGGTCATTTACCATTTTGACGTGCAACGCGAGCAAACGCCGTGCAGTCGGGACAGACGTTTAGGAGGAAACATGACGACGGTGCTGAGGATATATATTCAATGTTTAGAAAGCGATGCAGAGCTAATGCTTGACTATGAGCTACAGTATGTGCATGTCTTGGTGATGGTCATCCATAAGATAGAAGGAGTGTGGAAACGAAAGAGCTTCGTAAATCAGCGAATGTATAAGGATATCCATCCCAAAGTAACTCGTATTAGATGAGTGCGGATGTAACAGACATGCTGCCGGTCTATGACAAGTCCATGGCAGCCAGTGCCTAGAGAAGACCTCATGCAACGGTGTTGGTCGGGCTGACGTGTAGTGTGGTTGCTGTCGGTGCGCTGTTGCCAGCAGTGGCGCAGGCACGCCTGTAGTAGCCACGCCAGCCGCGGCCCCGGTGATGTTGGCCGAGCCGCCGAAGGTGTCCGGACGCTTTGAATTCGAGTTGCTGTGGAACGAAATGAAGACGCCAATGGCGATACCACCGGCTGCGAGCTAAATATACCGTTAACGTCACACAATGGCAAGACGAAGCTGACGATAACGCACCAAGACAATAATGAGCCCGACAAGCCACAGCCAGCGCCCATACCGTGAGGACTTGCCCTCATTTCTCTCGAGCCACGAGCTAGGCCCAAGTGAGCGAGCATAAAAAAAATACCACAAACGACCGCACCTCTTTTCTGCGTCATGCCCTTGCTGATGGAGAACACTATTATTAAACCGCTTCCAAAACTCGTCGCTTTTGTCAAGCTGGTCGTCCCTTCGCCTCTTATGAGCATAGCATCAGAGCGCGACGACGTGACGGTGCTGATAGAGTCAGAGGAAGGGAGGGGGGTGAACGGTCCTCGTGCAAATGCTGGAGCAGGCGGGAAGTACGGATCATTCGGCGGGTATGCTGGGGGGTATTCTCGCTCCGGTTGCGAAGGTGTCCGCTGCAGCTGGGGAGTGGGGAATGGCGGCTGGTCTGACTGAGAGGTTTGGCGCTGAAGCGGTTCCCGCTCCTGCGAACGAGAGAGTTCGCGTTGCATGGGTCGACGGGGGTCTTCCGGCAGTGACTGCTGGTGCTGGCCTTGTCGGTAAGGCTGTTGGGCAGGTCCTGCGCGTAGGGCCGGTGGGACTGGTTGACTGTCCTGGACTGTGGGCCGTCGTTGTGGGCCCGAGCGCAACTGGGAGGACGGTCCAGATGGGAGGGAGTTCGGATAAGCGTTCTGAGCAAGTTTCTGAGGCAAGCGTTGCGCAACGTAACCACTTTCGTCACGGATGTCCTTTCGAAGTGTTTCAGATCAGGTGCATTTTGCACGAGGAGGATTGGATGGAACTGACCACGGGTCGGTTGGATCTGTTCATGGCAAGAATATCGGTCAAGAAAGGAGGACACCTGGTCCAAGCTTTGGGCTACCGGATTGCATATAAAAGTTGGAGCAGAACGGTCTGTGGTACAGCAAGCGAAGGGCTGTGACTGTGACCGTTACCGTCGTCTCGAAGGGATTTCGTAAAAAGTCCGCGCTAACGACACTTCAAGTGTCTCTCAACCCCCGCCCAACGAACGAATAAAGGCCGACAAATCGGGGATGAGAAGGAAGAGGAGAAGGAGAGTGAAACAGATCAGAAATGATCCTAAGAGTCAACGCTGGGGGCTGCCCTGTCGCAGTGGCACCGATCGCTTGTTTCCAGCCATCACATCGTCATCAGCGGGCCGGTCCGCCATCTCATTGGTAAGTCGGCGAGGGCGGCCATGATACTTAGAGGCTAGACCCGGATCAGGTCCCTTGATTCTCCCTACCGCAGCAGTTCTGGGCAGTTACGGTGGCCATCAATCCGTTTCTTTCCAGCCAAAGACTCGTTTCAGGGACACATCTACAGTCTTTTCCCGTAATATAAGTACATGAACGAGCTAGGGATACAATAGCATTGTTCGATTGGTGGATGCCCGACGTCTCAGTGGACTTCGGGGAGAATAACGTGGCTGATAACGTAGGGAAGCAGCATCCCCCCAGAGATTAGAAGCACCCTGTGCGCGGGCAGCATGTCGTTCCCAGCATGATCTGGACTGTGGCCACCGGGACTCAGCATGACAGTCGCGACGTACAGAAACGTCCCTCCCTGTGTTAACGTTGAAAACATCGTCCGAGGTTCATCCACACACATACCGAGACAAGCAGTGCTAGCCCAGTCCAATCACTCGGTGCGCCAGCCGAGAAAAATGACAGCAACAGATAGGATGCAATTGCGCCAACGGGCGTCGATGCTGCAAAGATCCCAAGATGCTTTCGGCAGTCCGCTCGAGACAGGGAGGTGTTTAGAAGCGACGTAGTAAATGCAAGCGAGGTCGGGGCTTGGCCGAGTCAAAAAAGACATCCCTCAAAGCATGAGCTTGTCACACGCACCTTTGTGCACGATGAGCGCAAGGAACACAACCAGAGTCAGATCGTGTCCATGCGACGGATGGGTGGGGTCTGGAAGGGCAGATACTCCGAGCGCAAGCCCGTCCGCAAGCCCATGCATGACCAGTCCAAACGTGAGCGGATACGCGCGACCTTTCGGATTTTCCGCAGAGTCGGCTTGCATAAAACCTGGGCCTGGCGTCGACCCGCGGCTAGAGCCCTCATGGTCGCCCATTTCCGCGTCAAATTCGAGCGTGCTTGACGGACCAACGTGATTCAACGGCACAGCTCCCGCGAAGTGACTTGCACCCTGCGAATGCGGAGCAACCAGTTGCTCGATAACCATCATAAGCGTGAAGCCAGCAATCAGAGAAAGTGCAATTTGAGATGTTGGAAGTTTGTCAGACACGTTGAGCGCCTCGATTCCTTCCGGGATGATAACTCCGAGCGCAGTTCCAACCAGAATTCCTGCACAGGGTAATCGAGATCAGGAACCATGTCCAAGGCAAGCAGTCGAAAGAAGGACCGAGCCAGATGGAGCGTACCAGAGCCAACGGTCGAAAAGCGCGCAATATGCTGCTCTGTAATGGGCTTGAGTTTCGTAACATTTGGGAATGAGTAACGGACTGGACAGCGTGAAGGATAGTGGGAGTATCCCCACTAGAAAAGACGAGATCCCCAGAAGGGCGGACATTGTGAGGATGGCGAACATATTGGGTGCGTACAGAGCGCGGCGCGTCGTGTCAGAGTCGTCACCGAAACGCGTGGCAATCACCGAGCCACATGACCGGATCACATGTGTCACTCGCGCTGACTCTGAGGCCAGACGGCGACAGCCATTGGGCAGGCACATTGACTCACTGATTATAAGACACACATAGAACGCGTGCTTTTGCAACATGACGGACAATGAAGTTATGGTTGACATATAATTTCATGAATTATGGTTTACAGCATGTCCTCACCCTTATTCTTGAAACGGGCCAACTCAGCACGCCACGGTTCCCAGCTCTGACCATACTTTTTCAGCAATCCTTGTAGTTCCTTGCGCTGTTCAGTCTGGGTGACATCAGCACATATCTCTCTGAAAATGATCAGTACGTACAAGGGTCCACGGTTCTTGACCTGCGTAGACATCTGTAAACAGTTCGCCGAGCTCACAGCGCTCGAGGGATTCGGCACGTTTCAAGGCCTGCATCACCTCGGTCTTCTGGCGAGACTTGAGCTCCTCCTCGTCTGCAGAGCTCCACCAGCCCTGCGATTCCATCCACAGCCGAAATCTTGTGATCGGATTGTCTATCCGCTTGCGGTCCTCCACCTCAGAGCGCTGGCGATACGCGAACGAGTCATCGGAAGTACTGTGATGCCCAACACTCCACAGAGTTTCAGGTGGCGGCCGGCGAAGTGAGAGCGACCAACACACCGATACGTCATAGCTTCGACCAGAACAGCCCGGCCTGCTCAAGCGTCCTCCTCCGCGCTTCTCGAACGGCTGCCAAGACCGCCAGAATATCATTTCCGTCGACCCGCACCGTGTCGATTCCGTACCCAGGCCCACGACTAGCTATGCCATCGCCGTAGTACTGTTCGGTACTCGGTGTGCTGATCGCGAAGCCGTTGTTTCTAGCTATGAATAACGTTGGCGATGGAATCGTCGAGGCGAGCAGCAATCCAGCGTGGAAATCTAGTTGATGCGTCGCTTGGGTAAATCTTCCTCAACGATAGATACTCACCTCCTTCTGAAGCGGCGCCTTCCCCGAAGAAACACGCTGCGATCGAATGGGAGCGTTCTGGTGTTCGCCGCAGAGCGTAGCCGACCCCGGCTGCCTGGGGAATCTGGGTGGCAAGCGTCGAGGAAATCGTGAGAAAATGGTGCTTTGGGGACCCGAAGTGCTACAATTCATCAGCCTCAGAAACAGAAAACCCGGAACAAGCACACATACCACGGGCATTTGTCTCCCCTTCCCTGAGGTATCTTCGCGATTCCCAAAGCATTGGGCCATCACAGAGTTGATACCAAAGCCTCTCCACAAGAGAATTCCCATTTCTCTGTACTGACCTGGCTAGACGGTCAGATTATATGTCATTTTTAGTCGCATAAACCGACCTAACACCCTGACGGCATCGATAAGCTGATGAGGGCGACGCCAACCAATGAGAGATGCTTACTCGTCATCGTTCTCCAGAGCAGCAGCGGTTCCGATTATAGTAGCTTCCTCCCCGTGCTAAAAATGATCGGCGACTGCTATTGCGATGATGTAGGCAGGACATACAGATGTCATCTAACAGTGGACATGATCAGCAGTGGACGGTAGGATGAGCACGGGCGAGACATACATGGAAACTAGTTTTGCCTTGGCGTTGAACATTGTACAGAACCGTGTCCAGGGTCGGCAACATCTGCATGTTCTCGTAAAGCTTTCGCGCCAGGGTTTCGTCGATCTGGAGATATGTCTAGTTTCAGGTTTGTTCAAACGGTGGGGAAAGAGGGGAAACAGACGTCTGGAAGATGGGCGCCCTCCACTAGCTTTCCGACACCGTCCAAGATCCGAAATGTAGGTATTTTAGCATCTGAGCCGGTGACACTGTTGAAGAACGACAATGTAGAGACAAGTGGAGAGTGTGAATGTGGCAGATGTCCTAGATGGATGTGCCGCCGAGCATTGGATAAAGAGCGTAGCATGCCAACCGAATAGACGCTCGAAGAAGCACTAGCGAAAGTAAGCCCGGATGCCGGTACAAAGGAAAGTGCTGCCAGCCGGCGACAGCTTCCCCGCAAATGATGGACATCAACACCGCATCATCTCCGGTATCTTATCTTATCACGGCGATCGACAGGTTAACGATCGGTGGAACCTGGTGGAACAGTTACCGGAATTCGGCGGCAGGCTCTGGAATCTGATTACATAGAGCAGATGATGTAGGTATTTCAGACTGCGTGACATCGCCCAATACTCGCGTAGTAACAATGACAATGCGGCGGCCTAGATGCAGCCGTAACCTCATCAACCGAACTGGGAACTTCGTTAAATTCGAGGGAGACAGTCAACTGAGCGGTTTAGAGTCGGACTCATGGTCCCGTCAGTCTTGCTGAGAAAGATGTGGGTGCCAAGCTATGTTGCAAGGAGATATTTACACGACAGTCTTGACCTTGACGATCATCGATCACGTGTCATCATAAATCAGACGGTGATTCGGGATCTAAACGACGACGGACAGTGACGACTCTTCTTCTCCAGCCTCATTCCTCTCCTTTATAATTTCATTCGTGGCCAGTCCACGCTTCGCGGGCCTCTCCAAGAGTTCATGCACAAGGCTGTTCATCGCCTTCAGACATGTTCTCGCTCGCTTGTTTCTTGCTGCCGGGCATCTTGGCGCTTGGTCCACATGTGGTACTAGGATCATTCGAAATCCAGCTACCTCCAGTGACCGAGTGCCAGCCGGTGCAGGTGCGGACATACGCTTTTTCCAAGCTCTCTCCTTGAACCAGCGCAGATCACATTCTCCGGTCAAGGTGCCAACAATCATTCCGTTCCAACTACTTTTACTGTACTACCTCTTGTGGACGACGCTGTGCCGATTCGAATCCCAATCCCCAATGGCGCAACCAATTCTACGGGTGTCGCGTTTTCTTTCATTCCCTTACCGGCTGGGACGGATTTTATCGCGTCTCTGGACGACGTCGAGGGTATCTCTGCCCAGATATCAGACATTACGCGCGTTGCCCCACCGGATGGAACTGGAGACCCGACCTGTCTTGCCTCAGTGCATGTTCCTACGGCCAGCTTCTACGCGTTTAACCACACCATTGTCCAATGCGAAGTGTTTTCCATCACATACAACACAACCGCGCCACCGAATATCACCGCTTTCCAACCGAGGGGTGGCTCGTGGAGTCTCCCCCTGCTAGCCAATGCCGACAACCGTGGAGGAATCGCGTCCTACACGATGATTGCTATGCGGCAGTCCGAGTGGCCCTCTTGTTCGATGACGGAAACGGACATCTGCAGACCACGGATCTCATCAACGGTCATTCTGAATCCTCCAGTGTCTACACTCTTGCTGAAGGAGCCCACAGTTGTCGGAGATTCTTCAAGTTCCACTGCCTGCTTTCCCCCGTCTCTCGACGCAAATGCGGGTGAATACTATCCGACACCTGCAGGGATGCCGAAACCCCCTCCCAAGGGTCTCTCTGCGTCAGTGTCTCTCTGGTTTCAGATGCGCAATCCTTTCTGAAATGACATTGCAGGGGTGCTGTGATCGGCATCACAACCGGAGCTTCCGCGTTCGCTCTGGCGCTCATTTTCATGTTATGGTTCTACTTGCGTCGTCGAAGACAGAACCGGCGGACTTCGAATGTGCAATTCAACCGGGGACTGCTGGACACGCAGAGATGGCCCGAGGAAGAGAAACAGATCGATTTCTCCAGCCCGACGCTCCCGCCAGCGTCGCTGTCAGCGACCGGATTCGTTCGGGACCCCATCTACACGAACGAGAAGTACGCCGCGTCGCTAATGGCGGACAACCGATCAGATGCTTCGTCCTGGCGCCAGTACACTCCGGAGTCGCCAGGCGGGGCAGGCGATACGCCGAATCGAAGAACGAGCACCACTTCAAGTCGGCTTTCGATGGCTACGGTCGACGTGCACAATATTCTGTCCATGGCCACTGTCCACGGCGACAGATCGAGCAGCGTCGTTCCCGCTGAGGTTACCGTCAGTCCCGAACCTGGTCTCGCCAAACCGGCACTAGCCCGATTGGTGACTAACCGTCGCGAACGGAAGAGCGTTCGGTCAGACATGCCCATCCCAGCCCTATCACCGAGGCGCGACTCGACTGACGCCGCGCTTGCGGGTCTACCCGCTGCCTACACTCAGCAGCCGTCATTTGCATCATGGGACGGGAATGAGGGCCCAGAAGAGGACATTGGTAACTACCCCATGGCACCATTCCAACAGCCGGCGGGCCGAGACTCTTTGGAGAGTTGGGGCAACGCGCGAGTGCGATAGAGCAGCGGACCCATCTCGTGCTATATACATAGGTGTATATATCCTGCTTTTTCCTGCTGTAGTAGCGTTGTATATCAATCGAGGAATTTCACATCGGGAACGCACGGGCAGTGGTCGACGTCCAGATCACTCCTCCGATTCGTCCACGGCCATCTTGGCAGCCTCTGCGCGAGCTTTGCGCCGCCCGCCTAGAGCCAGCGTCACATAATCCACGTCTCCCGTCACATAGCCGGTTTCCGACTTGGCCTGTGCAGCGCTTTTGAGAGCTGCCTTTTGCTTGTCTGCTTTCTTCTTTGAGATCTGGGCCTGTGCATGACTGCCCCCCGTCAGCGAGGCGGCGGAACCGGGTGCAGTGGCGGGCTTTTTGAGAGTTTTGCTCTGGCGTAGTGATGGATGAGGAATGAGCAGAGGAAGTGACGTGCGGATTTCATACAAGGCGTTTATGCAGCTTTGCGCTCTTGCCCATCTTGCACCCGCCCGGTCGATGATGATCGCAATACCGTAGAGCGGAAGATACGACGGAGGTGATTGCAATGGCAGAAGTATCACGTGAGAGCTAGAGATTTGTGGCGGTGCGAACGTCCCCGTAAGGAAGCATATACCTGCTTCCCGCACGAGTCTGAGCTTCTGTCTCGCACGGCAAACGTCTCGTACTACTCTCTTCCATTTCCGCATGCGAGAAAGTGTAGCAGGATCTACGCAAGACGTCGATCCGAAGTCCGCTGCAGAATGTGTGCGCAACAAGTGTTGCGCTGGCACCTGCCCATCTCGGGGTGATAAGTATGTTCGGCACCGCCACGTTTCCGGTCATAACATCCGTTTCTCCATCCACCTCTGACATCGCTCTCTTTGTTGTTTACTCCTCGTCTCTTTCTCTCTCGGCAGGCCCTGCGTATACAAGTACTACCGCATCTAGGTCCTGGGCCCCTGTGTTCAGGTCGCAAACAAACCCCTGCCAATCACTCGCGGATAATTCCAAGATAAATTCGACGTGGGTCTCACCCGATCACTGTTCCACGTATTTAACGGACGGGCCTTTTTGCAGTAGGGGTTGTCGCACCCATTGTGCAGCGTCCACCATTCACCGTCTATGACAAGCCTGTTGACGTCCGGCTCCGTGCCTTCGGCCGGGCGCAACATCACTCTGGAAGACTATGATAGTCTCCCGAATCCTGCGTACCGAGACAAGATAGAGGAGGTGTATTTCGGGCCATGGACTCGGAGCAGTACGTGGGGTTCAACCATCTTGCTGATACACTCCCGCTGACTCGGCCCTTCTGCAGCGTTCAAGCGCTCCTGGCACCCCACGGGCCACTGTGGCCCATGGACATCTTCCTCTCTGCTTTGTCCGTGCTCGAGCGCGAGCCGGATCTCTCAGCCAACTCTCTTTACTTCTCAGCAATATCCTCCGTGCTCTGCAGAGCACTGACAGTCATCGTGCGTCAGATCTCGTCCCCCTTATCGGCTGAATGGTTCCTCACGTCGTGCGTCAACAGCGCGCCAAATCGCAAGCACCTTCTCCTGCCCCTCTTCCAGTCGAGCTGTCCTCGGAGGAACGGCGTGCTGTGCGAAAGCGCATTGTGTCGACCGTCCACCACTGCCCGAGCAACCCGTTGCGCGTGCAAGTCCTGCGCAACATGCACATCAAGTGGACGTCGGCCATGATGCGCCGTTCCGGGTACTCCAGCGACGACTCGGAGAACACCAGCGACGAGGACGAGGGCGACATCATTCTCGTGCGGCGGGCTGAATCGCCGACCCGTGCCACACGCCACATTCCTTTGGATCTGCTTATCTTGTCTGGACTCTTTGATCCATGGCACTCTGCTGCCGTGTTGTACTTCCACTTGCTATCTTCACACAAATGGATTGTGAGCCTGCGCATATCGCTTACCGTACCTCGTAACTTATATTTTTGCCCCAAATCTGATTGCAATGTTTCGCTTCTGGGCTGCGGAAACATTCCGCCCATCGGCTGTTCCCGCTGAGGTAAGCGATTGGCACTTGGAGCTGCTCAAACCACAACACTGTTCAAAACTGTGTACCGCTGTGAAGCCCGTTTTCAATCATGAATCGTTGGACGCCTGGCCCCAGCAACGGTCAGTGAGTAGCTCTCGAGATCTCTTCCTGGGAATCTTCCATCGACGTAAGCTTCCTGTCGAACCTGAGGTAAGTCATTCGCCCCAGTCGGCAAATACAAAATGCTCCAGTGACATCCCTGGCGCCTGCTCTTCTTGAACGCGGCTCTCCATGTCGACTGACAATCCGCGTACTGAACCTGTGGCAGTGATCGGATCCGGCGCTGCGGGCCTCATAACTGCTCAAACCCTCGTCGCCGACGGGTTCACCAACGTGCAGGTCTTTCGTGCGAATCGAGTGCAGGCGGGGTGTGGTCTAGAGATCGTCTCTACCCTGGACTGCAGATCAACAGGTTCGATTCCCGTTCCTCACGTCCACAACGCGCCTCCCGAGATAACGTCCACAGTGTCCACGGTGAATACGAATTCTCTGCGCTCGAGATGCCAGCGAACCCGATCAATCGGCAGCGCATCACGGGTGTCCAGATGCAGCGGTACATGGAGACTTTTGCGAAGACCTTCCTCGCGCGGAACATCCGGTACGATGTGCGCGTCATGAATCTTCGGCGTGAGCAAGGGATCTGGTACGTCACTTTGGAGGATCTCAACAGCAGAAGCAAGAGGTGCTCCAGTTCTCCCGCGTGGTCCTCTGTACTGGGGTATGCTCGCCCGATGCTTTCTGTCGCGTGCTCATCCAGTCTCAAGGGATGCTTCATACCTCGCATACCCGAAAATTTGACGCCCGCTTCGGCCCAGAAGGCAGGCTTCGTCGGCCCCGTCGTCCACTCCCGGTTCCATGCATCACATCTGGCCGACATCATGGCTGCAGTGCCCTCGAAGACGTGCACAGCGGAACCGAAGACGCTCGTCGTCGTGGGTGGCGGCAAATCAGCACAAGAGTGAGCTATCTGGCCCGTCAGCTGTCTTCGGACACGTCAAGCTAACGCAGCATTTGTGTTAGTATCGCAGCTTATTACGCCAACGAAGGCCGACGCGTGACGATTGTGTACAAGGAGCTATCGCCGTTCCTTGCGACTCCGCTGCATCTGCCAGGTTTCCTTCGCAAGAGCAGGTATCAGCGTTGTTCGCCACCAGCAAAGTAGAGTTGCTGACTGTCTGCCAGGTTTCTTGCTGTTTTTTCACTCTCTCAGTACCCGCAAACGCGGCTCGAGCACTTTCTGCACCACACTTGGATTGGCGACAAGGTCGCCGCGTCGCTTTGGTCGATGCTGCGATGGTTCTCGGTCAGTGAGAAACCTTCTGTGATTTACCTTGGGTCGTCACGTCAGTTCTCCAGTTTCTGACCGTTTCTGCTCTCGCGCCGCGGTCGCCTTTGCAGTGCACTGAGCATCTGCGTTGGAGCGCCCATCTCTCCGAGGAAGGCGTTCCACTCCGAAATGGGTTCCATGCGCACGTTACTGCAGGTACCATCCAAGCGATCCCCAGGACTGTCGTTCGCTCGTTCGGGACAGACGGACATTCTTTGGTTCTGGACGACGGCAGGATCATCGCAGCGGACGCTGTCATGCTGGCCACTGGGCACGCGTCGTCCTGGGCTGGCGTATTCGATGGTGAGTCGCTCTTCTTCCCCTCCCTTTCAACTGACCGTGACCCACCACAGAGAACACGGCGCTGGAAGTGGGGATTCACCGCTCAGAAGAAACGAGGATGTCGCCACTCTACCACGGAATCGTGCCTGCTAAAAACATCTACCAGCGAGATTTGGCCGTCAACGGTGCAGTAGTAAGCCGCTCCTAGCCCAGCTCTTCTCCCGCCGTGCGTCTGACCACACTCTCAAAGTACGGCTTTAATCCAGGCTACACATGGGAAGCCGTCGCGCACTGGATCTCCTCGTATTTTCTCGGAGACGCTCTCAACATCCCGCAAACGCAGGCGCACGTCGACCAGGCGACGACACGCGATGCACTGTGGCTCCGCCGGCGCTTCCCGCACGCAGCCAAGATCTGCGAGTCGAACAGCGGCTACATCACCGCGTATTCGTACGTCTAAGACCGGCCCATTGGTACATGCAGAGATACTGACGCTGATGGGGGTATGCTACATAGGTGGTCGCAGTACTGCGACGAGCTTTTCAGAGACATGGGGCTCAAGACGCAACGATCGGGGGGAAATTGGTTGACGTGGCCGTTCCGCCTCATACGGATGAGCGATCTGAAGAACCTCAGAGAAGAGCGAAAGCAGCAACGTACATACAGCTAGAGTACAGTCGTAGAAAATCACGAGCGGAATCGGACGCGGAACGTCGTTACATGCGGCCAACTGATGCCATCACATTGATGCAGTATAAATTTTCGCAGACGGCTCGGCGGCTCTTGCCTCCTGCCTGTAACCGCAATGTCAAGATTTTGTCCTTCTAGCCATCGTCTCCCATGTCCGAGTGTTCTCCGTCCCACCGACGCACCACAAGCCTAGTCAAGGCCCTTGCTTCACACCTACGCACAGGGCCTGTTACGCTCGTGGCAGACTCACTCGACTCGCGCTCTTGCTGTCCGGCTTCGTTTTGACGTTGGGCAGACCCACAGGAGAGCTTGTTCGGACCGTCTCTGTAGAGTTGAGCTTGGTGCCCCGCCTCGCGCGTACTTTTCCATCATGCTCGTAGTTTGGGGACACACATCCTATGAAGTCGTCGATTAACAAATGTCGTATTAATACCGGGGGTGCGCTATGAATACACGATTACTGGCTGACTCGTATAAATGACTGGATGGTTTTGTACAATTGTGTGGGGAACCGATAATGAATCTCGCCGCTGCAGCAGGATCATCGCTGTACCTTGACCACGGGCGTATCGACGATGTCCACCTCGTCGTCCGAGCTCTCAAGCTGCGTCGCCTCCTTCTGCTTGTCCGCTTCCTTCTTTTCTGCCTGTCGCACCTTCCAGTCGGCCGACAGCTCCTCGATGCGCGCCTTCAGGTCCGCACGCAGGGTCTTGATCTGTTCAGCAGCCCACACAACGCTGCGCTCAGCCGCCGTGCGTTTCTTGCGATTCTAAACAGATAATCGGATAAATCAGCGAATGGACGCGAGTAAGCATCTGGATGACGCACAGCGGCGATCTCGAAGTATCGCTGCGGATCGGACATGAACGTCTTCGCAAAGTGCAGCAGAAAGAGACCGCAGTCGCAGAAATTCGGCTGCAGCGGGACCTGTACGTTCTTGCATACCGCTTGCGAGAGCGTCTGGGGCGCCATGCCCCTTTTGTCCCGCGCCTCGAACTGGAGGTAGCTGCTGAGCACTTTGCCCGCCTTCGGGTGCCGGCCGCCCAACGAGTCCAGAATGAAGATGTACGTTCTGTGTGGCGTGATCAGTGCGCGAAAGAAGCGAGCGGATCCGGATGCAACACACTTGGGTATCCCATCTGAGGGCGGAATATCTTCTTCACCCTCGATCTCGACATCAGAATGGTCTGGAGCCACGGAAATCGAAGTGGGCTCAGCCCGCGGAGGCGACTCTGCTTTCCTTTTCCCTCGAGCCTTAGAGGACCCGTAAAAGTTCTGTGTCGATACAGCACTATGCTCCTGCACCGGTCGTGACTTGTCTTCGATCTCAATGACCGCTCGTGAGGATGACGCATGTTCGACCACAATGTCATCTCCAAATAGATCCGGACCGGGTTGCCTAGCAGGGGATTGTCCGCGAAATGCATCCAGCTCGTCGACGGACAGGTCGGTCAGAGGGCTCGAAGCTGCAGCTGGCTCGTCGTCGTCGTCGTCTCCGCCGATGATGTCGCCCATTTGCAGATCGGAATTGGGCGGCTTCTCAGACGTAGTCGGTGGCTCCTGACTGTCAGAGAGATCGATGATTTCGGGCATCGGCCCACCACCGATCAACGATCCCGGGACCATATCTTCATCCCCCTTCGCGTCGACATCCATCGCCTCGACAGTCTGCACAGATTCATCGTCCATCGTATCAAAGAGCGAGTCTCGGGGGCTGTTGGGGGTCATCCCCCCATCTTCCATCGACAATTCTTCCGTAAGCTGGTTGGCGACCTCCATCTCCTGCTCCATGTTGTTGCTGTTGGGACTCTGAGCACGGGGCGAAAGCGTCGCAGACTTGGCTGGACTGCTGCTGCGCCGCGTGGCAGTGCTGTCTTTGGAAAGCGGCGGTCTGGGCGTGATGTCGCTGACTCCTCCCGCCGCCTCCTGGCGCGCCCTGCTCCGCGTCGATGGCGATGCTGTAGATTCGCAGAGCACGAGGATATGCTCTGGTTGGTAGATGATGGCAAGATACCAATGCAGACTATGCGGCGTTCATCTTTGGGCGAGTGAATCCCTGGTTGTGCACGCACTTTTCGTTAATGGGCACCACAATATACTTTTTCTTGAACAGATCCATCTTCGATGTCCATTTGCGCACACTCGCATAACCGTCTTCCAGACTTGAGGAGAGATATAGAGTCAGTAAGGGATAGAGAAATTGAGGCATGCCACCTTTTCTTATTGTTCATCTTCTTGTAGAAGAACGAGCTGAAGACATGGATCTGAGAAGCGAGTTCTGGTTGCTGCTCCTCCATCTGCCGTAGCCATAATCTATAGGGGTCAGTCACTCACATCAAGCAGTGAGCATAACGAAAAGCGCACTTCAGCCCAAATTCGATCAACGTGTCATTGAGAAACTCGCCCGGAACGAGACGTTGTAAATCTCCTCCAGTGATGTTCACAGCCCCAGTTTGTCCGGGGGGATAGACAAGAATCCTAGGTGCATTGGTTTAACGATAAGAATTGGACGTGGACGGGGAACCGCCATACAATTCATCTGGATCGCGAACCGGCGCGGCAGGACCATGTCCTGGAGTAGCGCTCGAACCGACGGATCGTCGGGCGGACCGTCGTAGGCCGGACGTGGCTTCGCTACAACAGAAAGAGACGTCAGTCTTCATTGACGAAAAAAAAGGTGTGGGCACCAACGGGACTTCCGGGGGAGCCTACTTCGATCGGCACATTGGCCGGGTTTCGGTGGAACTCTCGTTTCTTTGCAGTGTTCGCGATAGCTCGGCTCTGAGTGCTTTCGCCGACCTTCGACTTGAATTGCGTCTTCCGCTCTTGATCCGCCTGTAAGAAAAGGCCAACACGATCCACCGTGCTCCACAAGGTCAAGGAGGATTGGCCGCTGGAGAGCTCGGTCAGCAGATAGTTGCGGTGCCGGAATTGTTGCCTGACTGACCGGATCGCTTCAGAAGCAGGCACATGTCTTTTAAGCCACTGGACGAGTGCCTGATAGCGCGTGGTCCCCCAAAAAACGCTCGAGGTGTCGAACTTGATAATGACATCGCCGAGCCCTCGATTAGCGCCTGGCATTCAGCGTAAGTCCTGCACCGAGAAAGCACAGACAGAAGTACGACCTCTCTTGAAATGATGTCCAGCTCCAGCCCCAAATGTTGATTCTGTTTCACGCGGCGAAACGGCATGGGAGTGCAGAATCAGCAGCCTGTGCCTCACTTTATTCTGTTGTTCATTCCAGTCGTCGAACTTAATAGCGTCAAATCCTCGACACCGAATCAAACGGATGAGATCTCACTTTGAACGACTCGATGTGCTCGGGCACATTAATGCACTCCTTGATCTGGTCAACGTTGGGTGTGTCGTTGATCATGAGAAGGTCTCCGGACCAGGAGAGCTGGTAATTGCCCTCCATTACCAACGATCCCATGCGCCAAGTCTCGATGGGTAGCATGCCTTCCTGGCCCGCCTGTTTGCTCGAAGAAGCGATGGGGCCCGCCTTTGGTTGAGCGCGTATCGACGTCTTTGACGACGACGCCACAGTGGGATGCAACGTAGTCTGTCTCAGCTCCTTTCCACCGGCAGCAGACTCCCATGGGACCATCAGTCTCGGAAAGCGTCGCACACGACACGCGTCCGCACCTTCTTCCTCATGGCCTTCGCGAGATTGCTCTTGTTCGGAATCTTCCGCTTGTCAAGGTCGAGATGTGGGCTCTTCTTCGATTCCTGCTTCATCTCATAGTGCTCTCGCAGCAAATCAACCTTGGCTGTTGACGGCCTTTCGCGTTTCTCGCCGAACTGGGTTATGGGGTCGTCGATGTCGATCACTTCTTTTGGTGGCTCCGGCAAATCACCGAACAGGTTCTCCGGAGCTAGCCTCGGAGGGCCTTTGTTCATATCTTGTTTGAGTTTTGTCGTATATGGTCCGTCGGAGACCATCCCGGATGGGGCGTTGCTGAGGCTCGGTCTGGCAAGAGGCGTCCCAGCGTCTTCATCAAACACATCGATAGGATCCGAGGGTGAGTTTCTTGGGATGAATGCAGAGTCTATGGGGGCCCCGGATGCAGCCTTTCCGCCGAATGAATGATAATAAGTGCGTACCTCGTATACTGACCTTCTTCCGAGACGGCGCATGAGACGGCGCATCAATCTCAATTCTCGGCCGCTTCGACGCCCGTTGTTGCGCCGAGAAATTCGGGGCAGTTCGCGAGGCGGAGGGGTTGCCGCCGGTGCTGCCAGTGAGAGAGTCGTGGAACTTGCGTCGCTTGAAGGGATTCGGCGGGCCACCATTCTGTGTCCCTTGAGCACGAAAGCGTTCGATCGACATGCACATACGCGAGAAGGATCCGGCACTCTGGTGGGTGGTTGTCTCCATTCTGGTTTGCTGTGTTCGGCGCTACCTTCAGTTTCAGTGCGGGCGCCATGGGTTTACAACGTGCCTGGCCTGATCTGACGCGTTCCGCCTGTTCGCCGGAGGAAGACCGTGTATTGTGGAGATGGCCGCACGGTCAGAAAAGCCGGCCGACATGTTCTGACGCGAAAGCGTTTGGCGGCTGAGGCGAGAGGCAATCTGAGGCAATGGCGGAGAGATTGTCACGGCATCATCGTGACATGTCACAGTAAGCTAGGTGAGCTAGCGTGCGTAAAATAACAAGGTGCTTCCACCCATCGATTGTAAACGGTATATACAGGAATTGGCCCGCAGGAATGCTCATTCTGATGGGACGTTGTGCAATCTGTAAAAGTCTGCCACTAGATACAAACTGCCAGCGATCACAACCAGCCCTTGCGAGTCGTTATCTGCGGCCCATTTTAAGGCCCGATGCAGAGAGCCAGGTGGGTCTGACTCATCTATCCAGGTCTCGGCACCCGGAACGAGATCCCGCACAACTTCTCGAAGGACTGCAGGTGGCACCGGCTTGACCCAAGGCATCCCGTCGACCGCAGTAAATTCGACAAGCGCGACGCGCCAGTCCACCTTCAGGTTCTCTGCCTCGGGGAACGGAAACAATGGCGCAAGGGTCTCGCGCGGGGTTTTCGGCGGTGAGTGTGATAGGCCAAGGATAAATGTGATCGTAAGGCGCTCGTTCGAGCCTCGGAACAGAGCCGATAAGTAGGCTGCCAAGGTCGCTGAA